TTGCAGTACTGGATATATTTACTATTTGAGGACATGCTTGTGATAATGTCTACATGTCGTTAAGGTGCCCGAAGATTTCACATTAAGGGCGGATCAATGTGTTTGTGTATATGGTCAAAAGGGTTGATTGGTTGGTTTGGTGTCATCCAACCTTGACAGCATGGAACCCTGCTCCATCATTGGTTTGCTTGGTCCAAACACGTTCATTTCATGTGATATAGCTGGAACATTGCTGACTGCCATGGTCAACAGCATTGACTTGTTAAATCCCATGAACTTGATGAACCCAATTCTCAGATTCAGTTTGAATAATTTCCTGTTCTCATCACCAGTAGAAGTAATTTAGATACACTTCCCAAGCCTACATGTCGAACATGTGAATAGACCTTGTGCGTGCAAATAACCTAGCACAGGTGATTTACGGATCCAATCACTGGAAAGCAGATTATAGGTCTTTCTTGAACTATACATATTTCATGGCTTTGTATACTCCCTTGTCCGAGTGGAACATTCTGGGTTCTTGGTTAAAGTTATACTGGCAGTTTGAGATAAGTTTCTGCTGGGGTAGCTTGTGTCGGTTGATTGATGAGTTTTGTCATGGTGGCAACCAGATTTGGTCAAGAGTGAAACTCACGTTGCATTTACCTGGAATTGTTATGGTTTCAGTGTCAGATTCCTGGCTCGTCTATGTGGGATAAGTATATGAAATGAAACATTGTAGAAGGAGTATAGTCAATCAAAGATTGTGGAAGTATATTCAAAGATTGTGGAAGGAGTATACTTGATCAAAAATCATGGAAGGAATATATTTGATCAAAGATTGTGGAAGGAATATATTGAAATTGAAGATTGAAGATGTTTGGGAAGATGATCCCCAGGAATATGTGAATACTGAATTCAGATTGTGGTGACTGTATTATTTGTCTACAGACTGAACAGTTTCAGGCATAACTTCTGGTGTAACTGTGTCATAATCCAGTGTCTGGAGAGTTAAAGATACTAATCATAGTTTTTTATCTGCTTTGGAAATGTAACGACACAGCCCTATTTTCAGGAAATACATTTGTACTTGACAGTGGTTGGAGCCATGTTTGAACCATTGACAGTTCATTACCAACTGAATTGTGGTGAAACATTTACTTACGGAAGAGGCTGTGTAGCCTGGGCTTGTTGCCCCTAATGCTGGACAAAAACATTAAAGACAATCGAGTTGCATCTTTGTTTTGAAACCATGTTTAAGAAGAAAGTGTTTGGAATTGTTGGATCGTCTCTGGCTAACTTTGCCGAAGTTGCAAGTGGTAGTCGGGTGAGCACTTTTGCATATTTTACAAGCAAGTTGTTTTGAACAGTTCTTAAATCTATATGGTTATTTTGTTTTTAACTTCTGTTCATCATTTAATAAAAGTCATTATTGTGTTATTTTTATGTTTTAAAAACTTGATATATGTTATTTAACAATGAAGTACATTTGAAATGACAGTTCTGAAACAGTTTAATAAGTTTCATACCTATTTCAGAAGGACTTTCTATTAGCTCTTAGGAAATTAGACTGAATAAATATTATCTGGGCACTGAACGTAGTTGGCAGAACTAAATGTTTCAACAGACTTGTGAATAGTTCCTAGGAAAACAGGATTATAGAGATACAGGATTTATTTTTTATATGTTAACTCTAATGATATATTGGCATACGAAACACACACTAGTTTTAAACTGCTATTCTACTGGTTATCTGAAACACCTTAAATTATTCATGCTGCCTTCAGAATACAAAATGTCACTTGATTCAGGAATTCAATATGGAAATATAATGGACTGGTTTTGCAGTTTGCAGTTTAACAATTCCAGTATCAATCTGTTTCCTTGAACTTATCTATATTTTTAGAAATATTCAAAATATATATAGTTTGTTTTAATCACATGTGTATCTGTGACACAATTAGTCCATGTATATGAATCCACTTAGTCAGTCCACCCACACTGCTACGTAACGATGGATGTTTTGAAGTGAAGTTCAGGAGATTGCCGATATTTCTATGTTGCATGTTGGACAGGACATGTGAAAATATGTGACAATATGGCAAAGATCTTTCATGTTTCTTGACTATCATGCATTTATCATGATGCCGTAAACAACAAGACCAAGATGTCAGCCTGATGACGTCTGCTTCAAGTCTGTTTCATGTCTTTTTCCACAATCACAGCAATATTTGGAGAATTTAGCCATCAATTTTGGTAGAGATTCAAGGAATATGACCTGCAGTATGTCCCTCCACAGTTCCCGAACATTGGTGAGTTTGGTGACGTCTGCTACGCAGTTGTACATATCACAGGTGTTGTCAGATGTGCTTCTCAAGTTGCAGCACAACTGATTGATGATAGCTCTGTAAAACATTGGTTTATGGCTGACGTGATGATGGTTGGATCTTTTGCCTTACACAGTGTTTTGCCGTATTTGTTCAAGGATAGACGTCATTCAGGTTAGATTACCTAATCCTCACCCAGCTGTATATCATTATGCGTTAAATTTATGTGAAAGTGAACCAATGTATATATGTTATGTTTAGGAATCTAAAGATTTTATAAGTAACAAAAATACTCAGATGTTTTTAAGGAAGTATATATATTCCAAATGTTTAATCCTGAGAAAAATTGTGAATAAGGAATATTCTACATTTTAAGAACAATAATTTGTAGGTAAAAATCACCCACTACAGATCATCAATAATTAATGAATATACTCTACAACCTGTAGGTAGTATTATCCACCGGTTCTGTTTGAAATGTTACAGTTGTTTGACACAGAGCAGTTGAGTCTGTCATCTTCCCCAAATCATGATATGTCTGAAATACAGCCGATGTGACTATAAACTTAAACTTCTTCCTCAAATATCGTGCATGTTGTAATATCTATAGTGCATTATGAATGAGACAAGGTACTTTATCAATGACGACTTCTTTATCATATCATGATGCAACATTTCTGAAAAAATTCTTCAGGAATGAAGTTCTAAAGCAAAGGACAGACTTATGTACATTGAACAGGAATTAACAGGCGTATATAGGAATTAATAAAGACAATAAAGTGGTATCCATGAAGGGATTAACTACAGCAACACCGGATATTGGTAAATAGGTCTGTAACAGCTGTACATTAGGTGGTACCGAATACACACATATGTACATAACACCAGTCCTGAAGGAACTAGTCAACCTTCACAAGCCTGGAAGGTCACTCAGATCAGCTAGTCAGCAAAGCTTAGATGTTCCATTTGTCCGAACCACAACATACGGGGACAGAACATTTAGCAGAGTGGGTGCTGTACTCTGGAATGGATTACCTGAAAATGTCAGAAAATCGGAAAATATCAACAGTTTCCGATCTTGTCTCTAAACCATCCTCTTCAAACGAGCATTCGACTAAGTGCACATGAGCAGGACTCTGGATATGTAGTGCTATGCAAATGTCTAATTTGATTTGATAGAGTGCCAATCAAGCAGTACGTTCTGTTATACTGTGGACCCCTACGACACCCAACTGCTGAATGGAAGCCACAATCCCCGCCTCCTGTATCGCTAACACGGAACTTCTGTCTCTGATGGACTTGCAACATCCAGTAAAACTGATTTTAACAAGATTCTTGCAGAGATCTTCTTCAGAATAGAGGTCTTGGTTGAGTGAGGCCTTAGTATGTTTCAGGGATGAATGGGTGGTCAGGCTTGCTGACTTGTTTGACATATGTCATCGTATCCCAATAGCATAGATCAATGCTGATGCTGTTGATCACTGGTTTGTCTGGTCCAGGCTTAACTATTTATATGCTGCTGCCATGTAGCTGGAATATTGCCAGAGCTCCAGATAAGATTTAGCTCATGTGGGTACTGTACCCACTGTATTTTTGTTGAGTGGGTGTTTCATTTTCCGTTACCCACTGCTTTCAAATATGTGCGTATTTCAGTCATTTTACTCACCTAAGTATTATGTCATTGAGTAAGTTTACTAAGCAGGTATGTCAAAACCAACTTAAATATAATGGAAATGATTTCATACAAAAAATCACTTATCCTATACTGACAGTACAACACTTGTCCTATACTAACAGTACAACTTGATAGCAATCGATGTCTTCTTCATAATGCAAGCAATTTTTATAAATATATTCTGTACGCATTTGTTTTAAACTTTTTGCGTATCTAACATTTTAAATGCGTAATTGGTACGCAACAATTATTTTTCAAAGAGTAATTGGATTTTGTTTTGCGTATTTTACCCGGATACGAAGCTTATCTGGGCCTCTGATTGCTGAGAACGGCATTAACCAGCCAACCAACAAACAAACATGGCTTCCTGTGCTATGAAGGAAACTGATACTATTAGAAACATTGTTTTAGCAGCATGTACATTATCGATCGGGAGACATGTACATTTGAAGGAAGTAACAGTTATTTCTATGTAAAAAGCTTTTGAATTGAAAAGTTATTTTGTCAGCAAAGTCTTGAACACAGCAGCATTTATACTGTATTCTGTATTTTGAATGGAATGTATCAATGGCAAGCCTTGGATATTTGTAATTTTATCAACTCGTGGTGATATATTTGATATCAGAAGACACTCGGGTGAGATTCTCTATATATATGTTTCCATTGCAGCCTTATTGAACTATATGCTTTATGGCTTTTGGCCCTTTTTCATTTACTTGTAAGTAAAACTATAATGAAACTGCTATATGTTTAGTGTACAGTAGGTTTAACTGATTGTCTCCTTCATTTTCAAACTTAAATGAAGGCAAGGTGAGCCGCAGTACCCAAGGCTGTGTTCCTGTCATTAATGGCCCGTCCTCCTGACCACCACTAGTCATTAAGGCCATGTAGGTGGAACCACAACAACCAGGATAATTGGCGCCAAGGGTGGCAGTACCTCTGGCAGGATGTGGGTGTGATCAATACCCATACATTATTGATGCCTGTGGCCGTGACTGACACCTGGTTGTGTTTTGCAGCAAAAACTGAAGGAAGAGCGGGAAGCGAAGCGTGCTCAACTAGATGACCGCCACTATTACATCCTGCAGACTGTCGCAGACAGCCTGGGCCTGGAGAGGTCAGAGGTCGAAGATGCCATCTTGGAGGGAAACCAGGTAATATTGATCTCTTTGATTGTTTGTCATTTCACAGATAATGCAGAATTTCAAAGTATGGTTTGTTTAGTTTGCAGTTTCCTGTATTTTATATGCAAATATGTATGAAATTTGCATTTTATGATTATTTATAATCTAAAAATAATGTTGACATTTGCTTTCTTCCAATTTGAACAAAAAACTGGGAGTTCTTTTACCTTTTCTGAGTAGTAGGTAATAACATGCACCTGAAACCTGCTCAACTTTGACTGTTGCTGTCACATGAAGCTGACATTCTGTCAAGTAACTATCATGCTGCTTGAAGTGACATTTACCTCACTCACCTGTGTGGACACTAAATGAATCACCCTTAATTGTTTCCAACCTTCACACCAAATGAAAATTATCTTTGCTCTTGGCAATGGTTTGTTAGCACACACAACTATATGCTTGTTTAGGAATTGAGAATTGATAATTAGATTAAAAAGATGATTTAATTTAGTCTATTTTGGGAGACTAATTGAAATAGTTTTGATCTATGTTGATGTCAGTGTTTTTGGAGCAGCCCTTCCACTAAACGTCTGATAACCCTACCCCAGAGTTTGACACTGACGACATTGAATGTGTCATGGCAGGTGCTTGTGTTTGCTCTCTTTGTGAGAGGGTGAAGGGTTATCTTGATAATTACTTCATACTTACACTGTGTTCAATAGTGTCCAGATACCAGCACCTGGGAAAGTATATGTGTGTATCTTCACACCAGCGTCACCACATCCATCACCTGACGAAAAGTTTTAGTTTCCATAGCAAATTTAAATATTTTTGGGGAGATAATTCTAGTTTTGTTGAAATGTCACATTGTCAAATAGTTGTAATTTCTGACTGAAAAAAGAGGAAAGATTGACCAGTTTTTACCAAAGGCAAACATGTCTTTCAGTATAAGTTTGTGTTTCTTAAGAAATACTTTGAAAGATCTGGGACTCTCTCTTGTTAGAAACATGTACCGGTAAGACATTCTAATTAAATCTGAATACTGGACACAGCTAAATTTTGCTTGTTTGTTATTATTCTTCACTTAACTGTTGTCTGAATGTAGTCCATGCCATGCTGTTCTTTTGTTCCACAGATTGAGAACATGGAACGATTCCTTAGAGCCAATGGTCTCAACCGCCTCCTGTTCTACTACCAGGAACCAGAGCCAGAGCGGGAACAAGGTGAGCTCATACCCTTGATTTTGTCAACTTGCCAAGTTTCATAAAAAATCAGGAAGTTTCATATAACCTACAGCTGTTTTATTTCTAGCTTAAGGATATCTGTGATTACTAAGGAAAGGTTTATATGACCTAGGAGAATTTTATGCTACCAAATGAGTTTTTGAATGACTGAAGGAAATTTCATACCACCGGGGGATTAAGGAAGTTTTGTATGACCAAGGTAAATTTCACATCTTGCTTGGCTTTTGTTTAACCCCATTCCACCAAACAGTGTTAGTGCTATGACCATTGTGAACCTAAACCTAAGCATGGATGGTACAAACATCTTAGCACTCAATTGGGACAGATGGAATTGGGCACTGGTCTTTTGGGAACATTTTGAGCAAATTATAGAGGTATTATAGGCATAAGACATATTATTGTGATTTGGTTTCTCACTGCAGCACAGTTTTCATATTTTTTTAAGAAATAGTCATTTATTGTTAGAAACTCTGTGATTTATGAAACGTGAATGACCATCAGATTCATCTATAGACGTTAATATCTTGGACAATATTGATCAACCAGAAAGTACCCAGGAAAGGCATTACTTATGTCAAAAGTACTTTTGAATAACATTTAGCTGTCTCTAATCATTCTAGTTTATAGTGGAAGCATTGTGTGTTGAATTACTAATGATTAAATTGTGGTTTAGATGTGAACGTAGAGTATCTTTCTTGCATGTTTCCTCAATTGTACAAAGGTACTTACTTTTTGTACGAGCAGATAAATTAAACTGTAGTTATATGTTTTCAAGTTTAGTTTTCATCCTGTTTGGATAGCAGTCGGAGAATGAGTAGACATTTTGTATTCATTTCCAGTGTGAAGCATGCAGAATTTAAACTAAATGAATGCTATGTAAAAGTTTTTTTTATTGACATGTTACTATTTTGAAATTTGAATGCATTGTTCATTTGTTTTAATTACTTTCAGAGTATTTAGCATATGGCATTGATTTAGGAAGGTAACTAGAACTGTTGGGAATGTTTATAAAGTCACATTTCACCAAATATACCGTAATTTGTGAAAACACCAATTCCTCCGCATTCCAATGTTGTTGTCACCAAATAAAGTTTGTCATGTATTCACCTTTTGGGGGATACGGCTTATATCACTCACTCAGGCACAGGATGTATATTGTTTACACTCTGTCAATTGTTTGCATTTCACAAAAGATGGGGGTATTTTGAGGATGAGTGTTAATTATTGATATGATGTGTGGTAATAATTATTCCACTTGTATTTCCATGGCATGTAAACAGAAAACCAGGATACCAATAGTACATGACATTGGATACCCAATTTGGGGGATCGACAGCAAATATTATTGTTCAAATATTATTATTATTGTTCAAATATTATTGTTCAAATATATTCTTGATAAATTCCACAACATGAATGAATATTATGAATGTTATGTTCCTTTTTGGATCAGTTGGTACTTTCTTTATTCTTATTTTTAGGGATTAAAGTAATTTGTAATTGACTGATATAATGTGTGAAGCCAAACCTTGGTGCCCCAGGCCAAAATGTTGCTAAATGGCATTAAATTATAATTATTCCATAAGTTGTAGTCTAATGTCTTAAAACTGTAGGCATCTTCTAAACTGTATAGCTGTATTCATTAATTGAGATCGTGGCTGATATTTCTTACAGCCACCTATATCAGAGTTTATTTTTAACTGATTTGAAACACAATGCCTACCTAATGTGCCATGGAAGATTGTCGAAGAGAATGGCTCCATTTGGACCAGTGTTAAGTGGCTACTGATATCTTAACTGGCGTTAATTAATTTGACCAGTGCTAATTAAGATGACTATCTTGTTGATTACTCACCTCAAACAGATTAACCATCCCATCCAATCATCAATAATTTCTCCATGATCAGCAACAGCAGATATCTCTTTGAGCAATCATCCTATAATATTCTGATGAAGACTATGTTCCTGACAACAAGCACCAATTTGACCACTTCCTGGTTACACATTTACCATTATTTAAGTTCTTAGTTCCAACTGTGGTACTGGTCCATATTGACTTTAGTGCTAACATTCATAATGGTTTAGCATTTCTAACATGTTGCCATTCTTAGTTTCATTACTCATGAATTTATTTTCAGCTTCGGTAGATTTTCGCATTCAAACCACGGACAGCCGGCGTAAAAGCACGAGTATGTTTTGCGACCACATTGAGCACCTAATTCATGTTGCCTCACAGCACTTGCCACACCCAGACATGTAGTGTTAGCCGTACAACTATCTATACAAACATTGTAGCTTCCTTGATCAATCTTTAACCAGATGAAATTTTTTAAACAAGTGTAGGCGGAATTCACTTTTTTTAAGTTTCTTTAGAATCACTTTGATTGGAAAGCAATCTATATGTCATTACTTATTTATCAATGTTTTATATTATTGAAAGAGTAAGTCATTGTATTGTTTGAGTTTTTGTATCTGATTGTCTGGATCAGATTTCACTTTCGTGGTAATGAAACATGTTTTAATTAATAAGTCATGACAATTATATAATCAGAAATAATCTTGCATTATGATATGATAAGAGACAGTAGAAAGGATATATCATCGTAATTAGCACACTCCAGTTTGTGTTTTTTGGTACTATCATATTTTTTTACTCTATTTATTACAACCATGCTATGCTACATTTGATTAATTTCAATAACCTTTTACAATTCATCTCATGTCAGCAGTAATGATTGTGAACAACCATCTGGTTAAAGATTTTCAGTTGCAACAAACATCTGTTAGTTTATCCTTAAGATTAGCAACAAATTAAATAGTCATTTCACTATATATATTTTTTGAGACTTGAAATGTAGCAGATTTTAGGTACATAATTTTTAGTCTTAGATTGAGCCCAAGAATACGTTGTAGAGTCAGTAGGACAGCCATGCTTGTGATTCAGCACATTCAGATGGCACTCTAGTGCTGTAGATTATGTGGTTCTTGGTTAGATTCTGGTTTTCCATCTGCTGTATTGAAGATGTTTTGAAGTAATGGGCATTTCATCTGTGGCATATAGTAGATCTGTAAACTGGCTGGCTTATTGTTTACCTCAATACTTTTATGTTCAGCTGTTGAATTATTTTTATTGCCTTCTTCATACACTTGACAATGACTTCATGACCTCTCCAAGGGTCATACAAATCTTTAGGTTGCAAGAAAGTAGTCAATTATTTCAGAACCATGTTAAAACCATTCCATTTAGCCCCTCCCCCCTTCAAATGTTGTATGACTTGTGTAAAGATTGTTCTTTTTTCCTGATGATGTCAGATCATTATCTGAAATGGGGCGGGCATGATTCACAAGGATGAAATACTGGAAAGATCTTGTTATCATTTAATAATAACATCGGTGCCACACCTCTCATCTTTCCCTGGAAATAACATCACATATATCCCACTGTGATGTGTACTATGAACTATTGACCACCCTGCAGAAAAAAGTATGTGTTCCCCCGACCAAGACATAAATTAATATTAAGATAAAATTTGTCAACTCATAACTCAAGTTTACTGTATGGGCAGCCATGTTTACATAAACTCCTCCATGTCAACATTGTATGCACTGCTCTTTGAAACAGGTAGCAGGCTTGGTTCTTATTTATGTTGTCAATTCTTCTCTGTCGCCCTAGAGTCACAGGCCTACACCAGTGTATTTCTGTCAACACTTTCATGTCATTGCAAACTGTTTATCCGTTGCTAGGCAATAAAGCTTCAAGCACTCTCCTGTAAATGGAGGGCAGTTTGTCACTTTTATTGCAGTTTGGGGAATGGGTTCTATGCCTGTGACCTTACATAGTGTGTAAGGATGTCAAGGGAATTGTTTAAGTTGTCGCTAATATTGGAATCGTGGGGTTTGAACAATTATCAGCAGGATAGACAAGTAGGCGAAATAATACCTCAGACAATGACTAGGAACCTGACTTTCTTTACCTTGGTGTCAGTGAAATGTAGCTTTTCATGACTTATTCATTATGCATTGTGTAGGTTAGAATATTGAGTTACATGCTCCATGAAGCTTTGGCCCATAGTGACGTGTTTTCTACGGATTATTGTTCTAGTTTCATGGCACTCCTGGGCTGGCATTTGAGGGCTGGCTTCTGTATTTCATGGCGACTGGTAATTGTGATAAATGACAGTACCTAGAGCAACAGGACATAGTCATTTAACATAAACCTTTTAGTATAGAATAAGTAAAATCTCATACCCCTTAAATTACATGTTATATCACAGTGGTTGTCAGTGATCAGAGCTTAGAAGAGAAAATATTTATAGATCACACCAGATTTTGACAATATCACTGTTAAAAGTTTTATATTTATTGGCTCCTATACTGATATTTAGGAAAAGTTCAGTCAAGTAAAAAATAGAATGAATGTATTTAGTTTTGTTTAGGATACGAATTGTGAATATTATTAAGGGAACTTGTCTGTGGTGGGGCAGCTGTATCTTTCCACTTCTAATCCCATTACTGTTAAACACCTATACTAAAAATGTGCACATCTTTACTATGAACAAGCAAAACAAATAGGATCTCAAGACAGACCTGTACAGGGAATATATTCAATTTTCTTTAACATTCATTTTTCCAATTTTTCCACTGGATTAATTATTTCATATTTTTTAAATTTTTAATTCTTTTGTTTGTATGTAAAATGTAAGAAAATACTTTTCTATTTTATTCTTTAGTGATAATGGACACAGACATTTTGCAAACAATTTTTTTTTGTCAAAAGGTTTTAACAGCATTTGAATTTACATATGTATAGAGATGTTTTCATACACAAGCATCACGTGTATGACTGATTTATTCCCGGAGTGGCCCTTCCCACAGTGCCCCTGAGTTTTCACGCCTTGTTAACAACCCTTCCCACAGTGCCCCCTGAGTTTTCACGCCTTGTTAACGACCCTTCCCACAGTGCCTTCCCTGAGTTTTCACGCCTTGTTAACGACCCTTCCCACAGTGGCCCCTGAGTTTTCTCGCCTTGTTAACGACCCTTCCCACAGTGGCCCCCGAACACTTAAGTGTTCCCACACTGGCCCCTCTTAATCCAATCAGCTTAATTACCAACTGTGTTGGACTAATTAGGGAGGTGTGATGCTTTGAAAGAGCTCTGATGAAAAAGAAACAACAAACAAAAACAACCTCCCCTTTAGAGCCATCACCCAGAAGCTACTGATATGAGGATAAACATTCACCCAGAAGTCTACTTATAGCAAAAATACAGAAGCAGTTAAAAGGATAAAGTAACATAACACACACAAAATTAATGAAGATAGATTCATTACACAAACTTCACACCAGCATCAGACCAGCAGTTAACAACATTAAAATTAAAGATAATTTATTACACAAACCATTAATGGTAACCAGACTCTCACAACGTTTACACCAGCATCAGCAGCCACCTTCTTTGTTTTGACAATGTTCACACCTTCTTAACAGCATCAGCAGCCACCTTCTACTCACAGTAGCAGATTATTACTACTGTCTTCTACTCACAGTAGCAGATTAACTCTTTGTTTTGACAACTAACAAGTTGTCTCACACTGGCCCCCACGTTCACACCTTCTTAACGAGTTGTCCCATAGAGGCCCCTGAATTTGGTTGTTATGTAATAGACAGAGGGGCCGCTCTGGGAATACACCGTATGACTGACAAGGACTTCACGTTACATTACTATCATTCATACACTTCACTGGCGACTGTAGACTGGGGTAACACTGTCACATGTATCTTGGTGTTTGTTGGCAACTGGCATCTTGAAGTCTGTGTTTATGTTTATATATACTCTGTTGAATATACCATATTCCACATAATAAGCTCCCATTGTTCATGAAATCTTTCCATATATGTGTGTTTATTTACATTGAATAAAGATTATGCTTTTGAATGCTTTATTATGAAATTGAAATGAACTAAAGATGAGAAGAATTCGCTCATGTAATTTTATTAAAAACACATGAGACTTATTTACAAATTACTTACAGGTGCTGATATGAAGAGGGTCCTTATTATGTCAAATATGGTATCTGTTCAGAGAGTTCATCTATGATAAATCTCTAAATCATCAACAAACCATACCTTTTGGATACATTAAGTACACACAGATTGTTCAGGGTGACAGTTGCCTGTTTTAATAACAGATTGGTGTGTGTGGTCAGTCTAACCTAACATTCTCGACACAGGCGGTGTCGGTGTGATACAGTGGTGCATGTATCGTGGTACCACTCAGAGTATCGTCAGCCACGGCTATAACATGACTAGGCTTCGCTACAGCTTCAGTAATACTGGTTACGTTGTACTGGTGGACACCTGAGAGTAACCATGGATATACAAGGTTCCACAGTGGTTCTCATGATTATTCAATTTTTTTTATCTTGCTTCCTTGCTTTCAGTTTGCACCAGATACTTTTTGGCATCATGGTTTTGACAGTTATGTCTCAATGAGGAGATTTTAATAAGGAAATTAGACATTTCAGTACAACTGCTATTACCATTTTGCCTGATTTGTTTAGCACCAGACCATTTTTCTTCTTTTGATTTTGGTAAATAAATATGCCAAGATGGAGACTATTTTATTGTTGAGGTTGTTGACATCATTCTTGCAATAAGGTCATGACAAAAAAACAATCAAATATTTCTTTTATAAAAAAGTCATATTTCTGATCAAACATGGCAGCTTGTATATTTTTAATGTTAACTAGATCCAGGATATGTGTTGCAAGAAAAAACTTGGTCTGGTCTAATATGTGGAAATAATATTATTCAAATATATGACTCAACTGATTAGATTTCACTTTTAGGGCTACTTTGCTGTAGATTTCTAGTTGGTTAAAAGAATCCTGAACATCTTTCCATGAAATGAAATCGTTTACATGAAGTACAAGACAGTGATTTGTCTAAACCATTGGAGCAGATCTCCTTTGTTGTCTAAGTATAACTATTGTTCTCTGCATGATCATTAAACATTGGCATTATCACAGGTAATAAAGTATGTGGTATATTTACTTTACAGTGTTTCATGAAGTCTTGTCTTATTTTACGTAAAAATAGGATTTTATGAACAAAGTAACATCAGTTCCTTGACTTTCCAGTTGATCATGTTCGTATTGGCCCGCCGACAACGAAGACGGTCAAGTCGACCAAGCCGAAGGTGTTTCTGGCTGATGGGAAGGAGGTACCACTTCGAGGGACGTGCCTCGTCTTCACTAAGGCACCAACAGACAATGCTATCACTGAACAGAACATTTCAAAGGTCGGCAATACTTCAGAAACTTTCCAGGACTTTCCAAGACTTCTTACAGTTAAAACTGAGATGTTATGTTTTCTTGTGTATAGTGTGCATTTATTCCTAAAAGATTGACAGGTCGGTAGAGAGTGTAGGGGTGATGGTACATAATTGTTAGCTCCTGTTTATTCAACTGAAACAATATGTTATATTTGTCGGTACACTATACACGTAATGCGCTTTTTCCAATATTATGTAGCCAAGATATGTACATTTTGCACAAGAACACACTATTCAAAGAAAACGGTTTTCTTTGTGTTTGTTTGTGTAACGATTTTAATAATTATATAAACACCAGCAGTAACCATGGATACTGTTGTAAGTTATGTAACTATAGTGTTCTGACAGGTAGTTATAGAATTGTCATTTGTGGGCAGTGCTGGTTACATGTTTTGAAAGTTTACCATTTTGCTGTCAGTACTATCACTATGGAAATTTCAGCTTAGAAGACGTTTCTAATGCTAGTGTTATAACCCACAAGGAGTATGAATAATGTCATGGATCATATTCATTCTTCCCATCCATTAACATTATTTCATGGGACATCTGAAGGGTGGCTGGAGTTGCAGACCAGGGACCTGCTCCACAAACCTATAATAGCGCTACGACTGTCGGAAGTCTATGTTAAATTATGGGATGTACGATCATCTTAGCGCTACGACTGTCGGAAGTCTATGTTAAATTATGGGATGTACGATCATCTTAGCGCTACGACTGTCGGAAGTCTATGTTAAATTATGGGATGTACGATCATCTTAGCGCTACGACTGTCGGAAGTCTATGTTAAATTATGGGATGTAATGATCATCTTAGCGCTACGACTGTCAGAAGTCTATGTTAAATTATGGGATGTACGATCATCTTAGCGTTACGACTGTCGGAAGTCTATGTTAAATTATGGGATGTACGATCATCTTAGCGCTACGACTGTCGGAAGTCTATGTTAAATTATGGGATGTACGATCATCTTAGCGCTAACTGTCGGAAGTCTATGTTAAATTATGGGGATGTACACTGTCGGAAGTCTATGTTAAATTATCACGATCATCTTAGCGCCACGACTGTCGGAAGTCTATGTTAAATTATGGGATGCGATCATCTTAGCCTTGACTGTCGGAAGTCTATGTTAAATTATGGGATGTACGATCATCTTAGCGCTACGACTGTCGGAAGTCTATGTTAAATTATGGGATGTACGATCATCTTAGCGCTACGACTGTCGGAAGTCTATGTTAAATTATGGGATGTACGATCATCTTAGCGGAAGTCTACTGACTGTCGGAAGTCTATGTTAAATTATGGGATGTAATGCATCATCTTAGACTGTCCCAGTCTATGTTAAATTATGGATGTAATGATCATCTTAGCCAACAACTGTTGGGAATCATAAATTTGATGTCATCTTAGCCGTACTATCGCTTTGTGGAACAGAACTGTCTGACCCAGAAACACATGGATCATGTTTTGATGTTACACGATTCGATGTTCAGGATGTGAACTTCACGATGCTCGACACCAATGGTCATGCTCACAATGGCCGTGGCCTTCTACATGCTGTGGAGAACTTACTGTCCAGTATCTTCATCCCGGCCCTGAAGAACCTGGAGAAAGGCTGGGGAAAGCTGGAGAAAGATGACGCCAACGTCAGAGCTGATTTCCTCAACTCACTTGATGCCTTTGTGTCGGTCCTTGTAGGTAAGGAACAAAGAGAGCCCACAGTCTGTCTCTGCTTGCATCATAAAATAACCTAAAATAACCTAAAGTCATCATGTCATTACAGTATCAATCAGTCTCAGAATGAGTATGATGAACAAAACAACCTGAACTCAATGTTAAGTGTCATGACAGTACATGGCAATGAAAACCTTGTATCCAATAGTTTGTGTTTTTTAATACTCTTAGTGGAAAAGACCGCCTCCATGGTGTAGTGGTTAGAGCGTCCGCTCGAGAGCGGAAGGTCGCGGGTTCGATCCCCGACAGCGTCATACCAAAAGACGTTAAAATATGGTACTTGTTGGTCCCTGCCTGGCGCTCGGCATTAATGGGTACAACAAGGACTGGTCGGCTCAGAGTCAGTATAATGTGTCTGAGTGGGGTATTCCTGCTTCACTGCGGCATGGTATCTCAGTGGGTTAGCACTATAAAACCAGCTTAAGTCTGGGCTAGTACAAGCAGTCGCACATACACACGCATGCACGTCGTCATATGAGCGAAATATTCTCAAGCACGACGTAAAACCCAATTTCACCTCACCTCACCTTAATGGAAAAAGTTGTTTAAGAACCTGTCATGTTGTTATTCGTACAAGTAGACATCTTTAACAGTAGAAGGAACAGCACCAAGTGGCACTACACATGCCATGCAGTACAATGTTAATGACTGCTACTCAGCTGATGTAAACCATACTGCAAGAAAATGAGCTGAAGCTGGAGTAGCAGCTTATATTTGCACAGATTCTGTCAAATATTTCAGGACATGAGCATGTGTCTCAGTGCATACTAGTGATGTTGCTAATTGTATGTCTGCTATCTTCTATCGAGTTGTTGTATGTACAGGTGCCCAGGAGAGTCTTCAAGAGAAGGTGACCTTGAAACCATGTGAAGGTTATGAGGTGAGCAAGATCCAGACGGCTGCTGATTACCAGGCAGTGGCCAACAGCTCGGAGGCCCTGGAGGCCATTGAATCTTGCATGCATGTGTGGATCAAACAGATCGAGCAGGTGAGGATGCCGTTGAAATACAACATGTGATAGAGTAATGGTCACTTACCAGTACTCACTCTCTACATAGAATAGGCCTATGTTACAGATCCTTTCAGATAGGTTTAAACCTTAGATCATTATCCTGCCCTAATGTGACCCTGCTGATGTGACGTCTGCTGCAGGTTCTTGCCGAGAGTGAGCAGATGAGACGAGAAGCAGACGACATTGGGCCTCGTGCTGAGCTGGACCACTGGAAGAAACGTATGTCAAAGTTCAACTATCTTCTGGATCAGATCAAAGGCTCTGAAGTCAAGTCCGTCCTTGGTGTTCTTCATGCAGCCAAGTCAAAATTGATCAAGGTATGTTGCTTGATGACTTCTGGAGAACTGGAAATGGTTCTAAAAGGAGGAATAGTTTTCTAGAAATATCACTTATCTGGCTAAAGGATAGATTATCTTTGATGGGCATCTACACCTTGGAAGGTACAAAACTTTAGAAACACACAACTGAACTGATATATTTCCTTTTCTAAATATTTTTGATGTTGTCATTCCATGATTAACTGTGGCTTTTTCCTGATATTTTGTTCATTTTCGCTATGCAGGTCTGGCAGGAGCTTCGACAGACGTATCACAGACACAGCCAATGAGGCAAAGGACAATGTGAAGTTCCTCTACACTCTGGAGAAGTTCTGTGACCCACTCTACAACAGTGACCCTGTGAGACCTTCTTCTTACACACACATATACACATACACACACACGCACATTGGGGCACAGGTTTCCCAGTTGACCATGGCACACATTATGGATTCCAATTGGGGCAGTGGTTCACACTGAAGACCCAGTTGATCCCCACACACACACACAATGTGTGAAGCCCATTTCTGGTGTCCCCCTCACGTGATGTTGCTGGAATATTGCCGAGGCATGCAAGGAACCATGGAGTCCAATCCTGGTTTGTTCAGATTTGTTAGCTGGTTTCTCAGTACCAAAACTGTGTTCATGCATTTTAAAAAAATGGTAAATAACTCAGACCTTCATTAATTTGAGATTTCCATGCCATAACATGACAGCATTAACCCAAATTAACTCACTCACACACTGAATCCATTAGCTTGCAGCCTAAACTGTCATTGAACAGTCTCTGGCTTACAGAATCTAAGCTGTACCCCTCAGACAAATCCGTTATCTTTACTTCAAAATCAAGAGAACAGATGGTCCTGTTCAGTAAACCAGTGATTGTTCTGTGACTCAGAGAGGTTCTGTTAGCACAGAGACAGAGATAAACACTATTTATTTTGGGGAACAAGGATTCGAAAGATCGAAACCAAGAACCACAAGCGGTAAATAGAACACAGATATGTAGCAGGTCATTTTGCCCATTCGTACATTATGTGCAACATCCACTTCCCCGCCAGTATCCCCACTGTCTGTTATTGAGAGATGATCAAGTCTTCGGCCATGTTGAAATAAGTGACGTCTGCTTCAGGTGGGCATGTTGGAAGGTATCCCTGGCCTCATCAACGCAATCCGTATGATCCACAGCATCTCACGCTACTACAACACCTCGGAGAGGATGACGTCGCTCTTTGTCAAGGTGCGTTGCTTTTCAAGGGTTCATCAGCTATGTATTAACTTAAACTGTAGCAGAGACTGAAATACATTTGGAAATCAAAAATAACTTAGAGTTCCAACTGAAAGAGAGACCAAACCCAACTTATTCATTTCAATTGTTGCTGAGCTTGCCTTGAACTATAAATCAACTGACATATCTTTAATGCAATGGGACTTTATCAAGGTTGGGTTAAGGCTATGTAAAGGTAATAGTTTTAAGGCAACTCGGGTTGTATTTTCCCAGTGGAGCAGAGAATGCAAAATAGATGTGCAGTGGGGTAATAATTATACATGTTGTGAGCATCTGTGATGTGGACTTTACAAAAGTACATATTATTATTAATTAATTATTAATTAATCCGCCTCCTCAGATAACCAACCAGATGATCACTGCGTGCAAGGAGTACATCACTGACCTTCACCGAGACACCATCTGGTCTCAGCCTCAGGCCCAGGTTGTCGTCAAACTACACGACTGTATCAAGCTGAACGTTGACTACCAGCCATTTCCATAAGACCAAGGAAAAGCTGGAGAAGATGCCACAGGAACGCCCATTTGACTTCTCTGAGATGTACATCTTTGGCAAGTTTGACACTTTCACACGGAGGTTGACAAAGATCATTGAGATGTTTGAAACAATGGACATGTACTCCCATCTGGCAGAGTCTAAGATTGAAGGTAGGAAGGATCTGTTTCTTCTGGTGTAAGACAAAATATTTGGGTTGTGGGAGTGCATGCAAAGGTTTGGTTTAAGACTGCTGCAGCCATATGATGGAAGCTTTTGGTGTGGACCAGGCACAATCCAGTGACTGGTATTATGAGCAATTTATCCATGCCATCAGGGTACATCCACACATTTATCAGCCAATACTTCAAGCCAGACTGCAGGATCTATTTATTGTCCTCTCACATGGTTCTGATTCTAGCCTGGAGGCAAGAGTCCTTTCAGTATGCTAGGTATGATGCGTTCTGAACTGGATGAGTTGGTGAGCCTCGGTGAACTGGATGATGGCGCTATATAGTACTCTGATGATGAAACTATGTTGCTCATTATATCAACCACTGGTTTGTCTGGCTGTCAATAGAACTGGAATATTCACAATCATTTTTTGTTGTTGTAAAATCAAATTGAAAGTGAGCGTGCAACTACTGGACCATGTTACCATTCCCTGTTTCACACATTGATCCTAGTGCTTCAAGCTAAAGTAAAGGAATTATCATCATAATGCAAACCTCACTTTGTAATCTTAGAAATATAGACATGTGTATCAGGATGATAGAGGCAGGGTTAACAAGATATGAAAGCTCTGTGCACCAAGTGTGTACCAGGTTCACCTGGGTATATGTTCATTAAATGTGTGTAGACGTGTCGTGAATCTCACCGATCTGTTGCAGGTCTGGAGATCATGGCCAACAAGTTCAGTGTCATCGTGACAGCCATGAAGAAGAAGTCCTATGACTACCTGGACCAGAGGAAGATGGAGGTGGACCAGGACTTTGAGGAATTCAAGCGCCAGATCTCAGAACTCCATGTTAGTACTCATGTCTGTATCTTACCATTGTCTTGGAGGAACATGTCTCTGAGGCCATAAATATGAAACGTTTGTGCTCGAGAGTCTTGATGTGAAGTATGGATGTCAAATCTACAGATAGAGTTGTGGTGTGATTTGATTAACATCTCCACATGTACAGCCGCAGCATCCTGTATATATGTCATGTGTTGAAACTCACAAGCCCACTCATTTTCACATTATGATAAAAAACATCACGTTTGCATTTTGTTGCTTTCTGCCCAATTGTTGGAATAGTGACCAGTTTTAAGTCCCAAAACAAGATTGAACTCAAAATCTCAAGTTGTTAAACATCAAAATGAGGGTGGAAGCATATTCAGATGGGAACATTTTTCTGCCGTTGATCATTGACCCTGAAAACAAGTAATCCTTCATCTGTTTGGGATATCTGTCCGTTATATTTCGAAATCTGAAGATCTGCTTGTATGTTCCAGTCTGGAATCGTGAGCTTCATGGACGGCAAGTTTGATCGTATCTCAAACACTGCGAGGGCACTGCTGCTGCTGAGGAAGTTTGAGCGCCTGGACATCCCCAACCTTGGCATCCAGGAGAAGTACCAGCGCATCCTCAACCACTATGGCCGAGACATCGAGATGGTGGCTCGTCTGTACCAGAAGAACAAGAGTGATCCTCCAGTAGCCAGAGACCTGCCACCAGTTGCTGGTCAGTAGCAATCTATCGCTGTGTCTCTGTCTCGGGGCTTGCTTCAATGTCTCCCCATAGTCTAGCATACGACAATCATAGCAGGCAGACACAGAAACTGGGCACTGTCCTCGTTCCACAGACCGATTGTAGCACTACCAATCATTCTCTGTCTTGGGCCCTGCTTCACACAACAACCTTAGCTCTTTGGTTCTAGAAGTTCCCATTATCTTACATAATGACAGTCACAGCAGCCTGAAACACAAACAGCACTGTACCTGGCCTTTGTTCCACTGACTGATTGTAGGACTACAACCATCATTAGTCTGTTTTAGATTAGTGAGTTACAATCATCTCAGTACTCATATCATTTCGTGAAATAGGGCCTTGGCAATTTTTTTTTCAATTCCATTTGCTAGTTGTGTTTCTTAGGTTGTTTTTGTTAATTGTATTGTATTGGTAACTTTTGATATCTGAAACAGTGTTCAAAATTGAGATGGAAATTGTCCATCATTGGGCCTAAGATGTCCTTATCATAAGTCTAATGTTATAACTGATGATTTCAGTCTGATCATAGTATAATCTCAATGATGATTGGACTCCAGGTAAATATTACTTGATGTATCTGTTCCACGTACAGTGGACAATAATATTGGTCATCATCCTTGTGTCATCTCCAGGGTTAGTTCCGTGATAAGAGTGCTCACTCTGCTATGACCTGGGCCCAGCATGGGTGCGAGGTTATAAGTCTATTACTAGACTCCTTTACCATTATATTGTTGAAATGCTGCCATGGATGATATACAAATAAGATCCTTCACTTACCTTCTTAATTGCCCCTGCAGGAAAGATCTCGTGGGCTCGTCAGTTGTACCGCCGTATCCAGGAGCCGATGGAGGTCTTCCAGGAACATGCTACCATCCTGCAGGGTCCCGAGGCCAAGAAAATCATCAAGAGCTTCAACAAGCTGGCTAAAGTCTTGCTGGAGTTTGAAGTCCTGTACCACCGAGGATGGATCAGACAGGTAAGATGCTGTAACAGTCCTGTACCACCGAGGATGGATCAGACAGGTAAGATGCTGTAACAGTCCTGTACCACCGAGGATGGATCAGACAGGTAAGATGCTGTAACAGTCCTGTACCACCGAGGATGGATCAGACAGGTAAGATGCTGTAACAGTCCTGTACCACCGAGGATGGATCAGACAGGTAAGATGCTGTAACAGTCCTGTACCACCGAGGATGGATCAGACAGGTAAGATGCTGTAACAGTCCTGTCATCCGCCGTAAGTTGCTGTGTGAAATGGTCTTGTGAAAACAGTTGAACTGACATGTTATATTCAGGTTCTCTGTCAAGTATTATATGTAGGCCTTAAGTATGTTGGAAAAATAGCTGATAGATCATGTGGAGGTAAAAAGCTTACTTAATGTGAATAAAACTACATCATATCCGTTAACTTTACCAAGCCATTGTGAAATGATAAAATTATCAACACACGTTTCCACAATACACCGGTAATCTTTATTACGTAATATTCTCGTAATGGCGTCTCGTCGTTGATGCAACATACTTACGGTACACGGTCTGGTCTCTGTTAGCCGCGAACCATCGCGGGGGGCGGCCTATCTATGAGAGATATGATTTTGACACTGATTTTGAGGGTCAAGTTTGGGGGTCGTCTTATCCATGGGGTCGTCTTATAGACGGTCATATACGGTATGCTGAGATTAATCAGGAGTATGAATTAATTCCTATTCTCAACAATCTGAGAATGTAGGCACATGTATTTCCACATGACGCCAAACTATCTGAGGACTGGTCTAATGTCTCTGCCCTCCACCAGGTTGAGGCAGCCAAGTCCGGCCTCCATGCTTCGCTGTTGGTCCGCCATCCAGAGTCAAAGGAGCTGTACGTCAACTTTGACTCCCAAATTCTGACCATGATAAGAGAGACAGAGTGCATGAGTCGACTCGGTCTGGAGATCCCGCCAGCCGCCCGGACCATGAGAGCCAGACAGATGGAGTACAAGGACAACTATAATGCCCTTCAGGTGAGGCACTGGTATATGTGTTGTACGTGTGGATGAATGGTTGAGCTGAATTTCTGGAAGATAGCGTTTTAGATCATTTGATATTTTCTTCCTGACAAGCATATGTTTATATTAGCCTTGAGTAGTGCATGTGCACACACAGGCACACAATCACACTCTCTCACACAGAGACACACAAACACATAAATACACACAACATGCACATCTGTATATAACAGTTTGGAACTTGTCATAAAGCCCACTTTCACCTCTTTCTTCCCAAGAAGTAATACGATGACAAGATATTGATAACGTTTGAAACCATGGTGCCTTCTGGGACATCGTTCTCTGAACCTATCTCAGAATATGCTTTGTTCTTGTAGATGATGCTGGAGGAGAATAAGAGAGTTCTGGGAAAGATTCCTGCTGCCTTTGAGCTGCTGATGGGACTCCATGTTGCCAAAGTGGATGATACAATTGAACCAGGGGTGACAACTCTGACATGGACGTCCATCAACATCCATGACTATGTGGATGACGTGTACAAGTCTCTGGCAGAACTGGAACTTCTCATGGACAGAGCGCATGACTTGACGGAATTCCGTATTGACGCCATACTGCGAGACATGGCCATGACAACCCTGTGTGAACTTCCTGACGATGAACCCTGGACTGTGGACCACTTCTTGGAGAATACACAGGTACAGAGAACCAGAGAACCAAACTATCATGCTGAACCATGATCTGAGAAAATGTATCTGGTTGATATACTGAAATAGAATGATACTAGGCATTCAGCATAGTGTTAGGCAATAAGGCCATGGGTTGCACCGTTATTTATCATACACTTCAACATGATTATGATCCTTCTCAGTGCTAGTGGGTTTCTTGGAGGTGTCAGACGTCTGAGGCCCGTCCTTGATGTAATTGGACAAAGCGTTTACTATATACTCCCCAGTGAGCCAAGAATGTATTGGAAATGCACACTCATGATATTAGGAACCCCTTTGGCTTGCGAGAAACAATGGTTTGAATCACACATAGCCCTATTCATGTTTTTGTCAACAACATGTAAGTTTGTTGTTTACCAGTGTTCACCATCTGAGACATGCATCACTGTGGGCTTTTCGCCATCATTAAGCTCACATGCTGTAATGCTGTTCAAAGTGGCCTCATTTCAGTCCTGGTGAGGCGTCTTGGGCTGTTTAAGATGCCTGGTTGTCTTGTTTGTGCTACTGCCCAGACTGTGTGATACTTACTGTGTGTTGTGGCAGATCCTGTGTGCGAAGGGAGCACAGATCCTGCAGACCAAGAGTCAGACTGTGGAGGAGGCGGCCAATGAGCTGATCAACATGCTGTGCAACTCAGAGCCCGAGGAGACTGAAGAAGAGGAGGAGGAAGAGGAGGAACCTGAGGAAGATGGTGAGTTATCTCCCTTGTTCTTGTAATCAAATGTGTTTGTGTGATCTTTGTGACCCTAACCAGCCTGTATCACCTCAAATATATTTAAATTTCTCCTCTTTAATGCATCCGTCTAAGACACAAATATGTGTCGCCTGTAGGACCAGGAAAATTGTTGCCATCATATAGCGGGAATATTTTTGAGTACAATGATAAAAGATGATAAGGCTGAAAAATAAAAGAGTTTCACTTATATATTTTGAAACTCTAGATATTAAGATTCCACTGAATACATGTTAAAGTGGACTGATTAATAAGGTGTTGCTATTTGCTGTGCAGAGTTGTGTCCCTTGGTTAGACAAAAACCTGTGCTTGTAGGTTTGAATGCCAGTCCACCCCAATTCTGTGTCTAGGTTTGTCAGCTCCATACTCCATCACTTCAGACTTTATTCCCACATTAAAGCTGACACACTGTGATATAAGTGGAATACTGTTCATAGCAGTATAACCCAAACCCATTCATTGCACAGTTAAATACTTACCAGTACAATGCCTTTGACAGCTGATGGAAAAAGCCATGATGGCTCTCCACGGGAGTCTCGCATGTCGCACACCGGCAGCAAGCGATCTCGTCCTCTGTCCTCCAAGGCCCTCAACGTGGCCAAGAAGAAGCGAGAGATGAGGGAGAACATCGAGGAGTCGGCCATGGAGCTGCTCATTCACTTCAACAACCGCAACCTGGACGCCCTCCTACGTTGTGTCCGCAACACCCTGGAGGCTCTACGGAAGAGGATCTCCTCCAGCTCCATCTCTCACTATATGAGTAAGTCTTGCAATCTCTCTGCTTCTGAAAAATATATGCTTCCTATTGATGCTTTGACATTTGCACATTCTGATTGGTTGAAATAGCGACTGGTCATTTATCAAAGGGGAAGGTGGGTTGGTGAGATTCAGGAGAGGTCGTGAGGACACTCCAGTAGGTGGAGGTGCCACGCTTTATCACTTCTCTTGGGAGCGATGACAAAAAGGACAGTTCATGTTTTTTGCCTGCAGAAACCATTGTTTATGTTATGGAATATATTTTGAGGGAAGTGACATTCAAAATTGTAACATGTATTGGGGATTGCATAACATGGGGGTGAGCAAAATTTGATACAGATCTAATCGCATCAGCTCACCCCCACCCAAGTCTCTAACATATTTCCTACCCTAGTGGTATCTCTCCTTTGTATTTGCAATCTACAGTATAATGTAATCCCCGCCTCTTGATTTTAAATATATTTCTTTTTTCTTGTATTTTAGTATTATATTCCCTATAAACTCTGAACAGTGTCCAGTATCATCTTGGCATAATCTGTAGGTGTTGTACATGTCAGAAAGTAATATGAATTCTTTCTACCTGCATGTCAAAGAAAAATGACAAAAACAAGAAACAGGATAATTTGGGCATGATTTTGTGAATTTCTTATATTTTGGTTCTTTCCTTTATTTTGGGGCATGGAGGGTGCTGTTATCTAAGGTGCTGCAGTTCCCTGTGCAGAGTTCTGTCCCTTGATCATGCCAGAATACTCCTACCTAAGCCAATATGTCAGGATATAACAAGAATGGCAGTAACTCTAGTCACTCACTCTCTTTTCTTGTTATACTAGCTGACACATCGGTGTTTGGAGACAAGCGAGACAGTCGTCCCTTCTACCGAACGTATGCCACGCTGCAGATTCCCAACATCACCATGCAGCCTGCGTTGGACGAGGTCCAGCAGGCTCTGAACAAAGCTGTACAGAACATTATCTGTGTCAGCAAGGGTGTGGCTCAGTGGAGCAAGGAACGCAAGCGTGTGGTCAAACCAGCCCAGACCGAGCGTTCTGGATCAGTCACTGGTGACTACTCCCACGAGAGGAGAGGCAGCGTAGCTAGCCAGGCCCCGTCTGAGGGTTCCCACCCTGAGCGCAAGGGTCGTGGGGAGGGAGAGACTGCACCCAGCAATCTGGTGATTCAACAGCAAACCAAGAATTACTTCAAGAGCGTGTCGGACAACAAGGACATTGCCAAACTGGCGTCCCTCCTGTCCACATCCATCAACTCTACCAAGAAGGTCAGTACACCTTTATGTCTTTCAACCCCTTATCCAAGAGATATATTTTGAATATACCCTATTCTATGAGAACCATTATTTTACCAAACATGGCTTCTTGATATGACTTTGATTCCGGATGTTGCTACACTGTATGAAGCCCACTTGTGGTTTCCCTTGCCACAATGTTGCTGTCATATTGCTGTCATATTGCTCTAGTATTATCATGAGAAGCAGCAAATATTAAACTCACAGCAACTTGGGCATGTGTGTGTGTGCGTACGTTATCATGCAGAGGCATGTTTGTAACAGGTATGTCCCATACTATTTGAATTCTTTCTTTAGATTTTTCTGCAGATTCCATCTGCACATTATTCTCATGGTAATCAAACATTTTCCTTGCAGGAGGTGACAACAGCTCTGGACAAGTTCTCACACTACCATGCCATCTGGGAGTGTGACCGTGATGAGGACCTCAACGAGTTCATGAAAGACGATCCCAAACTGTCAGAGTTTGAGGCAAAGATAAAACACTTCGAAGAACAAGAGGTTCGGATCAACAACGAGCCTGAGTACTATGATGTGGGTGCCATCGCTCTCTATACAGGTGAGAAGGATTGTATACAGTGTTAGAATTAAAGGAAGACTTGTTGTTGATGGCCCTTCAAACCCCCATCATGGTCCTGGTTTAGAGCCGTTCTTCAGCACCCCTACCCTGCCATAAGATATGACTAAGTTCAGGCTCACTGACTTGGTTAATGTGAATGTATGATATTGCATCCCAGTTGCATAGGTCAGTGCTGTTAATGTCAATCACTGGATTGTCTGGTCCAGATGGGGCGGTGGGGTAGCCTAGTGGTTAAGGCGTTGGCTCGTCACGCCGAAGACCCGGGTTCGAATCCCCACATGGGTACATTGTGTGAAGCCCATTTCTGGTGTCCCCCGCCGTGATGTTGCTGGAATATTGCTAAAAGCGGCGTAAAACCAAACTCAGTCAGTCAGTCAGTCTGGTCCAGATATGATTATTTACAGACTGACATTGTACGACAAACAAACCCTGAATATGTGGCTTACAATTGTTCCTACTTGGTAACCCAAGGCTAGTGGTGTGTAAACAGTGGTGATAACCCTAAGAAGTGGTGTAAGAGTGGTAACCTAGGGCAAGTGGTGTAAGAGTGGTAACCTAGGGCAAGTGGTGTAAGAGTGGTAAACTTTGTGGAACAGGGCCATGGGGTCTTTCCTTGAGATGTTTCAAGGATGCAGTCATTCACCATACCCACAGGCACATGGATGGCACATAAGGTGCATCCATTACCTGTGCAGAGTTATGTCCATTGTACATGCCCAACATTGTAGGTTTGAATCTGGACTTACCATGATTACGGTTCTAGATTTGTCAGCACCAGACCAGTGGCTGTGGAATACACCATGGTGGTACACATCCAACCATCATAATAAAACTGTTCAAACCAATCTCAATCAATTCATGTTTTACAGAGAAGCTGAAACTGGGCTTGACTACAGAGACCAAAGCATGGCGCCTTCACTATGGTAAAGCTTGCAACACCAAGTACCGGGATGAAATGGAGAATATCTTCACCTTCATTGATGATTCGCAGAAGAGGCTGACCCGACCAATCAAAGACCTGGATGACATTAGGTTTGCAATGGCTATCCTGAAGGAGATCCGGGAGCGGGAGATCATGATTGACATGAGCATTGGACCCATTGAGGTGAGGAGGAGATGATAGATGTATATTCCTATAGGGTATTGAGGTGAGGAGATGATAGATGTATGTTCTTATAGCATATTGAGGTGAGGAGGAGATGATAGATGTATATATATGTTCCTATAGCATATTGAGGTGAGGAGATGACCCATTGTTCCTATAGCATATTGAGGTGAGGAGATGATAGATGTATGTTCCTATAGCATATTGAGGTGAGGAGATGATAGATGTATATATATGTTCCTATAGCATATTGAGGTGAGGAGATGATAGATGTATGTTCCTATAGCATATTGAGGTGAGGAGATGATGATAGATGTATATATATGTTCCTATAGCATATTGAGGTGAGGAGATGATAGATGTATGTTCCTATAGCATATTGAGGTGAGGAGATAGATAGATAGATGATATGTTCCTATAGCATATTGAGGTGAGGAGATGATAGATGTATGTTCCTATAGCATATTGAGGTGAGGAGATGATAGATGTATATGTCCTATAGCATATTGAGGTGAGGAGATGATAGATGTATGTTCCTATAGCATATTGAGGTGAGGAGATGATAGATGTATGTTATATTCCTGAGGTAGAGATATAGATGAGGTTGATAGCATGATTGATGAGATGATATATGTTCCTATAGCATATTGAGGTGAGGAGATGATAGATGTATATATATGTTCCTATAGCATATTGAGGTGAGGAGATGATAGATGTATATATATGTTCCTATAGCATATTGAGGTGAGGAGATGATAGATGTATATATATGTTCCTATAGCATATTGAGGTGAGGAGATGATAGATGTATATATATGTTCCTATAGCATATTGAGGTGAGGAGATGATAGATGTATATTCCTATAGCATATTGAGGTGAGGAGATGATAGATGTATATTCCTAGAGCATATTGAGGTATATATGTATATTCCTATAGCATATTGAGGTGAGGAGATGATATAGAGCATATTGAGGTGAGGAGATGATATATTCCTATAGCATATTGAGGTGAGGAGATGATAGATGTATATTCCTATAGCATATTGAGGTGAGGAGATGATAGATGTATGTTCCTATAGCATATTGAGGTGAGGAGATGATAGATGTATGTTCCTATAGCATATTGAGGTGAGGAGATGATAGATGTATATTCCTATAGCATATTGAGGTGAGGAGATGATAGATGTATGTTCCTATAGCATATTGAGGTGAGGAGATGATAGATGTATGTTCCTATAGCATATTGAGGTGAGGAGATGATAGATGTATGTTCCTATAGCATATTGAGGTGAGGAGATGATAGATGTATGTTCCTATAGCATATTGAGGTGTGAGGAGATGATAGATGTATGTTCCTATAGCATATTGAGGTGAGGTGAGGAGATGATAGATGTATGTTCCTATAGCATATTGAGGTGAGGAGATGATAGATGTATGTGAGGAGATGATAGATGTATGTTCCTATAGCATATTGAGGTGAGGAGATGATAGATGTATATTCCTATAGCATATTGAGGTGAGGAGATGATAGATGTATGTTCCTATAGCATATTGAGGTGAGGAGATGATAGATGTATGTTCCTATAGCATATTGAGGTGAGGAGATGATAGATGTATGTTCCTATAGCATATTGAGGTGAGGAGATGATAGATGTATATTCCTATAGCATATTCCAGTTTTTTTGAATATATGTTTTTCTTCAAGGGACCAAAGTCTCATCCAGTTAGTGCTGCAAGAGTTTTAATATCGAGTTGATACAAGCATTGTGGGAATAACGGAGCTGATACATTTCCAGGGCTAACTGCTTAAATGCTATCATTTCATTCTCAGACTACGGTCTCAGCTGATTGTGGGGGCTCTTAAAGATATTGTTGGTGTAGGACTCTGATCACTTCATGAAACCAAGCTGAAATCTATGCTCTCCAAGAGGATCTTAGTGCCATGACTGTCATAGTATTGTGTTGTCATACCCTTAATTGTCCTTTTATAGGATCCAGGTTTTACGAGTGCTGAACAACCAATAGTTAAACATACATTTTGGGAATATCCTGAAGATGGCTGTGTCAAATGAAAAATCGGAATATTTTCTTCCACCATGTTTGGAATAAAACAGATTCGGTTAATTATTGCAATGTTCTCAGCATTTTGCATTGTATCCCTCAGGAATCGTATGCGATGCTGAACAAGCACGAGCTCCCAGTCGTGAAGGAGGAGACGGAGAGATGTGACACACTGCGGTACTCCTGGGAGAAGCTGAACACACAGTCTGCAGAGGTTCAGACCCATCTGCTGACCATACAGCCCGAGTTCAAGTCTGAACTGGTGGAGAACGTCAAGATCTTCGAGCAAGAAACAGCAGACTTCTACCATGGTTATGACACGGTGAGTCACAATTTGAACATAAGTATTTGTTGTAATATCTACCATTTACTTTGCAACTTTCTGTAATAAGCTAGTTCACTTTGTTTGTCCAGCCAAGGTATATGTTATGTGTTTTATACCTGTAATATGTATGTGTGGTGTGTAATAGGCATGTCAAATGAATTTAATGTGTGTGTAATATCGATGTAATAGGGGTGTTATATCATGTAATATATGTGTAATAACGATGTAATATAAGTGTAATATCATGTAATATGGGTGTAATATCATGTTATATGGGTGTAATATCATGTAATATGGGTGTAATATCATGTTATATGGGTGTAATTTCATGTAATATGGGTGTAATATGCATGTCAAATGAATTTAACGTGTGTGTAATTTCGATGTAATAGGGGTTTAATGTCCATGTAATATGAGTGTAAAATCATGTAATATGGGTGTAATATGCATGTCAAATGACTTTAACGTGTGTGTAATAAGGGTGTGATAGGGGTGTAATGTCCATGTAAGATGGGTGTAAGATCGTATGATATGGATGTGATGTGCATAAAATGCATGTGATATGGGTGTAATATGCTCGTATTATATATGTGGTCTGGGTGTAATATGTAAGTGGATATTTGTAATGTTTGCAATGTATGTGTTTTGTGTGTAACCTGCATGTAATATGGATGTAATATGTTTTTAATATGTATGTTGCATGGGTTTAATATGTGTGTGTAGGTTTGTAATCAGGTTGTGTGTAGTATGCATGTACATTGGGTGTAATATATATTCACAGACCGGACCGATGGTTGCTGGAGTTGCCCCACGTGAGGCGTCTGACCGACTCATCATCTTCCAAAACCAGTTTGACACCCTCAACAGGAAGTTTGTCACCTACTCTGGAGGTGAGGAGCTGTTCGGTCTCCCTGTAACGGACTACCCGGAGCTGGTCCGCATCAGGAAGGAACTGAATCTTCTCCAGAAGCTGTACGGCCTCTACAATGACGTCATCGACACCGTACATGGGTACTACGACATCAACTGGCAGGACGTCAACATAGATAAGATCAATACTGAACTTCAGGAGTTCCAAAACAGGTAAATTAACTGAGGTAGCCATCAAACAGTTTAAAAACTTTCAGAAATGAGTGCAATGTTGAGTTTGTAGCCTGATCTGAAGGAAGGAGTATGGAGTCTTGTGCTGGTCAGATGTCAGTTTTCTAACACGACTCCATTTTTTACCACCATGTTTCCGATGTTCAGATATTCAGGGTGAAGATGCCGTGACACTCAGACACAACAGACATTCTGAAGCCTGTATCTGTTTTCATTCAGAACTGCACTGGTACACACATTTTCACATTTTGCTGTTATAAATAGGAGTTTTGTATTTTTCTGATCAAGCCTCAAAGATCTACTTTCAGTCAAAGCTTCCTCACAAATATAACAGTGGTTAGTTTTTGTCTGTCACAAACCTGCTGAGTATAATAATACATTGCTTGTTGACACAGATGCCGCAAGCTGCCACGTGCCCTGAAAGACTGGCAAGCTTTTGAGGATTTGAAACAGACAATTGACGACTTCAACGAGATGGTGCCATTACTTGAACTGATGGCCAACAAGTCCATGCAGCCTCGTCACTGGAAACGTATGTCAGACACCACGGGTCACATGTTCGACGTCGAGGGTGAGAACTTCACGCTCAGGAACATCCTTGAGGCACCGCTGCTGCAGTTCAAGGAAGACATTGAGGTATGCATGTGACACCTCCATCACTATCTGTCTTTCCTTTCCCAAAACCAACCATATACTGTATGAAGCACCTGGGGTTAGAAATTTTGAAAAGGTGTTGTTTATCAAAACCATACTCAATTTGAATTTGTTATCTGTGATCAAGTGGTAGTAAGAAATACAAAGGTTTCAAGCGGACATTTTTTTAAAGTTACTCACACCTGCCCTGGTGTTTCCTTTTACAAAGGACAGCTGAAGTATTTCAGTGTTAATAGAAGGAGTTAAGGGGGTGGGGCAGGCATGGTTTTGAAGATGAACTTGAAGATTGCATCAGACGTTACTCATGGGGCACCTATTTTGAGCAGGGTGTTAACATTAATAACTCAATAGTTATCAAACAAAGTTCATTCACTCACTCACACTCTGTGTTTCCCCAGGACATCTGTATATCAGCGGCTGAAGGGCTCATCAGTGACTGGGGACACCAGGATTTCACCTTCGGCAACTTCAAGAACCGAGGCGAGCTCCTCCTCCGAGGTGACACAACCTCCGAGATCATCGTCCTCATGGAGGACTCTCTCATGGTGCTCAGCTCGCTGCTTAGCAACCGTTACAATGCTCCCTTCAAGCCGAAGATTCAGACATGGGTTCAGAACTTGACAAACTCGTCTGAGATCATTGAGAACTGGATGACAGTACAGAACCTCTGGGTCTACCTGGAGGCCGTGTTTGTTGGTGGTGACATCGCCAAACAGCTGCCCAAGGTAAGAGCTGGACTCTAGGGACAGAGATCTGCTGGAGAATAGGTCTAAGTGTCAAGGAGCATTTGTTCCTGTAGTAAACTTGTTTCGCTGGGGCAAATGTTACAATAGGACAGATTTACAAGAAAACTTCTTCCATGATACATTTACACAGGAAGAATTTGTCTGGGTTGAACTGATTCGTACCACACACATCATGTTTGCTTTATGATAGGGAAACCAAACTTCCTCAAATGTTGCTGATGCCTACTAAGCAATGTTGACTCCTTCAATGTTACAGGAAGCTAAGAGGTTCAGCAACATTGACAAGTCGTGGGTGAAGATCATGACGCGTGCCCACGAGACGCCCAACGTTGTGACGTGTTGTGTTGGAGATGAGACTCTGATGCAGCTCTTGCCTCATCTGCTGGAGCAGCTGGAACTCTGCCAGAAGTCTCTCACTGGGTATGTTCTTCTCCATCGTGATCCATAAACTTCTGTGTTCAGTAAATAATGTACAATACAATCAATAACTACAAATGTTACTGATAAACTAGAAATGTAACTCTTTATTCAGATTAGCTATTTACATGTGTGTATAACAACATAGATATTTTTCAAAATTTGACCAGATCATTGTTGACTATATTCAATTATGCATTGTTAAGTGCTTCCTAATAGCATTTGGATGTTTCCATTCAATATCTAGTTACCTGGAGAAGAAGCGTTTGTCATTCCCACGATTCTTCTCGTCTCCGACCCTGCCTTGCTGGAGATCCTGGGTCAGGCCAGTGACCCCCACACCATCCAGGCTCACCTGCTGTCTGTCTTCGACAACATCAAGACAGTCAAGTTCCACGAGAAGAACTACGACCTTATCTTGTCAGTGGCCTCATCAGAAGGAGAAACCATTGAGGTGAGAACACAGTTCCATCCATCTTGAACATTCACTTTGTGAAACCATGGAGCAATGTTGAACTAGCATGTTAATTATTATCATCTTGTAATAATCTTTGTTGTACTTATGGCCAGAAGTAAGAGAATATAGTGTACCTCAGTGTACCTGCACACCCACTCACTGTTGTCTATACACTCAATTCTGTGCCTTCATTCACTCACTCACTCTATGCCTACTCACTCACTAATGCACTGTGTATTGTGTTTTAGCTGGAGAAGCCTGTGAAGGCGGAGGGCAATGTGGAGGTGTGGCTGATGGCGTTGATGCAGATGGCTCACCGCTCCGTCCATGGCGTCATCAGACAGGCAGCCATGGCCATACAAGACCCCAGCTTTCAACTCTTGGAGTTCCTCAACATGTTCCCAGCTCAGGTAGGACATGCTTAATTACAGGTAGACACACCTAGTTACTTTTACAGCAACACAATTCTTGTTCTAGTCATAAGTCTCATCCTCACTTCCTGTGATATTTGTTAGCAGTCTTTCACTTTTCATAATGAGTTTGGGAAAGATCTCATTTGCAAATTTGATGATGTCTTAAATGAAATATGATGTGGTGTTTGTTCAGGGATTTTACTATGCTATACATATGCATAGGCTCACTGACCTCATCTGTTCACAGCAGTTTTAACTTCATTTTCCGTTACCCACTGCTTTCAAACTTCGTATTTTTTTGATCTTTTAGAAACAGAGACTTCAGTTAATTGGCTTTGTTTTCCTACAATACTGTAAGCATCAACTATATGTTTTATCACAACCTGTTTTCTTGGTAGCCAAAATTAATGAAACTTCAATACAGCTTTTCCATTCAAACATGATGCTGCTCTGGGTATCCAACCTGGGTGCCCAAATGATATGGACCTCAGATTTCTGACACAGTTGGTTTGTGTTTCATATAGGTTGGTCTTCTCGGCATCCAAATGATCTGGACACGTGATGCCACAGAGGCCTTGACCCACGCCAAGTACGACAAGAAGATCATGCAGCAGACCAATAACGCGTTCCTGGAGCTGCTGAACACTCTCATTGCCCAGACCACCATGGATCTCAAGAAGATCGAGAGAACCAAGTTTGAGACTCTCATCACTATCCACGTCCATCAGAGAGACATCTTTGAGGATCTGGTGAGTGGGATGATATGGCTGATTTCCTGCCCTTATGGTATTCTATTTTACACTGTATAATGCCATATTTTCTCCTAGACAAGTGGGGGCGGTGGGGTAGCCTAGTGGTTAAAGCGTTCGCTCGTCACGCCGAAGGCCCGGGTTTGATTCCCCATATGGGTACAATTTATGAAGCCCATTTCTGGTGTCCCCCGCCGTGATATTGCTGGAATATTGCTAAAAAACGGCATAAAACCATACTCAATCAGTCCTGGACAAATGGTGGCATTATAACCAGGGTATACTGTATTGTATTGCAAGATTCAACAACACTTTTGTAATGTATAAGCATTAACTTTGTGACCATAGTTTAACATATTGATGTCATCTGTTGATAGTTATGCCAGGAGAGTAAGGACTACAAAGTACAGTCTATGGTTATTGGTATGGCTGACATTTTGAAAAATACAATGCAGTACTGCAAAATGATGATACACTTTGATGATACACAAGCCTTATTTGTCTCACAATTTTGTTACGCCATTGATATTTTTGTGAGCTATAGATATCAACAATTGATATTTTGTTATTTTCAATTGTCATTGATATGATCTTAATTGCTGATTGAAGGCTTGTAGGACTGACATTTTGGATTCAGTTCAAGGATTCTTTTTTGATACTGGGCCTAGATTTTCAAAACTCTCCTCGTGTCAAGATGGTCGTAAGTGCCATACATTAACATTAACTTACGACTATCTTAGCTCTAAGAGAGCTTTGAAAATCTTGACCTAGGTGTTTCGCTATTGTGATGCCTTTCATAGGTTTATATGTCAACTATTGATATTTTATTATTTTTCATTGGTATTATTAATTCCTGTACAATACCATGCAAACATAGTACTGCTATTTTAGAACAGTTATTAAAGATCAGGTTTTGGAATGACCAACTTGTTGTAATATTGGTAAGTTATGTCTGTTTTCTAGTGTCGTCAACACATCAAGTCTCCGACAGACTTTGAGTGGCTGAAGCAGTCTCGCTTCTACTTCATCGAGGACCAGGATAAATGTCTCATCTCCATCACAGATGTGGACTTCATGTACCAGAATGAGGTCCTCGGCTGCACTGAGAGACTGGTCATCACCCCCCTCACTGACAGGTGAGTTGATGAGTGGTGGAGACGCCTTGATGTTAATAGGTACCCTCATCAGACCAAAGACCCATGTTCTATTCCCCACAAGGGTACAATATGTGAGGCCAATTTTGGAATTTTGCTGGAATATTGCTAAATGTAATGTAAAGATTCACTCGTACGATTAGTAGGTCACCCCTTGCACCTGATAGTGTATGAGTTGTCATAGGAGCTGAGGTTACCTGTTCACTGACAGGTGAGTGAGGTGTTACTGCAGCAGTACGTAGAGTGAGTGAGTGAGTAAGTGAGTTAATATTTATCGTCACATCGGCAATATTTCAGCCATATTGTGACGAGAACAGTTTATAATTATATTATAGATCAATAAAGTAGGACATTAAAAAACCTGTTGACGAAGAACAGTAAAACTACTAGTGTATCACAGATATCCATTTAAAACTAGCAATTAAATCTAAAATATTGGAACTATAAATGACAATACAATATAAAAACAGGCTATAGATTGCCAACAACTGAAGGTAGATCAAAACACTAGGGACCATGGGGACTTACAGTACATTTGCGTCCTGCATGGGCCCTAGCTGGATTTACATCATCCCCTCAGCTGTTAGCAATTGAGATATATCTAGCCATACATTAAAATTACACATATTCTACGATTAAAACACGGAAAGTTGAAATTTACTTTGAATGTTTTGGGACTTCAGTACCTAGAATATGCAGAGTTATCTTCCTTAACCTTGCTTGAAATCTATGACTGTAAAATCAAATCCTGGTCCTCATTATTCCTTATGGTTTGCTTGGACCTTACCCATGTTTGGGTCTCAAACTGTACATAAATAGGGCCTGCATTACTTTCTGACCACATCATGCTGACATGTAGAGATCTCCTGAACTACAGTTGATGGTAGTGTTTAACTCAATCGACTGTTTCCAGGTGTTACATCACACTGGCGCAGGCTCTGGGCATGTCCATGGGTGGTGCCCCGGCTGGTCCTGCCGGTACAGGGAAGACGGAGACAGTTAAAGACATGGGCAGGTGTCTCGGCAAGTACGTCGTCGTCTTCAATTGTTCAGATCAGATGGACTTCCGAGGTCTGGGACGTATCTACAAAGGTGAGGAAACTTTGTTAATTTGATCCAGATGATGATGGCCCAGTGGCCTATGGCAGACGTGTACTGCTGGATTCAGGATTGGTTGAAGTTGTTATGGATTTGTCTTCTTAGCTTTAGGTGTAGTAAATTTTTATTCATGTTCTTGGGGTACATTTGATTTGTTCAAAACGTTGGGTTGGTGTGTGATGGGTTGCTGTTACATGGTTGGAAGGAATAACATGTAATAACCTCATGAACTCCTTCGGATCCTTCACTTGTTTAAGATGCTGCACTGTGCAGAGTTGTGTCCCTTACCTACCAGGATCCACTTGTTGTGGGTTTGATCCTTGGTCTATCAGTCCTTACCCCTTTGTCTTGGTTGCAATGGTGTTCTGAGCATTTAAGATGCTTCTGGGTAACTCTTCAAATATCTATTCGCATATTACTCCTTATTGGGTCAGTTATTTCCCAAAAGCGTTGGCTCGTCACGCCGAAGACCCGGGTTCGAATCCCCACATGGGTACAATGTGTAAAGCCCATTTCTGGTGTCCCCCGCCGTGATGTTGCTGGAATATTGCTAAAAGCGGCGTAAAACCATACTCAGTCAGTCAGTCAGTTATTTCCCAAACAATTGTTTTAGCTATTTGCATCATTTAAACTGAATATGTGTTGTAATAAACTATGGTTATAATGAACTGAAAGGTACTGCGTATTTTAGTTCATTGTAACTGCAGTTTGTTGTACACATTACAACTAAAATATATAGCGAGTGTCCAGGACAGATTGTAAGCGTGTTTGTTAAAACAAAGTTTACTAAAATATTATAGCTACAGTTGAAGTGTCTCCTAGGACAGCATTGTATATGAGTTCCATGTTTGTCTAGGTCTGGCCCAATCTTTGTTTACAGTTGAAATATTGTCTAGCCCATTATACTGTTCTACAGTTGAACTGTTCCAAACCTAGGTCTGGCCCATTGCATCTACTGTTCTACAGTTGAACTGTTCCATGTCTTGTCTAGGTCTGGCCCATTGCATCTACTGTTCTACAGTTGAACTGTTCCATGTCTCGTCTAGGTCTGGCCCATTGCATCTACTGTTCTACAGTTGAACTGTTCCATGTCTCGTCTAGGTCTGGCCCATTGCATCTACTGTTCTCCACAGTTGAACTGTTCCATGTCTCGTCTAGGTCTGGCCCATTGCATCTACTGTTCTACAGTTGAACTGTTCCATGTCTCGTCTAGGTCTGGCCCATTGCATCTACTGTTCTACAGTTGAACTGTTCCATGTCTTGTCTAGGTCTGGCCCATTGCATCTACTGTTCTACAGTTGAACTGTTCCATGTCTCGTCTAGGTCTGGCCCATTGCATCTACTGTTCTACAGTTGAACTGTTCCATGTCGTCTAGGTCTGGCCCATTGCATCTACTGTTCTACAGTTGAACTGTTCCATGTCTCGTCTAGGTCTGGCCCATTGCATCTACTGTTCTACAGTTGAACTGTTCCAGTTGAACTGTTCCATGTCTCGTCTAGGTCTGGCCCATTGCCTATGTACATCTGAACTGTTCCACTAGGTCTGGCCCATTGCATCTACTGTTCTACAGTTGAACTGTTCCATGTCTCGTCTAGGTCTGGCCCATTGCATCTACTGTTCTACAGTTGAACTGTTCCATGTCTCGTCTAGGTCTGGCCCATTGCATCTACTGTTCTACAGTTGAACTGTTCCATGTCTTGTCTAGGTCTGGCCCATTGCATCTACTGTTCTACAGTTGAACTGTTCCACTGTTGGCCCATTGCATCTACTGTTCTACAGTTGAACTGTTCCATGTCGTCTAGGTCTGGCCCATTGCATCTACTGTTCTACAGTTGAACTGTTCCATGTCTCGTCTAGGTCTGGCCCATTGCATCTACTGTTCTACAGTTGAACTGTTTTCTAGGTCTGGCCCATTGCATCTACTGTTCTACAGTTGAACTGACTAGGTCTGGCCCAGGCTGTGGGGATGTTTTGATCTGTCGACCTGCCAGTGTTGTCTGTGGCAGCTCAGCAGATTGCCATTGTGCTCGCCTGTAAGAAGGAGCGCAAGAAGAACTTCATCTTCACCGATGGCGACAATGTCGACATGAACCCAGAATTTGGAATCTTCTTGACAATGGTGAGTCTCATTTTCATCATTCTCTTCATCTGTAGTAGTTTTTAATTTCTTTGCATTCTCTAAATATAGACAGCTTTAAAAGGCTGTAAAGTGAGACATTATATCCTCAAAATATCAGGGTTTATATGCTCTACTCCATTATATATTCTGGACATAAGAATGTGGAATTTGGACCACATACAGTGGAAGCCCTCTAAACCAGCATTCGTTGGGACCGGCTTAAAATGCCGGTATAGAGGGTGTGCCGGTTTAGAGGGCGGTTTATGATCTTAAATTAACATAATTAGCTTCTTCTGGGACCAAATTCTAGTGATGATATTGAGAGCATGTCGGATTGGAGGGCTGCCGGTTTAGAGGGCTTCCACTGTATAACTTTCTTTACTTAGCCAAATCTTGGGTAACTTGAAAACCTAATTTGTTCAATAACTAGGAACTGAAAGGCCTTTACTGGTAATTATATCTTCAGTATGTATGGAAGCTGGTTTCAGGACCAGCAGATACCTGGGTCTCACTACAGTTACATTTTTTTCCTTTAAGAACCCTGGTTACGCTGGACGACAAGAGCTCCCTGAAAATCTAAAGATCAACTTCCGTACTGTGGCCATGATGGTGCCGGATCGTCAGATCATCATCCGTGTTAAACTTGCTGCAGTCGGCTTCATGGACAACATAATCCTGGCCCGCAAGTTCTACACCCTGTACAAACTGTGTGAGGAGCAGCTCACTAAACAGGTACGCATCGTCGGTAATGTGCTGCAGACATCACAACAATAGTAGGGTTGAACAAAACAGGTCAGAAAGTTAAACAGCCATGCCAAGCAGCCTTCAAGAAATATATTTCCAAGTGCATACAGAAGTTGATTTGCTCAATCAATTTTTATCAGTTCCCACCACCTTCTTCTTCTTCTTATCCTCGTTCTTCTTTCCATTCTCTGCATCCTTCTCACTCTCTCCTCTTCCTATTCTCTTCCTTCTTCTAATACTTTTTCTTATCCTCTCCTCCTCATAATTCTTCTCTTCCTCTCCTCTCCTTGTCCTTATTCTTCTCCTCCTCCTTCTTATCCTCCTTAACCTTTTTCTCATCATTTTTATTATCCTTCTGCTCATTCTTCTCTTTTTTGTTGTTGTTATCTTTACTCTTCTCCTTATTCTTCTCATCCTCCTCCTTAGCCTTTTAATTATTCTCATCCTTCTCTCCTACTTATCATCTTCTCATCATCTTTCTCTTCCTCCTTCTTAACATCGTTTTCTCTTCTTCTCCTTAACCTTCCTTATCCTCAATCTTATTATCATAATCCTTCTTTTCATGCTTATCTTTCTTCTCATTCTCCTCCTCCTCCTTTCCCCCTTCCTCTTGTTCTTTTTCTTCTTCATCGTTGTTATCATCATCATCATCATCATTATCATCATCATCATCATCATCATCCTTATTCTTGTACTTATGCTGTCGCCAGGTTCACTATGACTTCGGACTGCGTAACATCCTGTCTGTGCTGAGAACACTGGGAACAGTGAAACGCCAGTCCCCCGAGGACACTGAGCAGACGATCGTGATGAGAGTTCTGCGAGACATGAACCTGTCTAAACTGGTTGACCAGGATGAACCTCTCTTCCTGTCTCTCATTAACGATTTGTTCCCTGGCATCACACTGGACAAAGCAGGATACCCGGAACTGGAGGCGGCCATTGCAAAGAATGTTGAGGACGCCAAGTTGGTCTGTCACCCGTCATGGACTCTGAAACTCATCCAGGTATTCTCACATCCCATTGTTCATAGAAGAAGTCCATATACTGGCCGGGTCATCTTAAATGTGGGTCATGTGTGATCATTATAGGTTATGTTTAGTATTTCTATAGAAAAACAAATATTTCAGAATAGCATTACTTTTTGTGTAAAATGTAACCTTCACTTTGGTCACTTATTGTTCATAAACATGTTACTGAATGATTTATCAGTGAAAGCTTTGACAGTGGAGAGTGGTTTGTCAATTCTGTTATCAGTACATGTGACGAATAATGGCCCCCTTAAATGTTGTGAGGTTGACGTAGATGGTGATCCATGATGTTGTACCTGCTCCAGTTATTCGAGACCCAAAGGGTTCTCACGGCATGATGGCGCTGGGACCTAGTGGCGCTGGCAAGACGTGCTGCATCCACATGTTGATGAAGGCCATGACCGACAATGGAGAACCCCACAAGGAGTGGAGGATGAACCCCAAGGCCATCACAGCCCCACAGATGTTTGGTCGTCTCGATGTCGCCACCAACGACTGGACAGATGGTATCTTCTCCACTCTCTGGAGGAGGACTACAAGAGTCAAGAAAGGTAACTGTTTCTGATTCATTCATTGTTGGATAATCTTAAATGAAAGAAATGCTTTTAAATTTTGTCCTCAGTTCTATTCTAAACTATCATAGGACAGAGCAGGTATTTAACTTACCAAGTGATGTTTTATTGTCAATCATGTCATGGTTGCAGTAAGGTATCCGTGTTGTACAGGTATTCAGATACCTAAACACCTAAGAGACGACTAACATGATTGGGTCCTGGTCCAGATTATTTATATACCCCTTAATGTACCTGGAACATACCTAAACTCCATTTTGATGTGGTTCAAATATTGCTGAAAGTGCTAAATTCATATCCATTCTCAATGCCTCATTTGAATTAAAGCTGTAAAGTTGCTTGGATTGTCACAAAAGTCCAAACTCAGTATTGTAATGTTTTGTTTAGATGTGTCTTGCTGATATGTTTGATGTTTAAAGGAGAACATTTGTGGCTGGTGCTTGATGGCCCGGTTGATGCCATCTGGATTGAGAACTTGAACTCTGTATTGGATGACAACAAGACCTTGACCTTGGCCAATGGTGACAGAATCCCGATGGCCCCAAACTGCAAGATCATCTTTGAGCCTCACAACATCGATAACGCTTCCCCTGCGACAGTGTCCAGGAATGGCATGGTGTACATGAGCAGCTCGGGTCTCCACTGGCAGCCGATATTGGAGGTAGGGGACGTCGACGGGAGGGGAGCTTTCGGGGAGATGACTGTAGGGTGTGGGAGCTTTTGGAGAGGGAAATGGAGAAGGAGGTTAGACAGTGGTAGGGGAGGCGAAACATGTGGGAGGATGGGGAGCTGTAGGTGAGGAGTGGGGAGGGGGAAGGAGATGTGTGTGTGTGTGTGTGTGTGTGTGTGTGTGTGTGTGTGTGTGTGTGTGTGTGTGTGTGTGTGTTTTGGTGGGGGAGAGGGGAATGAGATGAACGGGAATGGTATGGTACGGGAATCAGTGGGGGAGCACACTTTAGCGGGGTGAGGAACAGCAGATGTGTTAGGGAACTCGGTAATGCAAGGGAACTGTTGGTGTAGGGGAATAATGGGTTGTAGGATTCAGTGGGTTTCATATTTGGATGTATAAAAGCTTACATATTCTTTCTGTCTCTTATTTGTTCATTTTGTAGTCTGTTACCTCAATTCTTGTTCCAGGGCTGGCTGAACAACCGTCCTAACTATGAGCGTGATATCATCTTGACTCTGTTTGAGAACTCCTTCCCTGCTCTGTATCGCTATGCCACACAGAACCTTGTCTTCAAGATGGACATGCTGGAGGCCTTTGTAATCACCCAGGTTGGTGGCACTCTATCTAACTGTCCACAGGGAGCAGTGGCAGAAATTCTGTCAGGTTTGTGGGGAACTCTCTCCACTTGCAATGTTCTTGGATGGGTCGCAGATGTTATGTCAGGTTTGTGGGGAACTCTCTCACATTCACACTCCACTTGAAGGGGTGGGGAACTAACCTAATGGTTTAATAAGCTTTAATTTCAAATTTGATGGTGATCTTTAATGAAACAACAACTCCAGTACAAAAAAACATTTACAGTCACAGACACTGATGATACTGTCATGCTATGTTGTTTTTTAAAGTTGCACCCTCCATATAACTTGACATAATTTGTTTGTACTTTTGTCCAAACTAAGGATATAAATGTTGTATAAACTGTTCATATCTTTTCATACTTTTCACCTCTCTATGGTGTTTTGTTTCAAATTAATTTCTAAGTGTGTTTTTAAGAAGTGATGTTTAGAACATGTTAGAACAAATTCCTCTTGACAAGCAGGATAAGCCACAGGTATAGAACTGGTGCAAATGCTACATGGTATCAGTGATATGTATTCTGTCCAAATGCACTGAATGGTTACATGTAAAATAACACCTCTCAAAAAACACTTAGTGATGCCTAAACCTAAAAAATGGCCCCTGGGAGACATCTAAAGTGTGTATCGTGTCCTTCAGTGCACAAAGCTGCTGTCCGGGCTGATTCCAGTGAAGGACGAGAAGGAGGGGATGCAGATCACGCGGGAGCACTACGAGAAGCTGTATGTGTTCACGCTCATGTGGAGCATCGGCGCCCTGCTGGAGCTGGATGATAGGTACCGGATGCAGGAGTGGCTCCGGAACCACGAGGAAATCAAACTGAATCTCCCTGACATCCCCTCCGACGCTGACTACACCATGTTTGATTACATGGTCGACACCAATGGTAGGCAGTTGTATTTGTGACTTGTATCTAAGGCAGGGGGTGGTGGGGTAGCCTAGTGGTTAAAGTGTTCATCAAGCTGAAGACTTGGGTTTGATTCCCCACAAGGGTACAGTGTGTAAAGCACATTTCCTGTGTCCCCCATCGTGATAATTCTGGAATATTGCTAAAAGCAGCATCAAGCAAAATTTGTTTACTGTATCTATGGGATCTAATTTTCCAGTTTGATGCATTACAATTTGCTATGAATGTAACATAAAATTACAGGATTGAATTATATTCCCTTTTAATAGACCTGTGTTGTATTTGAGGGCCAATGTTGTTCTGAAACTTTAGAACATGTTTTGGCACCTCTGCAACCATCAAAACCGGTTAAAATGAGTTGTCTGTATGAAAGAGGGACTATATTTGCCTGTTCACAGGGAGCTGGGTGCACTGGAACTCCAAGGTGACGGACTTCTTGTACCCGACTGACCACGAGCCCGAGTACTGCAACATCCTGGTCCCTATGGTGGACAATGTAAGGACAGAGTTCCTCATCCACACCATCGCCAAGCAGGGTAAAGCTGTGCTGTTGATTGGTGAACAGGGAACAGCGAAGACTGTGATGATCAACAACTACCTCAACCAGTACAACCCAGAGGAACATGTCGGGCAGTCACTCAACTTCTCCTCTGCCACAACACCTTACATGTTCCAGGTAAAGATTGTTCAGACTTGAAACATGCTCACATTTTGACTCATTTCAGGCAAACTTACAGTTGAATTGCATAATTTCTACATTCATGTAGGTGCACATGTGAAAATAGTGTTCACACCTATCCGGCTGCATAGACAGTGTGTTCATTGTGTTTTACACTTATACATTGATGAATGCCAAAATATATTTAAGTTGATTTTTATCATTTTACAAATAGAAACTAATAACTTAACAGGCTGCTTATGTAGTCATAACTGCAGAAAATAAACTGTGAACAATTTGAAATCAGTGACATTGTTCAGTGCAAAGCACACCCCAGCAACCCTATTATCAGGGTGTCAGGAAACAGTAGACTGTAAGTTGATGTGGCTCAATTTGTTTATAGGAATGTCAGCCAAAATACATTGCTTGGCTAGCCAATAAAAAGCTATGGAATCACTTGCAATTTATTTACACTCCACTGACATAACCAATGCTGTCCAAGCTCACTCACTCATTGCCTTTCCTGTTTCAGAGAACCATCGAGAGCTACGTGGACAAGAGAGTTGGTTCTACATATGGTCCCCCTGCTGGCAAGAAGATGACAGTGTTTATTGATGACGTCAACATGCCAGTCATTAACGAGTGGGGCGACCAGGTTGCTAACGAGATTGTGAGACAACTGATGGAGAATGGTGGCTTTTATAACCTGGAGAAACCTGGGGACTTCACCAACATCGTGGATGTCCAGGTTGGTGACCTATCAGAGTAGTCTCCCTTAGCCATCATTACGTGACATTTGTGTGACAATGCTTGAACTGATAGATGTTTTCTTCCTTTCTGTTATCTCGCAATAGTGCTTTGTAAGAGTTACTCCCCTTAGTGAAGCAGGGATCTGTTGATTATGGGTTTGTATCTGAGATGTGCTGGTATTATTATCATTGTCTATCAAAAGTGGAAACCCTTTTCAGCCATATTTTACAGTTTAACCTTAATCTTACTCACACGTGCTGAGATTTACCAGATTATGGAAATACTTGCTCACTGAAAAGAATAATGTAAAAATAGCCAACCAAGGTTAAATTTTTCTTGTATTAGAGTAAAAAAACGTTCATGGTGCTGAAAAGTATATTCTTTTGGGGAATTTTTTATTGCAAACAACTTACCTGAAGTGTACTGTGGCATACTTGAAGAAATCTAAATATTTCTATCACTGCCTACCATAATATTTCAGTTCCTGGCAGCCATGATCCAGCCAGGAGGCGGCCGTAACGACATTCCTCAACGTCTGAAGCGACAGTTTGCCATTTTCAACTGTTCACTACCCTCCAACCCCTCCATTGACAAGATATTCAATGTCATTGGTTGTGGCCACTACTGCAAAGAGCGTGGCTTCTCAGAAAGTGTCCAGACGCTGGTGAAGCATCTTGTCCCAGTCACAAGAAGGCTCTGGCAGCTCACAAAGGTCAGTGGGTCACGTGCATGTCAAGGTTACCAGCAGTGACTGATAATATTTTATGGAATAATGATTCTGCAAATGCAAATTTTGCTTTGTATTTTATTGTAAAATCTTTTTATGTTCAAGATAAACAACCTGGAATAATTGCATGGCTAGTTAACTGGTAGTAAGTTTCTTTTTCAGATGTATTTCATTTGCACAGACCTAGAAATGACATTTTTGTATAGCGGAAACCATGCTGATATTCCATTGATATTTTCAATTCTTATCTGAATGTTTGTGCCCCTTACCAAATCAAGTATCTGCTGACCCTCATTTCGAATCTCATATATGGCAAGGTTATAATCATCTTGTTTTCAAGGTTCCTTGAAGGTTCTTTTGGGACAGGGGCGGTGGGGTAGCCTAGTGGTTCAGGCGTTCGCTCATCATGTCGAAAACCCGGGTTCGATTCCCCACATGGGCACAATGTGTTAAGTCCATTTCTGGTGTCCCCCGCCGTGATATTGCTGGAATATTAATATTGCTAAAAGCGGCGAAAACTAAACTCACTCACTCACTCACTCTTTTGGGACATCAATGGCTATGGCCTACTTCATCTCGGGTTTTCCTCCCACAGATAGTCATGCTGTGTCATTACTTAAATATGATTAGTGATAATACTAAACACTACTAATTCAATACATGCTTTCATACAGATCAAGATGTTGCCGACCCCAGCCAAGTTCCACTACATCTTCAACTTGAGAGATCTGTCTCGCATCTGGCAAGGCATGCTAAACACGACCTCTGCTGTCATCAAATCAGAGGAGAACGTCATGGCGCTGTGGAAACACGAGTGTTCTAGGGTCATCTCAGACAGGTAACCTTTGATCAGGATCAAGGTTATAGGGTCAAGGTTATGATTCACAACTGTTATCATTCTGAAAACATATCTGTTGACAATATGTGTCATAATTTGATTTTGCTTTTCAGCTATGTACAATGGTTTGGCAGGAATGTTAGATCACTTGTCTCAAACCTCCTATGATAAGAGAGTAATGATTTTATTTTTGTAAAAAGAAGCTAGTTATTATGCTAAAACAAACTAGCCTGAGATGAGCTAGGTGACTAAAATTCATCTCTAACAAATATGGCTGCCATTAGCTGTAAAATTGCTGAAGTTGTGTCCTCCTGATCTGTATAAAGTAATCCTTTGATTAATATCCCTTATATTTGAGACTTGATCCTTCTAAATTCATCACCCTCAAAACTGAATGGGAGACTTTTTTGTTCCATGCAAATAAGTTTTAACAAATGCAAAAAAAACCAATCTTTCCAAGAAATCTGAAATTAAAAAGCTTAACTCTTAACAGCCAAAATCTTCAGACAAAATGAATTGTAATTTAATAATTAATTTCTACAGACTTTCAAATTATTGATGTGACTTAAAGGTATAGCTTTTTGACAGTGTTTATTTTATCGGTCTCCAGTCCATATTAGCAAAGTGGAATGAAACATCAGTATTTAGTCTTCTCATACCAGGGTCCCTTTCTACAAAGCTGTTTTTACTCACTTGTTAACATAAACTTACAGCAGGTGTTCCTGTAAGGTCAGTTTGTATATCAGGGCTCAGGATCCAATCAGATGTGTAACATGCATTACAGCTCATCAATGTTTGACATGTGTCTGTTTAAACCAAAGATTTACAGGAGTGGAAGATTTGCAATGGTTTATGAAGACAATGAGTCGTGTTGCATCAGAGGAACTCGGGGAGCATTTCCCTGCAATGATTGAACGCAGTGACTATTTTGTTGACTTTATGAGGTACATGATTACTCCGTACAGTGTACTGCTATGTGTGACTGCACTGATCTATAGCTTAGCACTGTGGGGAGCTTGTAGAGATTTTTATTAAGGGGAGGTAACTCTGAATTACTAATCAAATCATGGTATAAGAGTTACCTTCTCTTACTCCTAAAACCAAACTGTTTCTGTCCCATAACTGTTTGAAGTTTTTATTGTTTTTTAATGTATTAAAAATGAAAACATTTTGCCTGAAATTGTTTGAAGATATTTGATTCACTGTCCAATTGTTTCATACCAAATAATCCAGTTATAAAACGGAAGCAGTTTGGAACTTTTTTTGTTTGTATTCTAACCCTTATTTTTGTTGTTATATTTTGTGGCTGCTATGTTTAGATTTGTACAACCTGAAGATTATGTTTGGTTCGACAAAACGCTGAAGCGGGTGCTTGGTGAATGCGAATTGTCAGAAGAAGTCCAGGAGCTAGTTAGCCCAACTCATTGGTTTACTGACTTTATGAGGTACTTTCACAGTCTGTTACAACACAATGCCACGAACACAATAGTACAGAATACATCCCTGTGATCACACGACAAATGTGACAATATACTGTTGTAATGTGTCCACTCAAATGTGTTATGAATATCAGATGTGTCTGCATGATCATAGGTGGACACAGCTCATGACAGCACAGTTGTTCTTGGAGAAGCAGTGGGACACTTGCTGAAGGTTGTAGTTTTTCATTATACTTAGTGTGTACTGAAACATTTCTCTCTGTAATGATTTCAAAAACTATATTTTTTGACAAGGTTAATTTGGCATTAGTTTAACAATAAAACTTGAATAATTTTGTATAATGGTTCATAGTTCAAATCACCATATTTCTGTATTAGTGTGAGCATTTTTTCCTGGTGAATTATGGGTAAGACTACGTAACAAAAAGATGGTTAGTCCTTTGGGTTTGGGTATTAAAACGCAATTAGCTTCAACCAGTCTGTTATCAAGAAATGTCCTACTGTTTCTTCAAGTGACCCCTTTCACATCCAAACTGGACACAATGTAACCGCCACACATTGCTGTACACGATGTAACCGTGACACATTGTTGTACATGATGTAACATATCACACATTGTTGTACACGATGTAACATCACACATTGTTGTACATGATGTAACCATCACACATTGTTGTACACAGTGTAACCGTCACACATTGTTGTACACGATGTAACCATAACACATTGTTGTACACGATGTAACCGCCTTGTGGTACACAATATTGACCTTGTCCATCACTGACGTCCACCAGTGGCTAGAGGAGGACCTTCACAGTGTCGACAATGTTGTGACATTCTTGGTGTGAAGTTGATTAACAAACACGTGGTGTGACTTCCACTGACGCCATTTTGATCCTGGCTTATAACTCATGTTGATGTTGAACTCACACAATCTTACATGGATGTTTGACAAACTGTGTGATACGACAGATGGGATAATGGTTAATATATATCGATGTTAATCAAATCATTGTTGAAGAGAAAAAGGTAGTTTAAAATCATTGTCCATTACGCTCCTAATATATGAAAAAGAGAAATGGAAATTCTAATAGTTCTTGTTAAAGTTACGTCAAGAAGCTGCAATAGACAATTTTGATTTACCGTAAAGCAGTCATGAAAAGTTACTCAGTCATGAACATGGTTACATTGATGGAGTGTGTGTAATATTATTGTGTGTCACATCAGCAGTGTTGCAGCTTGTTGTGAACAGTGTTGAGTGTCTATAGTCTATGATAAATGGTGGAAACTAAACTTACACATACAGCTGTTTCAGAGACTGAGGGCTAACATGGTATTGTTGTGGTGTTGTTTACTGGTATCAATTTGGGGGGATTTCAGTACTGTAATATTTTCTTTCATTAAGATTATTTTCTTAATCCTTTATTGTGTGTGTTTTAACGCTTCCACCATTGCTTGTTGTTTGCACAGTGTGGAATGAATGTACACCAAGGTTGAAAGTGAATGCAGTAAACAAACACTTTCAATTAGATATTCAATTCAATTTAATGTGAAAGGATTCAGGCCAAATTTAAATCTGCATTCATTTTAAATTGTAAGGTGACATGATTTATGCCCACAATTTAAGCTTTTGTGTGTTTTTGTTAATATTTTGATATTTTATTAACATATGATACCATAAAGTAACCAATTTAATACTGCATATGAGTGTGTTGACTTCACAAACATGCACTAGTAATTTTAACACCATTTCATGTTGTTATTTTAAACTCTAGATTTAGTCATGGTTTTATGTGTGACTACCCTAACACCCAATAATTCAATTTCATATTGCAGAATTATATCTCATTCAATTTACATTATCATGTATTGAAAAGAATCTAAGGTTATTTAATTTAAAAATAAGTAATTTAAGAGAACTGTTCTACAGATTGTCTTTGTTTGATGGGATACCGGTACATATTTGTTATATACTGTTTGGTTGACAACTGTCAATACTTTAATCATTGACCTTGACCTTTGTTCCTCCTTACAGGGATGCTCCAGAGGCAACTGGAGATGAACCAGATGATGCAGACTTTGACATGCCGAAGGTTTACGAGGCAGTGAGTAGACTGATGGCACATGGTTTTAAGTGATGCTGATGTTGCCGTTCATACACATGCTATAAACAATGCCTTCCTGAGGGATGATGAAAAAGAAATAACTCCCACATGCTTGGGGAATTCTTCTATATTTGTCCATTGAGCAAATATCTGGATGCTCCTAAAATCATTATTTGTCAAGTACTCTACACAGATATTTATGTGATGGATGATAAAGATACATAAGTTTCCATATGGATGTCAAATTCTTGTATATACCTTGTGCAGGAATGTTTAATTCACAGGTATATGAAGCATTGTATATATGAATAATCTCACTAAGGGATGGCAAGGTTCTGAAGTCCATGGACGCTCCTGAAGTTATTTGTACATATACTTGCTACTTGCTTATGGATAATGACATTTGATAACTTCAGGATGGGGGATAAATTCTTATATTTTCCTTCTCAGGTGGAGTCTCTGGAAGCTCTTGAAGAACGCCTCAACTTCTTCCTGCAACAGTACAATGACAGTATCCGTGGTGCTGGTATGGACCTGGTGTTCTTCAAGGATGCCATGACACATCTGGTGAAGATCTCCCGTATCATCCGAACCCCCCGTGGCCACGCCCTCCTTGTCGGTGTGGGTGGATCGGGCAAGCAGTCTCTCACCAGACTGGCATCATTCATTGCTGGATATAAGACCTTCCAGATAACCCTAACAAGGTATGTGTTGCAAGATTCACCATTCTGATACATGTGCGCCTGAATGATCTTGTTTCACTGATACTGAGTTCAAACCCTTGATAAGGGTTCGCTTGTCACGCTGAAGGCCTGGTTCAATTCCCTACATGGGTACAATGTGTGAAGTCCATTTCTGGTGTTCCCCGCCGTGATATTGCTGGAATACTGCTAAAAGTGGCGTAAAACCCAACTCACTCACTCACTCAAATCCTTGATTTATTCTGTCTATTATGTTTGGTGTGTCACCACCAGGAGGGTATACACCAGCACTAGCAGTAAGATTTGCAGTAAGAACTATACAACCTATGTATACTCCCCAGGGAGTTGAGATTGATAATACGATGTGCCGTTGAGATCGACATCCAATGATCGAGGGAAAAAATACCAGCGCCTTGAGCATGCACTAGTTGCCTGGACATGTGCGCTATATAAATATCCTATAAAAAAAATAAATAATAATAATAATATAAAACTTGCTGTCTTATATGTGTGTGATGAAGTAAGTGTAAGAACAACAACAACCTTGAGTTTTAACAATAATGCTGTTCATGCTGCTGCGATCTTGTCTTCAGGTCGTACAACATGTCGAACCTGCTGGAGGACCTGAAGTACCTGTACCGCACTGCAGGTCAGCACGGCAAGGGCATCACCTTCATCTTCACCGACCAGGAGATCAAGGACGAGGGCTTCCTGGAGTACCTCAACAACATGCTGTCGTCTGGAGTGGTGAGTAGGAAGTTGCCCTTCATCTGATAGCAAGGACACGTAGTCTATGTGTGACTGGTGTGGACTGAGATGTGGATGTGTTGTGGATGCTATGAAGGTGTTCGATCCAAGTTACAACATTCAAGGCCTCAATAAAGCTTCAATAGAGTTTTGTGGTTGACATGTGGATAAATTTTAATTGTTTCATAATGTATTCGTGTTTTCCTAGGTGGCAAACTTATTTGCCAGAGATGAAATTGATGAGATTCGTGGTGACCTCATTCCCATCATGAAGAAAGAGTTTCCACGACGACCACCATCCAATGAGAACCTAGATGAGTACTACCTGTCCCGTGTCCGTAACAACCTCCACGTGACACTCTGCTTCTCTCCTGTGAGTAAATCTTACACCCAGTAGCAGATAAGCATGTATATATGCAGTGTATGAAATAAGGCCCGTCCGACCGCCCGAGACGGGCTAGTTTCTGACGGATGGTCTAAATTTACAGCTAGCCAGCCGATGGTCTGGTAAATTTTTTAGATGTTCCATACATCTGAGTAAATTCACCATATATCTTGGTGTCTGGTCTGGTTAAATTCATTTCGGACGGGTAACATTTTGAAGTTACCAGCACGATGTCTGGCTGGGTTTTTGGCTGGTTTCATACACTGATATATGTGACATTCAGAAGACATTCAGAAGATCCTGATTTCTGTGGCTAGTGGAAGTTATACTTCGGAGGTTATTATGGAAAGATTTTGACAAGTTGGGTTATCTGGTTTGTTCTGAGGAAACTGTAGAAATATTTTCACAAGTGCTAATATCTGGTTTATTTTTCTGAGGTCACTATTGACACAATGGAATTGGAAGTATTCACATTTTTCTTTTGATAACACCGTAGAGAATTCATGGATGAGAACACATACCTGGAAACATCCAGAGTTCACCTGAAGACCATGAAGAGCTTGAAGCAGAAAATGTCCAGAAATGATAACCTTTTGCTGCTTTACACAATATAATGCTCTTCAGTGTTTTGAGAGCATTTTAGTCAGTGTTGACTGTGTTTCAGGTTGGTGAAAAGTTCCGACAGAGGTCGCTGAAGTTCCCTGGTCTGATCTCGGGCTGCACGATGGACTGGTTCCAACGATGGCCCAAGGATGCTCTCATTGCTGTGGCTGACCACTTCCTCTCCAACTTTGACATCGAATGTAGTGCAGACGTCAAGAAGCAGGTCATTTACACCATGGGCACCATCCATGATGGTGTCGCGGAGAGCTGTGTCAGCTACTTCCAGAGGTGGGTCACTGGGTGGGGAGGTGGGTCACTGGGCAGGGAGGTGGGTCACTGGGCGGGAAGGTGGGTCACTGGGCAGAGAGGTGGGTCACTGGGAGGGGTCATACATTTACGGCAGGTGTGGTTGGGGGTAAATGCTAACCTCACATTACAGGCTGGGATATCAATCAAGATACCACCTGGTTTTAAAAAAAAAGATCAAATATATGAAAACATAGTCTAAGTGCCTTTGAGCAGCTGAGCTGAGCAGGGTTGAGCTGGATATTGGCATTATCATATAATAATAATATATTATTAGCACATTCACTTGTGATTGTTTTGTTGATAGTAATAGGAAGAAACATTGATAAGTCAAGTTTTGACTAAAACAATAGACATACAGTGAAAACTGATAAACGTAGGGTCAAGGTCATAAGAAAATATACAGTTTTCCTTTTAGGAAAACTGTCATGTAATAACCTCTTAATACTTATCTGGTATCTTTGTATGTGTGTATCAGATACCGACGTGCAACTCACGTAACACCCAAGTCATACCTGTCCTTCATCAATGGCTACAAGAGCATCTACTTTGAGAAGAAAACTGAAGTGGGTGAACTGGCTCAGAGAATGAACACAGGTGTGTTATAACTGTCTATGCATCAGCACTTGTGTTATGACTGTCTGTATGAACGAACACATGTGTGTTATAACTATGTCTATGATTGAACTAGGTGACTTGTCACCTCACTCAGGTCTCACTCACTCACTCACTCACTCACTCACTCACCACCTTCTGGGATTTAGTCATTAGTGCCATAGTGAGGCCTGTTACAGCCTGTCCTTTTGTTCACTTTATTCCATTGTCCTCTTGTTCCAGGTCTGGAGAAGCTGATTGAGGCATCTTTAGCTGTCGCAGAACTCAGCAAGGAGTTGGCAGTGAAAGAGAAGGAGCTTGCTGTTGCCAACGACAAGGCTGAGAAGGTTCTGAAGGAAGTGACAGTCAAGGCACAGGCTGCTGAGAAGGTGAAAGAACAAGTTCAGAAGGTCAAAGACAAAGCTCAAGCCATTGTAGATGTGATTGAGAAGGACAAGGCAATAGCTGAGGGCAAGCTGGAGGCAGCCAGACCAGCCCTGGAGGAGGCTGAGGCGGCACTCAACACCATCAAGCCTGCTGACATTGCCACAGTGAGGAAGCTGGGTAGGCCTCCACATCTCATCATGAGGATCATGGACTGTGTGCTACTGCTGTTCCAGGGGCGGCTGGAGACCATCAGACAGGATGTGGACAAGCCAGAGTTCAATAAGCCTTCCTGGGGGGAGTCTCTGAAGGTAATGTGTTACCTGTTGGTCATTGTTTTACTTGTTGTTTGTTACTCTGGTTACATGTTAGTGATCATGTTACCTGTTGTTGATAGTGTGCCCTGTAGGTCATTGTGCTATATGAAGATCATTGTTACCTGTAAATCATTGTGTTACCTGCTAATTATTGTGTTATCTGTAGAGTATTGGGTTACCTGTAGATTACTGGGTTACCTGTAGATTATTGTGTTACCTGTAGATTATTGTTACCTGCTGAGCATATTGTTATATGCAGAGCATTGTGTTATATGCAGAGTATTGTGTTATCTGTAGATTATTGTGTTAAATGTATGTTATTGTGTTATCTGTAGATTATGTGTTACCTGCTGAGTATTGTGTTATCTGTAGCTTATAGAGTATTGGGTTACCTGTAGATTACTGGGTTACCTGTAGGTTATTGTGTTACCTTTAGAGTATTGTTACCTGCTGAGCATTGTGTTACCTGTAGGTTATTGTGTTATCTGTAGATCATTCTGTTACTTGTAGGTCATTGCATTACCTGACGATAATTACCACTTGCCATGATTATATTATTAATTACTAAGTTTTGGAGACCCATTACCTTATCAACCACATCCAAATTATATAAATATATCCCACTATAATTTTTGTCGTCATTAAAATGATGCATCCATGATACCCTTCAAAGCAGCTTTAAGACACTACTCACTCACTCACTCCTCCAGATGATGGCTGGCACGGGCTTCCTGCAGTCCCTGATCACCTTCCCCAAAGACACCATCAACGATGAGACTGTCGAGCTGTTGTCTCCGTACTTTTCTTCCGAGGATTACACCATGGAAACTGCCAAGAAAGTGTGTGGCAATGTTGCAGGTCTAGCTGCATGGACTAAAGCCATGGCCTCCTTCTTTTCCATCAACAAAGAGGTGTTGCCACTGAAGGTGAGAAATATGGCGTACAGAACATAAAATGAACAGCACTGGCATTCCAGGCAAATAATGATTGTGTATATTTAGTCTTCTTGGTCATGTTTCATACTATGTTTTTACAAATGGAGTTACAATTTTTTTAATGGTGTCACCATGGTTGGAGGGATAGGATTTATAGAGAAATCATTGGTAACAGGTCAGAGGTTTATTACAGGGTTGGGGCGGGCTGGCGGGTGGGCAGGCCAGTGCTTGATACACTAAAATTATTAGTTTGGGGTTAATCCTGTCCATGTCTTTGTGCATTTATTTCATGACCCTCTGTAAGAAAACAAAATGTAAAAAAAACATTATTAGGCCAGGCCAATTTCTTGTTTTATACGGATTTTTGTCCTAAGAATAGGCAGGAGGGGAACAAAATAAAATCACCAGTCAAAGTAATATTCCTTTTAAATACTTCAAGCATTCACTTTTGGTAGTTTATGAAGTGTATGTGGGGCAAAAATATAATATAAACAAAATATCTTGTATGTTTACGTTTTTGGCCAATAAAAACATTAGGATTTTATATTTGGAGTGGGGAAGATTCCTTTTTCTTTTTCTTTTCATATTCTTGAAAAGATACAAGCAGCGGATCCGTAAAATAAGAAATAAAATTGGTCTGGCCTTATAATAATATCAAATGTTGATTTTTTTTCACAATCTCCCCAAATTTGTGTGTCAGTTTTTATGAACCTCTCCTAGAAATTATTACATATTTTGCTGACCTCTGACCCATGCAATCCTATATTGGCTGGAACCTGATACAATTTTGGTAATCACCAGGACCTTTGGCTGTTAAGGGTATAATCTGAAACAGTTTTGATTGGACAAAATTGAATTCTACCATGACTTCAGTAAATACTAAGGAGATAAACATACCATGTTGGAAAATCAGAGGTTTGGTTTTAAATCAGATATAGAGCTATTATAATTTCATTAAATACCTCTGATTTTCCAACACAGTATGTTTGTCTCTAATTACATGGGCAAGAGTGACATTTGTATTTGCAAGTCAAATAGTCAGATGTGTTTGGTGTGTATTAACATTTAATCTCCTTGATAATGTTTCAGATATTAATATGATGTAAAAACCTGATAGGATTATAGTCCTAAAGTCAAGTTTTAGTACTGTGAGCGTGATGATTTGAGAATCTGCACTGAAATATCCATGTAGTTCTTATTTACTCACCACCTTGAGGAATTGCAATCAGGTATGAGTTACCTCTCCTGCCCATCAGAAAGCACAGGTGTAAAACATAAAGGAAGTGTTAGCATTGAATTGTGAAGAGGTCTGTAGTATGAACAAACCAGAGAAGATTATTTCACAAACTACGAGTTCAGAATCATCTTGAATGCCATGTCTAATGTTCGTCCATTTGTATCCCAGGCAAATCTGGTGGTGCAAGAGGCAAGACTTCAGGTTGCTATGGGAGATTTGCAGAAGGCCCAGGAGCAACTGGATGCTAAGGAGGCAGAGCTGGCCATTGTCAGGGCGCAGTATGACAAGGCAATGAGCGAGAAACAGGTGAGGAAGTCTTGTAGACTGAGGTATGGTATAAACTTATTCAGCCCATGGAAGGCTGGCGTGAAAGGTTGTTATTCAACGTTACTGCCACATCTCTCACATTCCCTCAGTTGGCTTTTACATAGCATGGTAGTCTGAATAACTGAATAATATTTGCTGTAAGGAAAGCAAATATGCTCTATTTTTGCGCTGAATACAAATATTTCTAAATGCAATTAAGAACTGACATTTTTGTGTATGGTCAGTGTGTTTTAGGGATGTTGTGTTTGATGCTAGGAGGGTTAGGATGTTAACAGAAGTCAGTGTCTGTAAATGTTCACATCAACTATACATGTATAACTTCACAAAATGGTTATTTAATGATTAATTTACTAAAACCTATAGACTACAGTATCAGTGACATCCTTCCATGTAATAACTCAACACAAATCCTAGTTATTCTGTCATCAGCCGTTCTAGTTCTAGCCAGTGGGGAATCAGTGTCTGTTTGTAGACTTGGCCTAGTTTCTGTTCTGTAATGGAATCATAAACTGAAGAAAAAATTTACCTGGTTAACCAATGACATGCTATAGAATCACTTGTAATTTCTTAATATCACATGATACTGTAGATTTACAATCATCAACATTTACATGATACTGTAGACTTACAATCATCAACATTTACATGATACTGTAGACTTACAATCATCAACATTTACATGATATTGTAGGCCCTCATGGATGATGCCGAGACATGCAGACGCAAGATGAATGCCGCGTCTGCTCTCATCAATGGCCTGGCTGGGGAGAAGGAGAGATGGACAGAGCAGAGCAAGGAGTTCAAGGCTCAGATCGGAAGGTGAGCTGGCACTCCATGTCATGAGCACATTTTTGTTTTTGTTTTTTGTGTAAATGTAAACTACTTGAATGCTTGATTGTCGTACTGGACTTCAGTTCTAGACTTCATATGTGTGAGTGAGGAAGGTTTTAAGCCAACATAAGCAATACTTTGCTCTAGCGGAACCTAGAAATTTTCATTGTATCCATATAGGGAATCAAAGACGGGTGCGATCACTTTGGCCAATGGGCTTCCCTTTCCCCCCTTTTGGCTTAAAAAAGACTTGCCGGCTTGTGTCAAATAAACATTTGATTAGACACATTAAGTCATGACACTGTGGCCTAATATATTGTACCATGGTGTAATTTGGCATGCTGTTCATCTTGAACTATTGATAACATGACATAATGTTCCTGATTCCACAGGCCCTTGAGTTCTCAAAGGTTCATTTGCAGCAGTTCTGCTTAAACAAATTCTGCATATTAGTGTACCTGATACCAGTGTCTTCCAGATTGTCAAACAAACATTGTACCCACATATCGACATAAATTTCCCGTAGTCTTTTAGAGTAAAGTATGTTGACCGGTCACTAATACTTTGTCACTCTTCCTCCAGACTGGTGGGCGATGTGTTGGCCTGCACAGCCTTCCTGTCGTACTCGGGGCCCTTCAACCAGGACTACCGGTCTCTGCTCAACAAGGAGTGGATGAAGGAGATGAAGACGAGGAAGATCCCCTACTCCGCCAACCTCAACACCACCACCATGCTCACAGACCCAACAACGGTATGTACAGGAACACCCTGACATTTCAGTCTTTGGGACAGGAGAGCTCCACTGCATCATCACACTGTGCAGAGTCATGCCCCTTAGTATTACCTGGATTCCATAGATGCCACTTTTGCTCCGATTATGATCCTTAGCTTCTCAGCATCATGCTGGCACTCATCAACATGATCAAAGTGGTGAAAGTTCATTGTTCATGGCTCTTTCGACTTTCCTCCCACGGTATGCAAACACAGCATGTTACAACTCAAATACTGTATAAAATGGACGTCAAGCATTTGTATCACCCAGCTAATGTTCAGTGTGATGACTGAGAATCCTGGCTGCTGATCACTAAAGCACAAAATTATGAAATACCTCTGGATGTACATACCCGTTCAAACTGTATATGTTAGTATAGCAAAGCTTCAGTTATTAGAAGAAATAGCCAAAAGAAACATTGATAATTGGTTTCATTTGCAAATACTCTTGTTTATCCCTATGTTTATTCCTCTTGTTTATCCCTATGTTTATTCCTCTTGTTTATTCCTATGTTTATTCCTCTTGTTTATCCCAATGTTTATTCCTCTTGTTTATCCCTATGTTTATCCCAATGTTTATTCCTCTTGTTTATCCCAATGTTTATTCCTCTTGTTTATCCCTATGTTTATCCCAATGTTTATTCCTCTTGTTTATCCCAATGTTTATTCCTCTTGTTTATCCCTATGTTTATCCCAATGTTTATTCCTCTTGTTTATCCCTATGTTTATTCCTCTGGTTTATTCCTCTTGTTTATCCCAATGTTTATTCCTCTTGTTTATCCCTATGTTTATTCCTCTGGTTTATTCCTATGTTTATTCCTCTTGTTTATCCCTATGTTTATTCCTCTTGTTTATCCCAATGTTTATTCCTCTTTTGTTTATCCCAATGTTTATTCCTCTTGTTTATCCCTATGTTTATTCCTCTTGTTTATCCCTATGTTTATTCCTCTTGTTTATCCCTATGTTTATTCCTCTTGTTTATCCCTATGTTTATTCCTCTTGTTTATCCCAATGTTTATTCCTCTTGTTTATCCCAATGTTTATTCCTCTTGTTTATCCCTATGTTTATTCCTCTTGTTTATCCCTATGTTTATTCCTCTTGTTTATCCCTATGTTTATTCCTCTTGTTTATCCCAATGTTTATTCCTCTTGTTTATCCCTATGTTCATCCCAATGTTTATTCCTCTTGTTTACCCCAATGTTTATTCCTCTTGTTTATTCCTATGTTTATTCCTCTTGTTTATTCCAATGTTTATTCCTCTTGTTTATTCCTATGTTTATTCCTCTTATTTATTCCTATGTTTATTCCTCTTGTTTATCCCTATGTTTATTCCTCTTGTTTATTCCTATGTTTATTCCTCTTGTTTATCCCAATGTTTATTCCTCTTGTTTATCCCTATGTTTATCCCAATGTTTATTCCTCTTGTTTATTCCTATGTTTATTCCTCTTGTTTATCCCTATGTTTATTCCTCTTGTTTATCCCTATGTTTATTCCTCTTGTTTATTCCTCTTGTTTATTCCTATGTTTATTCCTCTTGTTTATCCCAATGTTTATTCCTCTTGTTTATCCCTATGTTTATTCCTCTTGTTTATTCCTATGTTTATTCCTCTTGTTTATCCCAATGTTTATTCCTCTTGTTTATCCCTATGTTTATCCCAATGTTTATTCCTCTTGTTTATCCCTATGTTTATCCCAATGTTTATTCCTCTTGTTTATCCCTATGTTTATTCCTCTTGTTTATTCCTATGTTTATTCCTCTTGTTTATCCCAATGTTTATTCCTCTTGTTTATCCCAATGTTTATTCCTCTTGTTTATCCCTATGTTTATTCCTCTTGTTTATCCCTATGTTTATTCCTCTTGTTTATCCCTATGTTTATTCCTCTTGTTTATCCCTATGTTTATTCCTCTTGTTTATCCCTATGTTTATTCCTCTTGTTTATCCCTATGTTTATTCCTCTTGTTTATTCCTATGTTTATTCCTCTTGTTTATCCCTGTTGTCTATCACTGTGTGTATCCAGTGTTTATTCATTATGTGTTGTTTCTCGACACCAGGTGGCTGAGTGGAATCTTCAGGGACTTCCTAACGATGAGTTGTCAGTCCAGAACGGTATCATCGTCACCAAGGCGGCTCGCTACCCACTACTGATAGACCCCCAGGGCCAGGGCAAGATCTGGATCAAGAACAGGGAGAGCAAGAACGAGCTGCAGGTGAGTCTGAGTTACATTTGGGTGTTCAAGCCAGGAACAGGTCAGACATGTTACATCAGACCTACCATGTGGATGATAGTGACCAGGGGCATAAACTATATTATCAATATACTTTGATATGAATATGTCTGTAATTGTTTTTTTTGCTTGTGTACCTCTCCTTGTGCAGAGAAGATTTGTATTTTCTTTTGTTATGTATGAAGCTGACGTGAACAAACTTCAGTGGTTGTATGCTGGAGACAGGTATGCATTTTGCAAAAACTTCCTGTAATGAATAAATACATCATCAGACTTTAAAACTAAGAATGTGAAGTGAGTGAGGATGGCTATATATGCCATGTTTAGCGATATTCGATAATGGTATCAGCCACAAGATAGTCTGAAAAAATACTCACGTGTTCATATTTTGCAGATCACCTCCCTTAATCACAAGTACTTCCGTACACATCTTGAAGACTCCATGTCTCTGGGCAGACCACTGCTTCTTGAAGACATAGGAGAAGAGCTGGATCCTGCCCTTGACAATGTCCTTGAGAAGAACTTCATCAAAGTCGGGTCCACCCTCAAGGTGAAGGTTGGAGACAAAGAGTGTGACATCATGAAGGGTTTCACGCTGTACATAACAACAAAGCTGCCCAATCCCGCCTACACACCCGAGATATCGGCCCGAACTTCCATCATTGATTTCACTGTCACCATGAAAGGTCTGGAGGACCAGCTCCTAGGACGCGTCATCCTGACAGAGAAAGTGGTCAGTGTTCCTCTCTGTTACACACATTTAAATGTCAGGACAGAAACAATTGTGTGTGCCTTAACTTCTTTTGAGTAGCATATTTACTTGTTTGCTGGCCGAGCCTGGTGTAAATTTCGTCAAAAGCCTTACCAAAAAAATATTGATGCATTTTTCATTGAAACTGATTTCAAGCATGCTTGTGTATTTATTCGAGTTTCCATTCTCTATATGACAGAAGGTATTAGATCATAGCAGTGCAAAGTTGAAATGTGGCATGTTTTTGACTGGAGCATTCCGTGTTAATTCATGCATGACTTTTTTACCTTTAGGAGCTGGAGAGTGAACGAGTGAAGCTGATGGAGGAGGTGACGGCCAACAACAAGAAAATGAAGGAGCTCGAGGACAACCTGCTGTTCCGACTCACCAGCACACAGGTAGGTACAGTCACTAGCTTGGACTTTGTCCCTTCAGTTTTGCTGCATGGTAAAGCTATCACACCTTGATGTCATGGAGAATGTCACCAGCTTTTATGTATAAACTCAGGCATAGGTGATACAGTGGTCCCAGATCTAATTTACTGTATAGTGTTGTCTCCCGTCCCCTAACCAGGATACACAGCTTTTGCTAGCATTAATGCTTTGTTTTCTCCATGATATACTGTGATACAGGTTAAAAATTGTTGCATGTATTGTCCTGACCCCACCATGATTTTGAAGAAATGTTTGATTTGTAAATCTGGATTTTGCAATCTCAGTTATGATACATGATCAGACTAAATGGTAGGATATAAATCAGTCTACTGGTAGGATATAAATGTAACTATTAATGGTTTCAGGGTTCCCTGGTCGACGATGAAGACTTGATCAATGTGTTGAACGTCACGAAGACCACATCACAAGATGTCCGCCAGAAACTTCAGATTGCAGAGGAGACAGAGCTGAAGATCAACACTGCCCGAGAAGAGTTCCGTCCTGTGGCCACCAGGGGTAGCATCTTGTACTTCTTGATAGTAGAGATGAGTCTCGTCAATGTCATGTACCAGACATCCCTACGACAGTTCCTCAACATCTTTGACTTGTCCATGAAAAAGTGAGTTTACATTTGTATTGTACGGCTAGCATTGGTTGCTGTAGACCAACTATTTGACATGAGTGAATTAATAATAACAAATGGGTCCATTACAGAATGGAGATGTGATAGAACAAAGTATTTGTATTCAGACCTGAAAGACTGGAGAACAGGAACTTTTCTGTTCTTTTTCACTGAGAAAATATCCACAAGATGATAAATCTTAGTACTTTAACACATTTCTCTGATGTGTACTGATACCTAATGTTTATCCTTTTCAAACATTTCTACCGCAGCATAAAATGTTTGGGATGCCATTTTGGCAATTTTGGCAATTCTGGGCAAATTAAAAGACTTTTGAAGTACAGAAATATGATTGAATCTGTCATGGTATGTATGTGAATAAAAGTGTACTTATTTCGGATAAATCTAACATATTCCCTAACCCTTTCTAACCTTTTTTTCAGGTCACAAAAATCTCCCATCACACAGAAGAGAATCACCAACATCATTGAATACATGACCTTTGAGGTTTTCAAGTATGCTGTACGTGGTTTGTATGAAACAGACAAGATGACCTTCACCTTGCTGTTAGCTCTGAAGATTGACCTTCACTGCAACAAAATCAAGCATGAAGAGTTCTCCACGCTTATCAAAGGTTAGTGACTGCATATTCTGGTGCCATGAAGTCTGTCTGTTCCATTGAGACAACATTAGTATTAGCTTAAGATTTAGACAAGATTAGACATAAGGTGTTTTCCACCTCATGGATGGCCCAGTGGCCTAGGTTGCCACCAGTTTAAGCCAGTCCCAGGGTTTCCTCAAACAAATCACATGGTCATGGATGATTAGTTTGTCCTATGATCTGTTTGAAAGGATACATGTCAGAAACAAACGTTATTCATGCAATACTGACAATTTTGTTTATAAACTTTTATGGGCAGTGGGGTAGCCTAGTGGTTAAAACATTCACTCTTCACACCAAAGACCCGGGTTTGATCCCCACATGGGTACAATGTGTGAAGCCCGTTTCTGGTTTCCCCAGCTGTGATACTGCTGGAATATTGCTAAAATCGGCATAAATCCATACTCACTCACTCACTTTAAACTTTTATGTCATTTGACTAGTTCTAAAATTCCAACCAGCATTCTGTCATAGATTGAAAATGCTTTAGATCTGTAGATGACATTCACAGTGACCTTACTCTTGTAGGTGGTGCATCCCTGGATCTGAACGTGGTTCAGCCGAAACCTCACAAGTGGATCATCGACCTGACCTGGCTGAACCTGGTAGAGCTGAGCAACCTCCACCAGTTCTCTGGGATCCTGGAACAGGTAGGTACAGCACTTACCAGATAGTGTTGGGCGGACTTCTGGTTGCAATATGTCCCCAGCATCCTTATTGCTTCATAATGAGAGATTCAACTGAAGGGTCATTCTCTTCCCACAGAGGTTACTTGTCATATCTTCCTACGTACCTCTGTTCTAATACGACCCTTTCATGGTGCGAGTGTTCAGGTTTCATGATTGGTTGCAATCAGATTTAGTTGTGCAATCAGCAGCGTTGTTTCAAAAGTGATCATTCGCAAGGACTCGGTAATTTATGTATGCTTCGGGAAAACTAGAATCTCTTCCCCGCAAACGTTTCTTCTAGACAGAACTCAGTCATGTAATAGTGGATCAATGGCGTCTCCATCGCCCTCTTTGAAAATGGACAAGCTAGCCATTAAATGTCTTGTGTGTCACATCAACACAAGTCTCCGGCAGAGGAGGAATATGTGTGGCCCCACATTTGCTTGCATTAGTCAAGTTGGATCTAAGTCGATGTAACACGTGTTCTGATTGGATAAAAAGAAGGGAGATAATTTGTGTTGCGATTTTTGGCCACTAGGGGATTTTACGAGAACCGGGAAATATGGCTGTATTAGAACAGAGGTTCGAAGGAAGATATGACAAGTAACTTCTGTGGGAAGAGAATGCTGAAGGGTGGGAGTTGGTTACTTGCTGATGTCTTCTGACCCTCATGTCCTGGGATGCTGCTTGTTGTTACAAGCACCTGTCTAGACTCGACTGCTCAAGGATACTGTGATATTGCTGACTCCAGGGCAAAAGTAGAAAAGTAATTCTTCAGTCCCCGGTGCCTTTTGGTGTCAACACAGGCATGTTGTCTCTGTGGTGATAAAAGTGGTGATAAAAGTGGTTGGGGGTTCTTGCATGTGTGCAGCCGAAATGCAGGTGTCATGCAATAACTATTTCAATACATATGTAAATAGATGTGTTGCGACAGAAAATTCCAAATTCCAAAACATCCACCAATTTAATTTTATCCTCCAGGTAACTCGTAATGAGAAACAATGGCGACAGTGGTTTGACAAAGATGCTCCAGAAGAAGAGGTGATCCCAGACGGCTACAACAACTCACTGGACGTGTTCCGACGTCTGCTGCTGGTGAGGTCATGGTGTCCAGACCGAACACTGTCCCAGGCCAAGAACTACATCGGAGACACACTAGGACAGAAGTATGCTGAGGGGGTGATCCTGGACATCGAGAAGATGTGGGAGGAGAGTGTCTGCCGCACGCCCATGGTGTGTCTGCTGTCCATGGGGTCAGATCCGACCAACAACATTGAGGCACTGGCCAAGAAGTTCAGGCTAGGTATGGAGACACACCATTCTTCATATGGAATGATCTTTTGAAACATGAATGGTAGTTTGAAATTGAAATTGAATAGACAGTAAACTTTTCTTATACCAAAAGCATCCACGAGGAAAGTCAATTTAGCTTCTTCAAACATTTCATGGGTTTAACTTGATGTCTTGGTAGGCATCTCTCTATACTGTATTAAGACAACAAAAATAGTTTTGAAAGTTTACCCTGTTTGCCCTCTCTGGACTGTCTTCAAGCATCCTTGTATTCCTCTCCCAGAGTAATGGGTCTTACTGTAGAAGCAATTTTGTAGATTTTTCTAAGCAGAAAGATAACATGAGGAAAGTCAATTTAAGCCTATTCAGAGATTCATTGTGGAAATGTTTATCTTGGCTTTCTGCATTGTAATCTTCATTAGGATAACATATTTGACAATTTACACCTGCTACCCTTCCATTGATCCAAGTCTGTCTTCACGCGTGTTTGTTTCCCTCTCACAGAATACCGGGCTATATCCATGGGCCAGGGCCAGGAAGTACATGCTCGACGCATGATGGCACAAGGAACACAAAATGGTGGCTGGCTCCTGCTGCAGAACTGTCATCTCAGTCTGGACTTTGTGGAGGAGGTGATGGACACCATCATAGAGACCGAGAACATTCATGAAGAGTTCCGTCTGTGGGTCACCACCGAGGTGCACCCAAGTTCCCGATCAGCTTCCTCCAGGTGAGACTCGGAATGACCTTGACATACTAACCAACCTTCATTTCTTGTCTGTCCTTGAGATCCTTACTGACCATGGGATATTACTGACCATGGGATATTTTCACGCTGGAAATATTTGTTTACTTTTGGAAAAGAGGTTATTGAACATTCATTGTTTAAGTTAGTGTCATACTTTACACTATTTCCTGTCTTGATAAATAGAGGAATAATTAATTACAAACATACAGACAAAGCATTTTAGTAGTTAATCAAAAATTTCCCAGAATTGTGGAAGCAGAACAAGTTGGAAATAATTCTTCATAGTTGATAATGTGTATCAACCCTGTAACAGATCGCCATCAAGTTCACCATGGAGCCTCCCCAGGGTATCAAGGCGGGTCTGAAGCGAACCTATGCCAGTATGACCCAGGATTACCTGGACATCTCCAACATGCCACAGTGGAAGCCGATGCTGTACGGTGTCTCCTTCCTCCATACCACAGTGCAGGAACGCAGGAAGTTTGGTCCTCTTGGATGGAATATCCCGTACGAGTTCAACGCCTCTGACTTCAACGCTAGTGTACAGTTTGTGCAGAACCATCTGGATGACATGGACATCAAGAGGGTAAGTCAGAGTTTGGGTTAGTGATGGACATTAAGAGGGCATGTCAGAGTTTGTGCTAGTGATGGACATCAAGAGGGTATGTCAGAGTTTGTGCATAGTGATGGACATCAAGAGGGTATGTCAGAGTTTGGGTTAGTGATGGACATCAAGAGGGTATGTCAGATTTTGGGTTAGTGATGGACATCAAGAGGGTATGTCAGAGTTTGGGTTAGTGATGGACATCAAGAGGGTATGTCAGAGTTTGGGTTAGTGATGGACATCAAGAGGGTATGACATCAGAGTTTGTTTGGGTTAGTGATGGACATCAAGAGGGTATCAAGAGGGTATAGTCAGTGATGGACATCAAGAGGGTATGTCAGACATCAAGAGGGTATGTCAGTGATGGACATCAAGAGGGTATGTCAGAGTTTGGGTTAGTGATGGACATCAAGAGGGTATGTCAGTGATGGACATCAAGAGGGTATGTCAGAGTTTGGGTTAGTGATGGACATCAAGAGGGTATGTCAGTGATGGAGAGTGATTCAAGAGGTTAGTGATGGACATCAAGAGGGGTCAGAGTTTGGGTTAGTGATGGACATGGACATCAAGAGGGTATGTGGGAGTGATGGACATGGGTATGTCAGTGATGGACATCAAGAGGGTATGTCAGAGTTTGATGGACATCAAGAGGGTATGTCAGTGATGGACATCAAGAGGGATGGACATCAAGAGGGGTATGATCAGAGTTGTCAGAGGAGTAGTGATGGACATCAAGAGGGTGGGTATGGGTCAGTGATGGACATCAAGAGGGTATGTCAGAGTTTGGGTTAGTGATGGACATCAAGAGGGTATGTCAGTGATGGACATCAAGAGGGTATGTCAGAGTTTGGGTTAGTGATGGACATCAAGAGGGTATGTCAGTGATGGACATCAAGAGGGTATGTCAGAGTTTGGGTTAGTGATGGACATCAAGAGGGTATGATGGACAGAGAGGGTAGTGATAGGGTAAGAGTGGGTTAGTTTGGGTTAGTGATGGACATCAAGAGGGTATGTGAGAGTTTGGGTTAGTGATGGACATCAAGAGGGTATGTGAGAATTTGGGTTAGTGATGACATCAAGAGGGTATGTCAGTGATGGACATCAAGAGGGTATGTCAGAGTTTGGGTTAGTGGAATGATTGGGGACTTCACATTCACAGAGAGAATAGTCTCAATGTTGAAACCTGAAGAATGGTAGAAACCATGCTGCTGGGATGTTTTTGTGGAATGGTAATTCAGAAGTGATGCTTGTCATAGACAAGTACTGTTTTGGAACTGGCGTTCACCTCCAGGGCCCAACCATCAAAGTGATCTAATGCTGTGACTATTAAAAGTCCATTATAATAAATGTGAATTATGAAAGATATTCTTCTAAGATCACTTTGTGAAGGAACCCTGGTCTGTCATATTACAGTGCTGTAATAAAAGATACCAAATAGTCAAATGTTACACAAGAAACCAGTTGATTATTGTGGGAGAGGAGGGCAGATATGTTTAGTCTTTGCAAACATATTTGACATATGTCTGTAGCATCTCCAAATCTTTGTTACTCATGTTTGGGGGCAGTGTTAGCTGAAATTTATACAGTATAACAAAATATTCTGTACGTACATGCACAGTTATTTTGTTCACAGGGTGTCAACTGGACTTGTGTGCGCTACATGCTAGGTGAGATCCAGTATGGCGGTCGAGTCACTGACGACTTTGACAAGCGCCTCCTGAACACTTTCTGCAAAGTTTGGTTCGGGGAGATCATGTTCACTCCTGCCTTCAACTTCTACAAAGGCTACGTCATCCCCAAGTGCGCCAAGCATAATGACTACATGGAGTACATCAACAACCTGCCCATCAAGGACACGCCAGAGGCCTTCGGACTACACAGCAATGCTGACATCACGTACGTTACAAACAGTGGGAAGTTTCCGCCTTCAGACAATGTTCAGGACTGGCCAAATTTCTCTTGCGTCAATGTTAAGCCTGCCTTGTAAAAGTAAAATAATACATATCAAACACATTATATATCATTCATGTTTTGTGCTCTCTGAATTTTTTGTTTGTTTTTGTATTTCTGTTAAATCTTTTATTTCAAGATTATTATTTATGAACCTTTATTTAATTCTTCAACTTATTATCTTCTGTGGACAGGGCTTTTCTATAAAAAAATATTTATTTATTTTGGTTGTAAATATATCTGTGTGTTGCTTGATTAACTTGACTGTTTGATGTGACAACTGAAAAATTTGTTTCACTGAAAAGAACTGATTTTTTTCATTGGTAGTAGAAATATGTTTTGAGTTGGAATGGGTGTTGCACTGTATCTTGCCATCTATTGCCAGTCTGGTTCCAGACACAAAACACACAGCTGGTGTTCCACTGTATCTTGCCATCTATTGCCAGTCTGGTTCCAGACACGGAACACACAGCTGGTGTTACACTGTATCTTGCCATCTATTGCCAGTCTGGTTCCAGACACAAAACACACAGCTGGTGTTACACTGTATCTTGCCATCTATTGCCAGTCTGGTTCCAGACACGAAACACACAGCTGGTGTTACACTGTATCTTGCCATCTATTGCCAGTCTGGTTCCAGACACAAAACACACAGCTGGTGTTACACTGTATCTTGCCATCTATTGCCAGTCTGGTTCCAGACACGAAACACACAGCTGGTGTTGCACTGTATCTTGCCATCTATTGCCAGTCTGGTTCCAGACACAAAACACACAGCTGGTGTTGCACTGTATCTTGCCATCTATTGCCAGTCTGGTTCCAGACACAAAACACACAGCTGGTGTTACACTGTATCTTGCCATCTATTGCCAGTCTGGTTCCAGACACAAAACACACAGCTGGTGTTACACTGTATCTTGCCATCTATTGCCAGTCTGGTTCCAGACACGAAACACACAGCTGGTGTTACACTGTATCTTGCCATCTATTGCCAGTCTGGTTCCAGACACGGAACACACAGCTGGTGTTACACTGTATCTTGCCATCTATTGCCAGTCTGGTTCCAGACACGGAACACACAGCTGGTGTGAAGCACAACTAGTGGGGTGTCTGACATTGATGTTACATTTGAAAGTTTAGATGGTGTGTTGATTATATAAATATTGTCAGGCACATCCAGTGATACAAGGTATAAATATTGACCCTGGTGCTCTCTCTGCAGCTACCAGAGCAGCACAGCCTCCAACATCCTGGACACCATCCTCCAAATCCAGCCCAAGGACAGCAGCGGCGGCACAGGTGAAACCCGCGAATCCATCGTCTACCATCTCTGTGACGACATGTTGGACAAACTACCGCCTGACTATATCCCGTTTGAGGTCCAGAACCGACTCCAGAAAATGGGCATCCTGCAGCCGATGAACATCTTCCTTAGGCAGGAGATTGACAGGATGCAGAAAGTCATCACGTTGGTGCGCCTGACCTTGACTGACCTCAAGCTGGCCATTGATGGTACTATCATCATGAGCGAGGCCTTGAGAGATGCCTTGGACTCCATGTATGATGCCAGGATTCCCAAGGCTTGGCAGAAGGTGGGGCGCACTTTCAGGATAAATATAGTACTGATGCTCTCATATAAGACAAGATATTGACAAGATAGAACAAATTATAGAATACCATTTTGTATAAATATCTACTCCAGTAAACTATGTTATTTCTGACACACTTGCAGCAGATTAATGGATTTAATGAACTTGTCTTTGGTCGGGCCATTAGCTGAATATTTTATCAAATAGAAGTCCAAATGCTTATAACGAACTATGTTTATAACAGACTAAAATTAGTGGTGCCTTTTAGTTTGTTATTATCATAGTTTGGCGAGTTAAATGTAGGTTGGAGACTTCAGCTACTAGCCATTGGCAGGCATATGGCTTGTTAAAAAATGTTCTGTCAAGTATGTGTACTATATGTAATTTTCAAAAAGGTATTAATCATCTGGATCTGTTTGTGATCATGTGACCTTTCTATGATAATGTGACCTTGCTATCTCAGATATCCTGGGACTCCAGCACTCTTGGCTTCTGGTTCACGGAACTCATCGACCGCAACAGTCAGTTCAACACCTGGTGTTTCGATGGCAGACCAAACACGTTCTGGATGACTGGCTTCTTCAACCCACAGGGATTCCTCACTGCTATGAGACAGGTCAGAACAATCTGTCCTTAAGACATACTGGTACCTCTTGCACAGTTTGGGGCGGTGGGGTAGCCTAATGGTTAAAGCGTTGGCTCGTCACGCGGAAGACCTGGGTTCGAATCCCCACATGGGCACAATGTGTGAAGCCCATTTCTGGTGTCCCCCGCCGTGATGTTGCTGGAATATTGCTAAAAGCGGTGTAAAACCAAACTCAGTCAGTCAGTCTTTCACAGTTTACTGACTACCAAAATAACTGTTTCAAATAAGTTGTTATATTTCAGTGTAATAGCAGTTTGTTTAAAATCACATCTCAGTGCCTACTACCGCTACCCAATCTGAGGATGTCCCATTACAGGTCATGATGGAAGTTTCACGAAGTTTGACCAATTAAACGAATAAGAAGTTGACATTAACCAATCTAGCTTAGCTTTGTTGAGCTTTTTGGCACTAGATCAACACTGCTACCTTCCATTCTAGACTACGCTTTGAAAATTTTTGATTCAGCATTTGAAAACTGATAAAAAATTCATTTCTGGAATGTTCATAATTGATGGTTGAGATTGTATTTAAGTCCTTCCCAAAGTCTGCATAGAATCCCATAGAAGCAAGAAATATATGACATACCATGGCCCATGGTAACCTTATCAAGGCCGAATGATTAGAAAACACATTCTGGCGGTCACTTCCCAAGTAAGCGATGTCTGGTTGGTGGCAGGAGTGGTTCTCCTGACTTGACCTGCCTGCATGGTGCATAGTGATGAAACTGGTGTTGTAACTGATGCAACCACTCCTTACAATAGAATCATCAAGAAGATCAAGATGCTGGGGATGCAGGTCAAAGGTTAATTCTGTGTAGGATTTGGTTCTCCATCAACATAAAGTACTTAATTTGGCATGAATATATATTCATTCAGATTGTCCCCAAGCATGATCAAATATGGATTAATTCTGTTTGATTGGAAATAAACACTATTAGCATGTCCCCTCTGTCTACAGGAAGTGACACGTGCCCACAAAGGATGGGCCTTGGACACCGTCATCCTCCATAACGACGTCACCAGGTACAACCGGGACGATGTGACTACGCCACCAACAGAAGGCGTGTATGTGTACGGTCTGTACCTGGAGGGTGCTGGCTGGGACCGCAGAGGAAGCAAGCTGATTGAACCCAAGCCTAAGGTGCTGTTTGAGCAGATGCCAGTGATTCACATCTACGCCATCAACAGCACGTCGGGGACAACGGATACACGCATGTACTACTGTCCCATCTACAAGAAACCACGGCGTACAGATCTCACATACATTGCCGGCGTTGTCCTCAAGACGAACCAGCCCCCAGATCACTGGGTGTTGCGTGGTGTGGCCCTTCTCTGTGACATCAAATAAACATTCTTTACAGACTTTACATGAGGAGAAATGTGATCTGACTTTACAACTTCTAGGTATTATGAATAGTCCTAGCTTAAGATTTACCATATTTCTTATCATCAAAATATTTTCTGTTATTGGAAAATGGTCTTGATTCATGTGTATTCAAATATTACCTTGCTTTGTATAGAAAACATATCAAACTTTGGTAGTTTAATAAACCTGCTTGCTAAGACTCTTTTCTGACAGTTCTTTGGAACAGTGTTATGTGTGCCCTTAGACACAGTCAAGAGCTGGTTATAGTGCTCTAAAATTACCACTGGAGCAAATGTAGACTTCAGCTTATGTGAAAACTGGTTAGGGAAATCCTTTTACTTCTAATCATGGATGAACAGCTATATGCATTGTCTATTGTGCTTGGTAGGTTTTATCCATTTGATCAAATTGATACTTAATAGTACAACCAGTTTCTGATTTCTGTAGTATTTTTTGTGTAGATAATTAATTTTGATTTGAAAATGAGCCTTTTAAGAAGGCCTACAGTGTTCCAGTTCTGACCTGATCATAGAATATTGCATTCAGTTGTCACACTGTTTTAGTCCGTCCAAGTTTCACTGCACAGATATTCTTTTGTTGTGAATCTTTACTAAGAGTCATCTATTTTCTTGATACAAATGATTGGTATTAGTATCCTGTGAATATTTATTTGAAGAGTCCACTGTACCTACTTTCAGTATATCTGAGAGCCCCTTCACACTGTGATAATATATTTACATACATTTACTGTGTGTCTAGCTGGTACATAGAGTATCAAAGATAGTGCTTCTACTAATGTATATGGGTGGGTTGTGACATGCATTCAATCTACAATAGAGCAATGTTCTAACACACATACACCCACAATATAATATCTTTGTGTTTGTTAGGCAAGACCATTTTTTGTTTTATTTTATAGATAAGCCTTTCCTAAAAGTGAAAATGAAAAGAATATATGATCACAATGTTTTATTAAGTTTGAATATTTGGGTTTTTTGTTTAAGATTCATTAATAAGAAATAAAAAAATGTTCTTGTCTGACCATTGATTAGTTATTCTAAAAGTACTATGACAGATATGTAGCTTTAGTTTTGTAACAGGTTTGTAGCATTTTACATTCTTCATAGTGATTGTGATACAACTTCTTGCAATAATATCCAGCAAAGTGATATTTATTCAGCATGTGTAATAACAGATTTCCCAAACAGTATTTCAGTTTTATGTAACTTCAGTATTCAACCTGACATTCTTCATCCACACCTGATGAAGTTCCTAGTCCAGAGTTGTCTCCCTTGGCTGTATTCCCTGTAGGATGTGTTTACAACGAACTGTGATAATGAATCTGTCTTGATTTGATTGGCTGATATATTTTAATATTTATTGTCCTGTACAGAATTGTTATTTCTTATACCTGTTTAGTTTCATCCGAATGTTCCATACATCCATGTTTATTTTCTGTCTATAGTTTATGGAATAAAATACTTTCATAACTAATGTTGTAGACATCATGATTGTTTCAGTGAGACAGACACTACTTTACTTTACTGTGAAAGTGTAATCCAGATATAACATATACTACACTTGAACTCTTTGTAAATGGCATTGTGTACTTACAGCTTTGGGCCATGGGAGCTCTGCCAATTAACACTCATCAGTGGGTACACAAAGTATGTGATACGGGCCACCTTTTGTCAAGACTTCCATTTTTCTGGAAACTGTGGTGGCTGAGTGGGTTAGATCACTGACTTTGTGTGCTACGATTAGGTGGCGATTAGGTGCCTTACTCGTAGTGTGTGGGTTCGAATCCTGAGATGGGATTCAACCCCAAATGTACTAGAATCTGTACTTTACTTGGAAATGTAATCCCAAATATAACATGTCACATTTGTCCACTCTAATGGTTGTTTGTATTCCCAGAGAATCATGGCACATGATGACGTCAGCCAACTCACACATTGACCATTCAAACCACTCCAGATCCATTTATGACTTGCTCTGAATCGGAACTACCAAACGGTTGTCGGTTATCTTAAACAACAGAAGACACAGCGGCACTGCGGCTACATTGATAAGATCATATAAATCTGACCATGTTTCATTGATTCAGACAGGATGTGATATAAAATCTACCTGTCAGTGTGTTGAGTGCAGATTGATTCATTGCCAACATACCTCATAGAACTGATCCTGGAATATCAGATGAGGTCAGTACAATTCACTGATTGGCATTGCTTCAAGATACCATTAATCATGTCGATGGGGATGAGCCCTTTGGGAGAGAGCTGTTCGCAAAACCTGGCCCTCAGCTAAACAGAACTTTCTGTCACCAATCATAAGTAGCATCTTGAAACATTCAAGTCGATGCTCAAAACAGATCTCTTCTGAGACATTTCCATCATAGTCAAGACGTTTTACATTTACTTCTTAGCAGTTTTTAACTGTAGCATAGCACTTTATAGATGTATAAATATTATCATTGTTATTATAGATTTACAAAATTGCTACCCAGCTAGCGATATTTACAGAGTGACACACACACAATAGTCACTTTTCATAAACTTTACTTTTCTTTAAACATTCTAAACAAAACTTTTCACCGTACCATATCTCCAAGAAACCTATTAAGCACCCTGCTTTTAAGTCCCCTGACCAACGGCAATAACAATAACAATATGCACAGTAAGTAATCTCTACAAGCACCTGCTATGAAGACTGAAGATTTACAAGTTAATTGTTCATACTTTCTAGGGTATTTAACAGATTTTTTATTATATTCTAAACAAAGATTCATTTTTATTATATTCTAAACAAAAGTTTGTCCACCATCTCTCTGAAAACTGTCCACCAACAAAAACTGTCCACCAACATTCCAATCTCTGAAAACTGTCCACCAACATTCCAATCTCTGAAAACTGTCCACCAACATTCCGATCTCTGAAAACTGATGTAAACCACTGTATACAGTTATAACAAGACAAGTGCTCCCTTTCATCAAATTCCTGAAGGTAAACATGCTTACTACAGAAAGTATGGTACACCATAAGCCATAAAGGGTGTCGGTTACACATAAAGCAACATTGAGTGTAAGAAACAAGTTCAGTTTATTGTGACATGAAAACAAATCAAATAAGCATGATCTGCAGACATTTACATTGTATTTTGGTCGATCTGTCGCTGCTCCAGGCTATGCTATAAAAACAACTAAATTATAGATGGTCCATGTTTTCAACAAAGACGCATATGACCAAATGAAAGGCAAACTGACCCGTCACCGCTGTTGCTGTACAAATGACGTCAACAAGCCACATGATACATAGTGTTGTGACACTACAGCTGTGCACTACTCATATGTAAATACATTTGTTTTCACTTTTCTCTATCATCCATATCATCTGTTAATTTGTATGGAATATCATGGTATATTACATGGAATATCATCTTATATTACATGGTGCCAAGTACAAAGTATACTATTGTCAGTATGTATCCAATCAGACATTTGACTGTTTGGAGGGATTGAAATACTATTGGTTCAGTCCAAAGTGCCCTGTAATGCCACCAAGAGAAGCATTATTGGCATAAAACACTGTATAATTGCATCATGATCATGTGGGGTGGTCCCAGGTAGCAATCACGCCTGGTATACTTAAGGAAATGACATTTCCCAAAACTCACATTGATTTTGTTTAAACCATACTGAACACAGCTCCTCAGGGATTATGAATAATTTTGGGGATGTGTTTTTCTAGTGAAATGACACAATTTTCACAACTTATTATGACCCCCTTATTTTTTGTTAGTACAGGGGCTCCTTTAACGAAGCAACCTTTACTAAGGTTAACCTTAACTCCCATTCTTTAACATTGAACTAAGGTTACCTTAGTGACTTATGATCACCTTAGTGTTTTGTGAAAGGAGGCCCTGGACACAAACAGTTGTTACTTTGTAGAACATGTTGTTTACTTGTGTAAATATACCACAAAGTAAATTCTTGCTGTCACAACACTCTTCAAAATGTCCGGCACAAGGGCATCTCTGCAAGTCGTAATTCTTCACCACCTCGACTCGGTGAGACACCTTTGCACATCACACACACCTGGAAGACATTGGTCTCATTCTCAGCTGGAGCCAGAGCAGACAATCTCCCTCAAAATATCATCATCGCTGGTTTTGAAACAAATTTCAAATGCAAACAGAAACATTCCCGGACTTCAAATAGTGTCAATCTACACACAGTGCATAGCAACAATACAACCTGGCTGCCAAAAAACAACAACACTACTTACAAGGTTACTATGGCAACAGGCAGTTCCCAACAACAACAGTACTTACAAGGTTACTAAGGCAACAGACAGTCATCAACAACAGTACTTTACAAGGTTACTATGGCAACATAAAGTTTACAACATCAGTACATGCCAGGTGACAAAGTGCTACATTGGTCAGATACATGTTGCCTCACACACCATGGAAGAGCTGCATCCCTTATGTTTGATGGTATCCACTGATTACAGGTTTAATCCCAGATAAGCCCAAATTAAGATCGAAGGGGAAGGGCTGTCAGCTACGATTGGGGGATTCTGCTTTCTGTATCAGCTATCAATGTCCTCCAACACTTGGCTGACACGGAAATATGGGTCACCTTGCTCGCTCACTCTCTAACCTCACTCACTCACTCATTCACAACACCTCACTCACTCACTTACTCACTCATTGCATTTCCCAAAACATCTCGGAACTATTCACATGTTCCCACAAAGTTTCACTTCTCCAGGAGAAACTGTCTGTAGAGCTCCTCACTGCTACTGTTCTCAAACTTGGGCACAAAGTTTACTTTAAGAATCTCAGAAAATCCTTCCTCTTTGATGGGCTCCTTGTACTTTGACCTGAAGTGACATCATACAAAGGTACATACTACAATAAAAACATTCAAGCAGGAATTCACACGTATCAGATGAGATGTTACACAATTGTTTTCTACAACTGCTGTCAAAGTATAGTTGAACCTTGTAGTGTTGAACTTCCATGTCTCCATTCCCGACTGACTACAATTCACTTTTAAGTTCTGGTGAATTCCTTCTATGTATACCATTATTTATACTCTGATATGAATACTGGATGTGCCCAATTTCTGGCTGCATCAAACTGTGTCCCAAATATCCAATTTATACACCATAGGTGCATGCTGATTAAGAAGTTACTGAAGTTGGAAGTTTGTACGAAACCAATGATAAATAGATTACACATTAATCTTTCATAACAAGTTTAGTTTACAGAAATTCCCTTTGATGGTTACGCCAAATTTATAACTTGGAACATTTTTCAAGGTTGCCACGAGTTTGACACAACTGAACATCTGGTTGCTCTCTAAGTAATGTCACTATATGAAGACTGGGGGTCAGGCAATACGATCAACCTGGTTACATGAAACTGATTTACAGATTGCCTGCTCCCTGCTCATGTGAAGACTGGAGCCAGTCTACATTTCATCATATAATGTAACTTGCATGAACTGCAAAAATCAGAAGTTATGAAATACAGTCTCAGTTTATTGAGGTGTTTGTGCATAGAAATGTACACCATGGATTTAAAAACACTGACACTGGAAACTATCAAAACATGGATTGGTTGCTTCCAGTCGAGTCCTGCCCATAATGACTTACTTGGAGGAATTGAGGACCATTTCATTGATCGCCTGGTGGCTCTTGTCCGTCATCTCACGATACTGCAAAGAAGACGTTTACGTCAGTGTATGTTGTATATTTGACAAAGAAGACTTCTTCCACTGAAACAATTCCTATCACATAGAACACTAGGCAAGGCAAGGTGTCTTTTGCATGAAGCCCCAGTAACTTACTTGCAACATCAGCTTTATAGTAAAGATCCGAAATGTTCAAAATCTCTTACTGGAACTGACACTCATCATAATGGTAATGGTAGATCTATACTGCTTTGTGAAAAACAGAACAAAACATAAATAAACAACAGGTCAAATATATTTTTTTCATAAAATATAATGGTAAAATGTATATAAAAAATCTGCTGTTTATTGTAATCATACTAAAATCATATATAACTAGATGAGCAATCTCCTTCATACATATAAGAGCTGATATCAGCCTATGTCCCTGCACGGGAAGTAAGATCTCAACACCAGAACCATATGACAGTGCCACAATACAAACTCAAGTCCTTTGGTCAGAGATGCTTTGAACATTAAGCCCCTTACACGTGGAACTCTCTTCCACAAGATCTGAAACTTTCTCCAATATTTGAGTCATGCAAATCGAATCTCAAAACATATCTTTCCGCCAGTTCTATGAATCATAATAACTTTTGTCGTCATCCCTTCCTTATCTAATTGCTGAGCCTGGAAGCCTGGAAATGAGCCCAATACAAATATGCACTATTATTATTATTATTATTAGATCTAATGACATACTGCATAGAGATGCTTTCACATTTTGCTTGACAGCTGAAACAAAATACCAAAGACCCTAAATTAGACTGACTACTGACCTGTGACCCCATCCATCAAGACCCTCATTCACTGAAAGAAGTTGCACAGGGATATTCAATCTTGACTATTGTGTTTCTAAGCTGAAAGCTACTGGCATTAATATTAGGATGTATTTCAGGTTTGGGGTAGTCAAAGAGGCGAGTCCTCGCTTCACTCACAGACAGTTTCATGATTCTTGTATCCGACTTATGTCTCAATGTCCCACCGGTACTGAAAGTACATGACCTACCCGTTCATTGTGTCGGATATGCTGGATGTTATTTGTGAACACAAAACACCGACATGGTACAGAACCTTTCTTGGCACAATCCAGGTACCTGAAATATAGTGGGATCAATAATGAGAGAGTAAAACTTGGTTAAATGCCACTTTCAACAGTATTATGGTTATATCATGACTTGTCAGCTTAATAAGGTTTTCAGATCATGACCTGTGTAACAATGTATTGCTAAATGAGCCATATTCCTGACATATGACAGTCTGTGGTAACTGTTGTAAGTATGATGACACATAGTCAACACAGAAACTCAGTCTAAGAACCGTTTTTTGACCGAGTCGTACAAAAGGCATGAGTTACCATGGCTACTTGAGACCAGTTCAGGATTACGAGCCAAAATTTAATTGACATCTGATGTTACATTAAAGATTAGTTTACTCTCTCAATACACATCTAATCACTGTAATCATGGTAACAAAACACTGTAACAATAAAATGAGTATAATATTTTGCAGTTTGTTTACCGTGCCCTAGACTCCACATCCAAGTTGGTGTTGTCAATGACGACACTCTTTCCCTCAGCCAAAGCTTTGTTGCAATGAGCGACACACTTCTGCCAGCTCCCCAGAGTATCCTGAGGAAAGGCAGATCACTAACATATTATATATCACCACATGTAAATTGAGTACCTAGAATTTAGCCAAACCTGTAGAGGTTTTAAATTCTTTGGAGAATCTTCCTTGGGGTACATACATATGCATTTTCTGCAACTGAAAATTCCTGTGACAGTTGTAACAATGTTTTAATAACAATATTGCACAAAACAAGTGTTTGCCACTAATGTGGAAATGTCCCCCACCGCTAAAGAAGAATGAAATATTTATCACATATTTACTGTTTTGAGGGGGTCACATACAAGAAATGAAATGAGTTGCATAATCACATATTTAATTGAAGTCATTGGACAATTTTTTTGAGGGGGTGATATGAAGAGATATACTTGAAGATATCAGCGTCAAATCAATTGGTGTCTGCATAATCATCCAATGTCAGTTCATGAAGATATGAAGTACATTGGGTACCATTAACATGAGATAGTTTAAGAAAAGTGGTCAAAGTGTTGTGGTGACCTTGAAATGAAGTTCAAGGTCACCAAAATCAACTGGTGTCTGCATAATCCCCCAATGTAGGCTGTCACCAAATTTGAAGACATTGGGTACAACAGTTCATGAGATATCACTTTAACAAAAATTGAGACGGACGCTTCTGATACATAGTCCCCCCTTCCGCGTTGTGGCGGGGGACAATAAAAAGTCAATTTTATTTGTCATACAGCCACCACCACCCCTCCTTACCACACATGCGCGGGCAGCCAGGTACATCCCTACCTAAAATCATCTTTCTGCTACACTCAACATGTGTGAACAAGAATGAGCATTCAACAACGTCTGAGACTTTGAATACTGTATGTACATTGTCCTTTATTCCATGTCTATAATCCCGATAAGGAAAGGCACTTCATCAGCCCAGTTGTAAACCAGTGTCAGATAGTACAAATATACTTACCCTGTTGATGTGTACATAGCCTTTTGGGATAAGGTTTGTTTTGACGAAGAAAGATTTCCCTGCTAAAATAAGGAACCAAAAAAGGTTAAATAATTGATAATATAATAATTCAATAATTGATAATATAATAATTCAATAATTGTAAACAAACAGGAACTTGTAACAGATACAACATGTTTTCATGTAATATGACTTACATCATTAAAAAGTGCACAGTGAGATCCTATAAGGGTCCTTTTTCTAGTAAGCATCTTCACAAAGGGACATCAGAAGATACATCAAAGTTAAAAAGTGATGAAAGTGAAGGTCTTAGTTTAAGATGAAGTTAAATGTCAGCAAAAAAATGACCAGTCAACCTCTCTTGACATCTTACCCTGTAGTTGTTCAAACACACAAATATTTTCAAGATTCACTTTGACCTTGACATGAATGTCATGGTGTATGAAATATGGAAAAATAGTAATAAAGAGTGAGTGAGTGAGTTGAGTTTTATGCCACAATATTCCAGCTTTATGGTGGCGGTCTATAAATAATCGAGTCTAGACCAGGCAATCCAGTGATCAACAGCATGAGCATTGACCTGCGCAATTGGTAACCGATGACATGTGTCAACCAAGTCAGCGAGCCTGACCACCCGATCCCATTAGTCGCCTCTTACGACAAGCATGGGTTACTGAAGATCAATATTCTAACCCGGACCTTCACGGGTAAGTAATAAAGAAATTGCTTATCAAAAAACATTCAAGAGAAGTCTTGAAAGTCTATTACGATATCTTGCTGACAATCTTAACATGCAGGTTAACATGCTGAAATCTTCAAAGTGTCTCCGTGACCTTGAAAATTACAAGAAGGTCACCAATACCAACTAGGCCCTGTGCCTTCCCTAGATGAAGCTTGGTGTGTAAATATGAAGAAAATCCAGTAAATGGTTCTTAAGGTATCTCGCTGACAAGCTTAACATGCAGGTTAACATGCTGAAATCTTCAAAGTGTCGCTGTGACCTTGAAAATTACATGAAGGTACGTACGTATGGACAGACGGACGGAGCCTAATACTATATCCCCCGCTCCGTGCTAAACGTGCAGTGTGTGATATAACCAATCATGAACATTATTTCAAATACACAACAGAGGACTATTTTGTTTGATGATGGATCATAGTGAGTGAGTTTAGTTTTACGCCGCTTTTAGCAATATTCCAGCAATATCACGGCGGGGGACACCAGAAATAGGCTTAACATATTGTACCCACGTGGGGAATCGAACCCCGGGTCTTCGGTGTGACGAGCGAACGCTTTAACCACTAGGCTACCCCACCACCCCGATGATGGATCATAAGTAAAAAGAGTACTTACAAGCAGGCAAACCAGTTAGCACGGCAACCTGCAAAAACAGTTTCAAAATGATGGAACATGAAAGACTGTAAAACATACAGTACAGATATGTGCTGACCTTCATCATCCTACTTCTCAGACCACCGGACAACCGTCTGACCACCATATAAACTGACAAGTGCCAATGGCAAACAAACACAGAGAGTTTATCCGTAAATGGAGTTTTCACTTTGACCATTGATGACTACAGTTACAGTATAATGTACACAGACTATCATCATCACACAGTTTATGAAGAAGTTAGCTGTATCAGAAAGTATTGTACAAATAAGGCTGAACTAGGCAACAGAAATATCACCATTTTACTGGATGAAAACTACTGCAACAAGCGGTATTTAGGCACATCTTGGCCCCTAGAATATAATACTGCAGCACTGTTCCATTGCACACAAATAATTGTGTCCTTTAAGCAGAACACTATCTAATAGATGGGAATGATATCCACTGCAAGTACTGTTGAAGAATATGATTATTTTCAGGCTGCTGTGATATAGTGAGAACATTGCTGAGTGCAGCACAAGTCAGCAAACCAACAATATCACACTAGGACACATCTCTTAATGCCTATACACCCAAATAATCACAACCCAAAGTTTCCGGGATTTGCAGACATTAGAAATCGACAAGTCTTTGTGGTACACAGAAAACCCACCTCCTGTGTGGACGAAGACAGGGAGCTACCAGCAGGGGAGACAACTTCACTGGTTGCACTCAGTTTCCTCTGAAAGTGCCAGAGAATATACATAACAGCACTGTAACATGTCACATCTTATATCTGCATTGTACTTCAGAAATAAATAACATAAACTGACGTGAAATATAAACCTTTTTGTAAGTACAGTCAAATCCTGATGAGTCGAATGCCGGTGTCTCGAATATTATGCATAACTCGAAGTCCCTGTCGGTCCCGACCATTCCTGTTATAGTTGTCATCAGTTTTGATTATGTTACACTTAATTAGCAATCTCCATAAATACACACGATGACTCGGGACAAGGAAATTGTCCCATGAGATTCAAACAACAGCCATTTTGTATACATAAGCCGAAGTCAGTCAATGAGAAGTTGATTGGTGTAGCAAACTGATCCAATTAACAAACCAGCGCGGCTCCCACCTTTCCGCCATTGACCGGTGAGTTCAAAAGGCAGATTAGTGATTTTACGGAAATCACTGTCTGAGATAATCAGACTGGAACTGATAAGGTGCCCCTATTAGTGATATGGAAATCATTAGATAAACAAATGCTTAGGGCGGAGGAATTAGGACTGGATCATCTTTTCTCTTTATTACCATAAATTAGAAATAGACTGCTGTCATGCAGGATCAGTTTGAGGGAAATACTACTTTCCTACCAGCTTCTAACAGGAGTAAGTAGATCTAACATTACTTTATAATGGAATTGCAGTTATAATTACACCATGATGCAGATCTTTGGCCTTGACCACAATGGTGAAACCCATGTGCATAGGTATGACAAACCCTTAAAGTACGGTCAGGGCAAAACAGATTTTCAAATCCATCATCAAGGTTTCTTGAAAGCCTAATGGGCTGAATGGTCACAGTGAAATGTAGCCCCATAAAGGAGTTGTCCATCTGTGCCCCAACTTCAGATCTGACTGATGTCATTTGTCAACAGAAAACAAATAACGTGTATCTGACGACTACTCACAGGATCAAACTCGGGGAGTTTGAATGGAGCTGCCTTATGATCTCTGAAATATTCCTCTGGCGTATAGAACTTTAGGCCAATATTCAATGCAAACTGAAAAACAAGCACAAGCTTTTATCCACAGACATTCAGTCCTTGACATCAATTTTCTCTCCTCTTTTTAGCTTGTTTAAATTCTTATCAAGAAATTGTATTTCAACACCCGTTTCAGCAGGTAAGGCTTTATGTATATATTTGAGCTTGGTTTCTGAGACAAAAAAACATAATGGTATACATTTTCCAAATGACTTTACAATAACCAACCATTACAGATTATTGGTCCTTCAGTGTCCACCATTTTAACATGTTGTTTAAGGAGACAGGTATTCTCATTATGGCTGAAGAAGTGGTAGTCGGCATGGATACATTTTTGTATTCAGAAATGTATCTTAGTCAAAATGAGAACACAGAAACATACTCTAGGAAGAGTCCATTCCGTTTGTTGATCTGAGCTGTCATACTGTTGTATGAGATATAATCAATTGCTTTATATAAGAAAGGATCATACACAGTGATGAATATTTTGTAATGCACAGCATCACTCGTAATAAGGAAAAGGAACTATAACATGAACCGTTTTTGGTTTTGGTTGAGGAATATAAACTTATCTGCCATTTAGGGTAATGGGTACGTTTTTGTATTTTGACATTTTGCTTATAGAAACACACCGGAGGTACATATCTGTAGTAGCCGAGCCGATAACAGCCCCTTCAGCCACATTCTGATTATGCTGTGACTACCAGAAAGAAGGATCTGTATACAAGAAGTGTGTTTCCTTGAAAGACATTAAGATTCCTACCAGTCTATCGCTACAAGAGAAGTCTTTCTTCCTGCCCTGGGTCCACTTGTCAGGTCGACCTGCTGCATCTGTCACAGAAGATAGGAACTACATCAAACACGATTGTGTCAAGATTGCCAGGACCTCAGTTCTGTTATGAGGCAGTGTTATACATTGTACCTGTAGAGTCAGTGAATGGCAGTGTAGTGCTATATTTAGACTTGTGCTATAGGTGAGGTGAAATTGGGTTTAACGTCGTGCTTGAGAATATTTCGCTCATATGATGACGTGCATGCGTGTGTATGTGTATGTGCGGCTGCTTGTACTAGCCCAGACTTAAGCTGGTTTTATAGTGCTAGCCCACTGAGATACCATGCCACAGTGAAGCATGAATACCCCACTCAGACACATTATACTGACTTCAAGCCGACCAGTCCTTGTTGTACCCATTAATGCCGAGCCAGGCAGGGACCAACAAGTATGTAATTTTAGAGTAAAATTGATATTTTATACTTATCCTGACTCATGCTTATTGCTTGTCTTCTTCTTCTTAGCTGAACATAGTGGAACACGCGGTATCTCCCAATTGAAGTTCCCTTCAATTCAAAAAATCACTAATTAGCACTCACCACGAAGTTACCTCCCTTACACAAGCTGAAGGCAGGGCTTAATTCTACCCATGTGCCTGCCACTCTCTCCCTCATATACTGAGCCCAACACTTGAATTTCCAGGGAAATCCAAAGTGTTATTTGGGGAGGATGGAGGGCTGACCTCATGAGTCAGGATAAGTATAAAATATCAATTTTACTCCAAAAATTACATATTTTCCTTATCCTGACTCATGCCTATATTGCTGTAGAACTGGACGGAAAAGGAGGTGGGAATATATGATACTTTGGATTTTAATAATTAGTGATTTGAACTGTGATGATTGTAATAACCCTATGGGAACTTCATAAAGGCACTGAACTGATGAATTCCTGCTGCTAACTTATCAGCTGCCATATAAAGGTTATTACAATTTACTTATTATGATAAAAGTATATATAACATTAATACAATGCTTAAGACTAATAGACTTAAGCTTGTTAATATGCTAGTATAAACTCCTTAGAGTTTGTTAGCTAAAATACTTTTATGATATAAACATAGTAACTGGAGCTTAAGATATGATTAAACTTAAGCTAAATATATAATAGCAAAACTCCTTAGAGTTTATTAGCTAATATACTTTTATGAAGTAAACATAGTACCTAAGCTTAAGATATAAATAAAACTTAAGCTATATATATAATAGCAAAACAGGTAGAGTTTTTAGCTAATATATTTTATGATATGAGTATAAAGTACTGTGCTTAAGATATAATTAACTTAAGCTACATATATAATAGCAAAAACTCTGTAGAGTGTGTTAGCTAATACATTTATAATGTAACCATAGTACTGAGCTTAAGATATGATTAGCTTAAGCTAAATATATAATAACAAACCTCCGTGAGAGTTGTTAGCTTATATATTGTATGATATAATAACCATAGTACTGAGCTTAAGATAATAAAAGAACTTAGCAAAAATATATATAGCATGTAGCTATTTAGCTACTGTTATAAGATAAGTAGAAATCTGTAACATTGACTTATCTTCTCCTAGGAACTGTCAACTGTTGTGCGAGGACCATGGGACCTAATTGGTGGATACCTGAGACGTCCTCGGTGGTGATATCTCTCAGATAGTGGTTGGCAAACACCATATTGGACTTCCAGAATTAACCTCCATTATGGTAGGATTTCAATAGCACTTTCTTGTCGAGTAGAGCAAGTGTAGATGTTAGCTTCTAATATCATGAGGATTAGAAGCTCTTGGAGGGTCGAGTCCTGCAGTCTTGTATAGGCACGAAGTATGACAGTTCTGATCCAAAAGGAGATAGTAGCACGTGAGACTTCAGTCTCATGTGAGTTTTTGTTGATAGAGGAAATAAATCTCTTGAATTTTCCCTCCTGTTTGGCTCCTCGGTGGAGATACATTTTTTCAGTGCTCTTACTGGCCATCATGATGATAGATTCATTGTATCATGGGGTCCAAGTATATCATCAAAGCGTGTTCATAAACCTCACTTTGTGAGGTGTTGGAACACTATATTCAGATCCCAAGTTGGAGCATTGAAACTTCCGCTTTAATCCTCCAATCGGAAAGCTCGTCATTAGCAAGGCGAGAGTAACTGGGTTTAGGTTAACTTGGCCCTCGCTTCAGTTATGACAGAGCTATTGCTGCAAGATAGGTGGACAAGTTGAGCCTTTTAAAATCTTAGTCTGACATAGATAACATAAGTAGTCAGCCACTTGAGGATCAGTAGCATATCTAGCTGTAAATCCTTCCTTTGCAGCATAATTGACAAAAATGTGCCATTTGTCATCGTGATAAGTTGCAAGTTGAGCTTCGAGGGCAAGCTAGACTGCTTTGCCGCTCTGGCTGAATAACTTGTTATTCAGACACGCCTTTGATACAATCCATACGTGAAGTTGGAATATTTCTGGCTTTCCGTCGCGCTTGTTTTGTGTGCGGATGTATTAACAGATTCGAAAGCACTCTGTAAGATGTAGTATTGGTTGTCCGATTTCTTGAATAAGAGTTGGAAACCACGCTACGCTGGTCAGTAGGCCGCGACCAAATTCAGATGGAGGCTCTGGCGCGTTTGACTGATTTTGAGTAAACTTGTGAGATTAACGCTGGTGGTGGAAAAGCGTCGCAACGCTGAGTCCTTCCCACAATATGCTTAGTGCGTCTGTTGCCAATGTTAGTGGGTCTGGAACTGGCGATCTGAATGTTGTCAGTTGTTTGTTGAATCGAGTGGCAAATAGGTCTATTAGTGTAGTTCCTATTTCCTTGATAATTTGAGTGAATATCTCTGTATGGAGCATTCATTCTGTCGGCGATGGTATGTGTGGCCGAGAGAGAGAAGCTGGTCTGCTATCACATTCTTTGCTCCTGGAATGTGATATGCTCTGACATGTATGTTGAGATTGTCGATTAAATCGACCAATTGAAAACATAGAGTCGATAGGTTCGGGACCTGGTTGAGCTTAGTTTGTTCACATAAAAGCGCCACTGTCGAATTGACTGTGTGAATCATCCACTGGGTATACTGTAGTAAGTTGCTCCAGTGCATTAAGGTTTATTACTGCTTGCATCTCTAGCAGATTTATGTGTAATTTGCTCTCTTGATTGCTCATAGCCCTGTTTGCTGTCCTGTTGGCAAGATGGGCTCCCCAACCTTGTAGTGACACATCTACGAGAGAAGTGTTATCGATTCCAGCTCTATTAAGCGAGGCGCCTATTCAAACATTCGATCTCTTGGTCCACCATAGTAGATGAGGTTTGACCTGAACCGGTAAATTGAACGGTAGAGATTCGTCTAGATGCGAATTGATGATGACTTGTAACGGATGTAATTGTAGTCTGCCTCTGCCTGTCATGTCTTGAGCTGAAGTGCGTAGTCTCCAACAGGCTCTGCCAATGTCGTGAGTGGTAGCGGAGATAGTAAGGCTTTGTGGAAATGACTGTTGGATCTTGATCCATGGTCCTCCGGTACAATTATACGATTCTGCGCTGTTACAAATCAAAACCTAGAATTAGCAGATCTTATGAAGGTTCTAGGTCCAACTTAAGTAGGTTTACTAACCATCTAGTTGTGTTAGTAGCTTGATGATGAATTCAACTGTAGTCTGAGACGTTATGGATTTGGATCCACTTGTATCCTGTCGTCGAGGTAAATTAAGCTCATGAAGTCCTTTGACGCATGTAGGTGCACAACCAAAGGGTGACTGCCATCGCTGAACTTTATGTAAAAAACGCCTGACTGCCGTGCCCTCGCCCTTACTTGACAGGGGAGGTCTCTAACCTCAAGAAGGCAGCCCAATCATGAAGGTTCAGATTAGCTGGACCCGGTTGTATCAAACTTAAATAAAGCTTTAATCGTTAATTAAACTATGATTAGTTAATCATTGATTATCTTCAGTTGCATGAAACCCTTTATAAAGGAATCCCTTCATTAATCCATCATTAAGCTAATGAAGGTTTGGGGGTATCATTAACTTCGCCATTAGCTGTATCAACATGGCATGGACCTCTACACTTTGAGCTTCTGAAAATAGATAGGATTTTGGTGTGTGTTTTTAAAATTAGATATAAAATATGCCACCCTTCCACAAAGTCATTGAAAATAAAAGAAAAATGACAAATGCAAATCTGGACCCAAGCCAAAAAAAATATTTGCCACTTAACTTAATTTCAATAGACTTACATGTGAATTTAGTGTAGAAAACACAATTTTATTTAATTAATTCTGGTGGAATCGGTAAATTCTGTCAAAATTATGTGGGTGTAGCTGAGATGATTACTGTGCTCACTTTGATTAGGACCCAACTAAAATTAAATTCACCTAAAATATTTTATGCTACAACGAAATTAACATACCGTGATAAAGTCTCTGGAAATTACATCACATTACTAATACTGTTGACACAGGCCTGTATTTCCTCAAAGCTTTTATTTGATGTAATTACATTACGAAGTTTTCGATGATAATTCCCTGAAATATTCTAAATTTTAAAGCATAATTAATAATAACAGCAGCGTCAAATGCTTCTGTCTGTTGCTAACTTTGCTACATTTTTGCACAACCTTTTAATATTGTCGCTTCTAAAAATTTGCATTGTGAGAAACATAATAGGAAGCTGTATGCAAAGTGTAACGGGATGGGTTCCATGTACAAAATAGTAATAGGGGACTTCACTCTTGTGAGAAAAGAGTGAACGGCCTTCACATTGATTTGGATATTCGTTGAAGAGAGGACGCACGTTATGTACAGCGGTGAAATGTGATTGAATAAAGTTCAACTGCATTGTACAGAAGGTAAGAATATGAAATGAAACTGTCCGCTAATTTCGACATTATGTTTTGAAGTCGCTAGCTAGCCTATGTCTTAGATCTTCTACTTGCTATTTTGTTTTAATACTTGCATCGACATATATAATCTATACTAACATCAATCAAACTTAAAATTAATGATCTTCATTATCAGTTTGTAGAACTATTTACCTTGCAAGGGAACAGGAGATTCCACCTCCGCCACACCGTTGAAACATGGAATCGAATAAATATCCATGATTTTTCGATGGAAGAGGAAACAGGCTTGGGACATGGACCGCCACCTGTTTTTTTTCGTTTGAAATTTTCTACCTGAAAACTCTTTTTTTTGCATTTTGAAACATATTATTCCATTTTGTCTTGATTTCTTTGGATCGTCCTATTGCTTACCCCAAGGCTATTGATCTCGGCCCGTTATTTTTGTCCCATATCTGCTTCTTTTTGTCATTAGTTATGGAGTTGGTAAGTTTGCACACCGATATGATCTTCAACTAGATCTGTTAGAAGTTGTATTTCACAACTTTCAAAGTTTTGCTGCGATTTCTGGACGGCAGCCATGATGCAGACGATCGATGAGTGTTTACATGCAATGCATCATGGATAATAATTAGGGATTCCCTAAGTTAATCATGGTTTAATGACGGGACCTTTATTAGAGGCATACTTAGTTAATGGGTGTTTAAATAAGGGTTTATACAACCCGTATTTAAACACTTCATTAACTAATCAAACATAAGTATTTAATCAATGATTAGTGTTTAATTGATGATTACATAATTCACGTGTTGATACAACCGGGTCCTGGACTGTAAGGAGGCTTGCTCATTCACTGATATATTGTTGTCACTTGCAACCTATGTCTTGAACTGTGAACTATGATCGACCTCTCTGTAGGTGATGTTGTCCATCTCGGTCCAATCAGAACAAGGCATTTTGATTCTGTAAAGAGTACCTGCGCTGTGATGTCACCAGTGTAGCCGGAAAAGGAACCTTGTATAATATAGTGCCGGCGCTGATATTAGAACAATCGTCGGTCTTCCCCGTAGCTTCCGAAGTTACCGAGTGACCATGTTTCAAGGGTTAATGGTAAGCCAGCGAAAACCTCCGGTGCCAAATACCTCGCTCTGTAATATTAATGCTGGGTAGGTTATTTTCCAGGCTGTCGCGGAAAGTAACTTCAGTCTTGAAGATAATTCCGACTTCCTTATATAAGGTTCAATAAAACTTGCAAGTTGTCAGCTTGTAGACTGTTAAAGCTGAACTTGTTGTACATATTTCTTCTCAGGAAATCGTTGGCGATTATGAGTTTTACTCGCTGTAACAAGGCTGCTGTACAATTTTCGTTATTGAATTGTCTGCAGATCTGCGAATGGTCGCATGTAGATAATCGTATCGTAATCCGGGATTGCATACCTAGCAATCTATACGGAAATGTTGATTCCTGTGAAGGTCTACCTAAAGCGCCGTTGATGCCCTTGATGTAGGTAGTCGGCTTGAAGATCCTTAATAGGCTTTTCATCTGTTGATAAAATAATACAGCGACGTTCTGTGTTGTAAAAGCCTGTGCAATTGTCTTCTTCGCAGAGGCTTGTAGGCGGCATATGGCATACAGTTGATAGACAACTCATGCGATGTCTTGAACGGACTGGCGAGTGGCTATATATGACGAAAGTGGCTAGTATATGGAGACCTTGGAGGAGACTTCCTCGGCGTGACGCGGGGACTTCGCGAAGATCTCGAAGTATCCCTTCGAGATCTTCTGGGCAATAGACTTGGAGCCACTTAGCCTTTGCGCACTTTGCAAGCAGAAATGTCGAGTCAGAGTCAATCAATATATGAGCTTGCGCCAGCTGAGCGACCTCTGTGTTCTACAGGGTGTGGGCTCGGCTAAGCGCCTCCTTCTCTGCGATGTTTCGCAACTGGTGAGGCTCTAGCTCCCTTGGCGGGCTACCTGGGACTTCCTTAGCGAAGTGTCTAGAGTCCGATCAATATATGAGTGCTTGCTAGCCGCGAGCGACCTCTGTGTTCTACAGGGTGTGGGCTCGTGGCGCTCCTTTCTCGCGATGTCCCTCAATATATGGCGCTTGCCCATAGCAAACGACCTCTGTGTTCTACAGGGTGTGGGCTTGGCGAAGCGCTCCTTCTCAGCGATGTCCCTACGCAACTAGTGAGGCTCTAGCTCCTTCCGAGGAGCGCCTGGGACTTCCTTAGCAAAGTGTTTGCTACGGGCTGGAGTTGCCTTGCCAGCGGGCGCTGGCGTTTGTGGGCTCTGAGGCCCTACGCTAAGCCAAAGGCGGGCTCTGGGGCCCTGTATGACTTATTATGGGTTGGGCTCTGGGGTCCGTGGCTCTGGGGCCTCTGTAAACCGTAGCGGTCCTCCATCAGTCTCATGATTTGGTTGACCAGGTGCGTCTGAGATGGTCTGCGCTGGCGTTGAGGGTGTCCTCTCTGTGATAGTGGCGGGACCCTCAGTTATAATCTCCGGCGTCAGTAGGCATCTCTGGTTGCATGTTGATCTGCGCTGAAGTGGCGGTAGCCGATACTAGTCACTTCTTATGACGCATACATCTGGAATGATAATCGGAATGTCATCATCATATAAACATAATTCTGAATATCAGAAGCAAAGTTCTTTTACTAGCCTTCATTGGATTTCCCTTTTGACGAAGCTGTAGACCTGGGGGTTCGGAGCGATGCGTTGAGGCGGCGTGGAAGCTCTTCTAGTCTTAGACTGTGATGAAGGAGCGTCCTGGGATGCAGGTAAGCTTCTAGGATATAGCGGACTGCGCGTCCACGCTTATCCCGAAGGTAACCCAGGATATATCTGACTCCGATCTATTAGCCATGACTGAACATTGTTTCTGAGATTTATCTGCCTTCCGTCTCAAAAGCGGAACATAAATATTTATCAAAGGCAGAAATTGGTAAAATTAATACATAATTTACAGCGAGAAACAATAGAACATGGAGTAATGCAACTAGGGCATTTTAAATGTGGATCAGTAAGCGGAATAACGTAGTTTACAACCTGTGCAGATTCTCATTAGCGTAAACTGCTGAACAAACCACGGTGAACCCGTGAATAAAACAGCAGAAACCACGACTAATAATCAATGCAAGTTGAATAAGGATACTAGTTACACCTCTATAAATGAATATAAGAGGTACTAAACTAAATATAAATAAAGGATATAGTGTGTCGGAGACACAGGTGTTCTCCTCCGATCCAGCTCACTGGGGAAGAAGGAGAGAGTGAGGCACATGGGTTGAGGGTGGCCCTCGTTCAGCAGCTTGTGTAAGGGAGGTAACTTCGTGGTGAGTGCTAATTAGTGATTTTTAATTGAAGGGAACTTCAATTGGGAGATACAAGTGTTCCACTATGTTCACGCAAGAAGAAGAAGACAAGCAATATGAGTTAAGGCAAAAACCATATTTAAACATCTTTTGGTATGACGCAGTCGGGGATCGAACCCACGACCTTCCGCTCTCCGGCGGACGGCTCTAACCACTACACCATGGTGATGGAGACTTGTGCTATAACCTTATAGGCATGTCCAGTGACTCTGAACAGTGTAGAACGATATGGAAATTTCTTGCAACTTATTTTTGGCATGTAAGGGAGCAAGTCACTGCCTCTCATGTCATTACATCTCAAGCCACAGAAGACCAGTTTTGTATGTGATGATCGTACCCAGGATTCACTCTGCCTAGCCATTTCTTCCAAGTTGACTATTGTTGCTGAGAGGTGAATATAACCACCATTGTCTGTGTTACTATAATCACTGGTCTTGCATTACACTTCCTCTGAGCTTGTACTGCCATAGGGACACCTTTGTATTGAATTGTGAACTTACTGAATTTAAGAATACAACCAATAATTGGTCATTTGTTGGTATCAAACTTAGTTCTTTCACAGGCTGAATCCTGGTTAACGTTTTAGTGTCAACTTGGCAATCAACATGCAACAATACTTGTAGTTATCTAAAGGTTAAAGCATTCGCACAAGAATGACTAAAGAAGGAACATGAATCGACCAAGCATTGTTCTGATCTATCCCAGAGTAAACCATGGTTACTGCTGTTTGACATATCTACAAAACAAAACCTACCTCCGCAGTAGAAACTTTCAGCCATGTTTATGCGGATGCCATCATTCTGCTAAAAGAAATTGAACAGATATCATTTGATAGAGAAAAAGTGTATGTTGTCACCTGATGAAGTACTGTCGGCACCTTTGATCTTTTAGCGAAGCATATTAGAATCAATAACAATCACACATCATAAACATAAAAATGTGATAATACGCTCAAAAGAAGTAAATGTGAGTGAGTTTAGTTTTAGGCCATTTTTAGCAATATTCCAGCAATATCAGGGTGGGGAACACCAAAACTGGGCTTCACACATTGTACCCATTTGGGAAATCGAACCCGGGTCATCAGCGTGATGAGCAAACGCTTTAACCACTAGGCTACCCCACCGCCCAGAGACAAGACCAGATTAACTGCAGTTACATGACAGAATCAGGGGATCATTAATTTCTACTTAGAAGTATATTCATCACAAGAATCATGAAAAATCCCAAATATCAGACTATTACCTTTTTGACCATGTACTTCCACATCCCTGTTGACGGCTTCCGGTATATCCCACTTCCAGATGCTATAAATATCTGTGGAAAAGATTCGGAAGTCCTACATGCTAATGTTGGTAATCAAATTGATCATCACATGGTCTTACCAACAGCTTGAAATATTCATGTCTTCTCTCAGGTCATTCTGATCCCATGATAGTTATTCAACCAAATGAAATCAGGCATTCGTCTTTTAAAGAATCTAGCATTGTCAGCATACTTGAGTGTCAGTTCTGTAACCATAGTAACAAACTACCTTCTTATAACTATATGTTAGTTCTTTGAATAATAGAAACAAGTCTTGTGAGTGAGTGAAGATACTTTTACCATGTTTACTCTCAGCAGTAGTAAAGAGGCGTACACCAGAAATGAACATCACATGATCACTGACAACAAATCCATGTGGAGAAGCAAAGCTAGATCTTCAGCATGTTCAGTATGACAAACAAATTTGTTAACCACGACCCATCTTAGAAAGCCTTGAATATTACAAAGCAAATATTTTTATGGATGATCTTATATTGCATTGTTTATTCCATTGTCTCGATCAGAAACTGATTGAATTCACTATTTTCAACAGAATCAAATGAATATGTTTCTGTGGTACTGTGCATTTTGTTCATGAATATCATTGCCATATAATCTGAATGTCTCAGTCACCTGTACAGGTACGCCCAGTTTCTCCACAATGTAGGTAAACTTCTGTTTAAGTTCGTCAATCTTCACCTTGCCTCGCTGGATCCCCATCTGAAGATATACATACAGGTGAGGGGGACACAACAAAACAGACACCATGACCATCCTCACAACAATGTTCAAACCTGCATTGTTATCATGTTTATTTGAAACAGGTAAGTGTAAAAAAACCCACCACACTTAGCAATGAAAATAACACAGTGACTGGTAAATACAAACAGAATAATACGAAGAGTAGGCTTTGATGTGAGCTATTTTTCTAATGTTTTGTTGATATTTCACGGTCGCGAGCTTTTTATATGTTATGACAGGAGATTACCGATTTAACTAACTGTTTATATAATTTCATTTGACTATTTCACCACACATTCTTCTTACCGAGTCACTTTCTCAGTTCGATACTTCACATCAACGTCATTATTTAGCATTGTCAGAATTTCTAACTGTGATATAACAAGCATCCCCCGCCGCAATTTATCAAATCAAACTTAAAAAGTAATGAAAGTGAAGTTCGTAATTTAAGATGAAGTTAAATGTCAACAAATATATGACCAGTCAACCTCTCTTGATATCTTGCTCTGTAGTTGTTTAAACGCACAAATATTTTCAAGACTCACTTTGACCTTGACATGAATGTCTTAGTGACTGACTGACTGACTGACTGAGTTTAGTTTTACGCCGCTTTTAGCAATATTGCAGCAACAGACGATAATAACAAAGAGCGGAAGGTAGGCAACTGTTCTACAACTGATGGGCATTTAAACGTTGGAGCACAAAGGACTGACTGACTGAGTTTTGGTTTTACGTCGCTTTTAACAATATTCCAGCAACATCACGGCTGGGAACACCAGAAATGGGCTTCACACATTGTGCCTATGTGGGGAATCGAACCCGGGTCTTCGGCGTGACGAGCCAACCCTTTAACCACTAGGCTACCCCACCGCCCCTCTTAGTGAATGAAATATGCAAAAATAGTAATAAAGAAATTGCTTATTGAAACACATTCAAGGGAAGTTTTGAAAGTCTATGAAGAAAATGCAGTGAACTGTTCTTGATATATCTCGCTGACAATCTTAACATGCAGTTTAACATGCTGAAATCTTCAAAGTGTCGCCGTGAACTTGAAAATTATGTGAAGGACACCAAAATCGACTGGGCCTTACATCTTCCCCAGATGAAGCTTGGTGTCAAATATGAAGAAAGTTCAGTGAATGGTTCTTGAGATATCTCGCTGACAATCTTTACATTCAAGTTAACATGCTGAAATCTTTAAAGTTTGGCCGTGACCTTGAAAATTAAGTGAAGGTCACCAAAATCGACTGGGCCCTGCACCTTCCCTCGATTAAGCTTGATGTCGAATATGAAGAAAATCCAGTGAACGGTTCTTGAGATATCTCGCTGACAAGGGTAAAACGTGAAAATCCCCTTGTGACCTTGAAATGAAAGTCAAGGTCACCAAACCTGACTGGGACCTTTCTTTTACTGTGATGAACCTAGGTTCCAAATATGAAAAGAATCCAGTCAACGGTTCTTAAGATATTCTAATTCGTTCGTATGTACGTACTGACGGATGGATGGAGCCAAATACTATATCCCCCGCTTCACGCTAAACACGCGGCTGGGGATAAATATGCCTCTGTCACAGACAAAACTCAATGTCTGTTTTATTGACACCTATGTGTCTGCCTGCCTGTCTGCCAGTGACAATATGCAATACACAACTTCGATCACTGACCATATGCAATTTGAACTTAACACATATCAGGCTATACACCATAAACAAAACGCATTGATTTATGGCTCGTGCACCCGAGTTCTGACTCTGTCACATTATGTAGTTACACAGACAGGCAGGTGTGATACTTGTACACATTACATGTTATGGTGTCTGTTGATTGTAAAATGTTATACACAAAAAATGAGCATGTATTTACAAAACCCAACATCTCTATGCACACACAAAGACTGTATCGGCAAATGAACCAGCCAATGAAATGCTTCGTTACACTTAAGTGCACGCCCACCCGCTCTGACTGGGTTCGGTATCCCGGGTGCTTCATTTCGAGGGAAGTAAACCCAAGTACAAAATATTGCACATTTGATTTGTGATCGTACGCTTATAATTTTGTTTATATGTTTTTTCATAATCAGCAATGTATATTATATGTCATGAATAAGTAATAATTGTGTGTTAATTATGTTTGTTTTTTGTTGCATGTGACCTTGAACATGTTTAGAGTAGTGTACACAGTGATATTCCTAATATACATATGTCAGTATAAAAGGGTGTAATAATGAGGAACATAGTTGTCACCTGTCACAGTTTGGCAGATTCACCATTACTGAATCAAAGTAGTAAAGACATGAGTTCAATTGCTGACATCTGATTGGCTGAAAAACCTGAATATCCTTCATTTTGATTGGTCTGTCAAAACATGCTGACATGATCTACTAGAAAGGTAGAGTGAGTGAAAGATCCTGATAATATAACATTGAAACACATGATTCTCACAAACAGACTTATGAATCAATTTTCATGAAACTGACTTCACCTAAATTCTGATCTGTAATTTGTTAGCCGCGTTTCCTTGTCTGTGGTTTCCACAAATGGGATAATGACCTCTGGTCTCCAGCCGTATGGTTTTCTTCCACTTCAAGGTGACATACCCTGATTCAACTGATGTCAATCTCAAAAGGTGACTTAACTCCTTCCCCATGTTCACCCTGCCCCCCCACCCCCGCCTTTCAGAAATCCAAGCACCATGAACAGTGCAAACTTACCTGATTTGTGAAGAAAACAATCTTGAAACCAGCTGCATGCAGTTTCTTTAACTTCCCAAATGTTTCTGGCAGCATAATTCTAAAATATGACAAAAAACAATTTGTAACCTTGATACTGTATATATTATCATGTATCATTACTTGAAAAGAGTTTGCATCAACACAAGAAGTTCCCTTCCCATCAAAACAGAAATGTTCCAAACCTTTCTGACATGAGTGTACGACCTTCAAAGTGACCTTGACATTTTACACAACCATGACATATGACATGTAATGACTTCGTTATTTCGTCAAGCATTAGTGATGTAAAAAAGCATGGATATTTCATCAATAAATTCAAATCAAACTGAAATTTCAACAATGTGACCATGACAGTTAGCAGGGATCGCATAGTTAATACTGAGTGAGTGAGTATGGTTTTACACCGCTTTTAGCAATATTCCAGCAACATCACGACAGGGAACACCAGAAATGGGCTTCACACATTGTACCCATGTGGGGAATCGAACCTGGGCCTTCGGCATGACGAGCAAACGCTTTAACCACTAGGCTACCCAACAGCCCCCCAAGTTAATACTGAGTGTCCTTGAAAGGTCAGAAAATTCCCATGGGGTAAACAAATTTTACAAGTTTATCAGATCTGATTTCATTTTTGTTGATGTTTAAAGCTGAACTCAACAATATTCAAGCAATAATAGAATCTGGACCCAGACAATCCAGTGATCAACAGATTGAGTATCAATCCATGAAATTGGGATATGATGACATGTGTCAACACAGTCAGCGAGCCTGACCACCCGATCCAGTTAGATGCCTCTTACCACTACATGGGTCGCTGAAGACCAGTTCTGAAGACTGTAACATCAGTTGTGACCTCATGATGTAGAAAACCATGTGCTGGTAGCAGAGCTCAGATTTAAAAGCCCAATAAACAAATGTCTGCACCACTGCACTTCAACATTACTTTGTGGATAATGGGTTCAACTCAATAATCTATAAATAAAAATTGACCCCAAAAGGAACTGAGAAACAAGACCACAGTATTATAGAAGTACAGATGGGTTCATCAGCATCAGCCAGTCTTGACTGAACTAACCACCTACTCCTGAAACAGAATTTGAACACACACCCACCCACCCAAAACAAGCTATCGATCTAACACAGATCTGACATCAGATTAATAATTAATTATTAATTTGTCAAATTCTTGTTATACTTTTAGGATGAAATATATGACTATAGAATTTTGCCTCTTACTTCCAGTCTCCACTGTGTGTGGCAAAGACCTTGCCTGACTGTGTGGTGATGATGGTGCCGTCAATGTCGAAGCTGGCGATCTGAATCAAGGGGATGGGGATTCGGTTGATAGATATTCAGACATGGCTAACAGAGCAACCTTCCTTCAGCTAAGGCATCATAAGCATGTCTGCTGGTATGGTCGTGTTCACTGGGCAATTCAGATTGCCCTGTATGAATCACATTGTAGCAGAATATAACTTCCAAAGTTGACTTATTTTTTAAAGCAACAATATTAAAATCTGTGGTCTTACGTAATATGTAAAAAAAATCATGGAAACTGAATGCTCTCATAAAACATATCCAGACCAGCAGACATTTTTAAGCATTTTTAGCTGAAGACAAAGTTAAAACATCAGATTGAACATCATCATACCTAACTGTATAGAGACATGTACATTCATTTCTTGGATTATCTCAGGAATCTGTAGAATATCCATGGTAACACTAATAACATTGCTAGGTAAAATCATGGTAATAAATAATTAAACAACAAAATTACCAAATCGCTGCACTTTCACCTACACCAAGATACCTGTCTCACCATTATCAATATTGATAACAAATTTCAAACACTCATTTTCAGCCACATGTTTGACTCAACCCTTGGCAAGATTCCTGTTAAATGACAGTGGCCTCCTGATGGCCATCGAGGTAACAATATGGAATATATACTCTTAAAAAAAAAGAAACTTGACATAGGACAAATTTGAATTTTAGGAAACTATTTGACACAAACCAATCCATGCTGAATCCCAGCATGTGGGGGAAAGGTTGCCGACGACAAAACGTTTGAAAAAGGAAACGTTTAAAAAAAACATAGCGTTACACTCACGTCTGTAGTGAATCGATAAAAGCACCCTACATGAAATGCACGAGCATCATGAAATTGTGTATCACCCTGAGTTGAAGCCTGTGACTGTAGGCTTTAAAAAGCCACATCAATGATACCCCACATGCATTGCTTTAAGCCACTATAGACGACAAGAGAATGAAAAGACTGACAGAAGCTCAATCACACAACACCATCGGCCGTTAACAAGGACGGACATCACAGCATGATGTGGCAAGGCACTTCAGCATGTCCAGACAGACCATCTCAAACCTATGGACCCGATACAAAAATACTGGGAGTGTTAATGACAAATGTCTCAACTGGATGTGGCGTTCCTGGGCGGGGGTGGAGCAGGTCTGTGCATTTAATATGTACATTTTGTGCATTAGGTTGTGTAGCTTCCTTCTAAAATGTCCATTGTATGACTATCTCAGATCAAAATATATACCAAGATATTATTGTAATTCACCCATGATGTTTAAGTTTAAAACTCTTCTAACATGTAATAAGATAAATATTTTGTTAAATGTTGCAAAGTTTATAAGGAGGCTCTATTTCTCAGAAATTCCCATCTGTCATTATAATGATTATTTTGTATTGTGTTGTACATGGGCTGTTGGCCTTTATACCGAATAAAAAGATTTGAAAATTGAAACAGTCAGACCATCTCAAACCTATGGACCCGATACAAAAATACTGGGGGTGTTAATGACAAATGTCTCAACCGGATGTAGCGATCCTGGGCTGGGGTGGAGCAGGTCTGTGTAGATATACAGTTTATGATATAACCAATACCTTGTCACTAGACTTGACACCTTTGCCTGTGTAGATATACAGTTTATGATATAACCAATACCTTGTCACTGGACTTGACACCTTTGCCTGTGTAGATATACAGTTTATCATGATGTGTCCAAGTTGATTCTGATGCTGACTGAATGTTCTTTGAACTTGTGTTGGAAACTTTAGGTGAAACATTGTGTTTCGGTTTTGAATCATTTTCCGATTCATCCAGTTTTGACTGTTTTAGCATTTTGAGTTTTGCAGCCACAGACTTCATGTGTTCTTCCTCACTATCATGTGATTCAGACTTCTTTAGTGAACTGACTTTGTTTTCTTCATCTTTAGATGTTTTGCGTTTCTTAGCTTCATGTTCTCTTTCACCTGTACTTGTCCTCTTTCTACTGCCATTCTTCACCGAAGTCGGAATCAGAGGTTTTCTTTTTATCTTTGACAGATGTTTTCTCTGCTGTTTTAAACTTGACAATATGTGGGAAACTTCCAACAAGAACATATACAATGTCTCCTGGTTTAACTTTGACAGTCTTCCCTTTCTCTAGTTCAGTATTGTCTACAGCTGAGGGGTTGCTTCCAACCTGCTTCACTTGAACTTCCTTCTTCTTGTAGTCTGCCTTAAGTTCCACTGATGGGTAGAATAGAGGATATGATGGTACAGTATGACACAGTGAAAAACATCAAATAACAACATTGTTGGGGACAGAGAACTGGTACCTTCAGTACTTTATCCACTTGTCCAAAGTTCCAAACTAATAAAATGACACTTAACATATACAAATATTCCTGATTATGGAGAAAATTAACATTGTCCTCACGTCTTGCAGAATATACATTTAAAATATATCTTGCAACATTACATAGTATAAAAAGTGTATTTGTAAGCAACATTAAAACAAAACATTGACCACGTTGGCAGCAATACATGCAGGCCTACATCAGAGAACGTGCTTCATAATTCAAATCCCTTTAAATCTCACTTACACACTCTGGCTCTTGAGTGAACAACATTACTAAGTGTGCAAACATTACAAAGACAGTTTAGACTTCTACAGTTAGTTTCACGATGCCATACGCCGGTTTGATCCCAGGCCAGGGTACAAAGTGATTCATTTATTCCCTTATCGATTGACATCACTTATTGTTTTCGTAATTTTACATGATTTTGGTCAAGCCCGATACCAAAATGAATTAAATAAAAAACAGAATTAGAAACTATGGTGTTGGCTGACAGCAATTGTATCGTTTCGCAGATCAATAACCACAACATTCTCACACTGGGTTCTCGAACACCGTGCGTCTGTTATTTGTGTTTGTGGACTTCTCCCTATAACCACCGCTTCCCCGTTTGGCAGACTGATAGACTCGTGGGTCTTATTCACGCAAACAAGTTCACAAGTAGTCATTCTGTTTCTTTAACAACAGACACTCGCAAACTTCGCCCAAAACCCGGCCTATGAAGTTCTCGGGCATGTACACAAAGGGCGAATAACTCTGGTACATGGACGTGTCTGACTGATATCCTTATATGCCTTTCGCGTCCGCAGAGTCGTAGTAGTTATATTCCCATCCGTAGACGGTATCCAGTTCTTAACCACACGTGCCCTCCCTGTTCAGCAGTGCGCCCTTTCAAGGATTTAATTGGTCAATTTTGGGAATTCCCCTTATGACGTCACAGTGATGGCGGGACTTTCGTGATGACAGTGCCGTGTCTGACGACGTTTCTTATCTTGACAGCACCAGTGTTGTTTGTATTGTGGAATTAGTTGTGACCATTAGTGCCATAGTACTTGTGGAAGATGTCGGACGTAATCGAATTGAAGAAAACTCTAAAAAAGTGGGAAGTGACATTCTACAAAACAAATAGCAGGAAACCATCCAAGGTGGTATATCAAGTCTTCAAGATGCTTGTCAAATCTCTCAACCCAGCTGATCATTGACGTTTATCGCCCGGGGTGGATATCGGGATTGTTTATCAATGTGTCATTGAGTGTACTGAAATACATTAAGCCCCCAATTAAAATGGAACTTTCTCAGTTTATGCCTTTTAAAATTGTTTTGTAATCATTTGTGTATAAATCACAACGTGACAATTAAGTTGTATTTTAACAGTGACATGACATCATTCGTAGAATCATTCAGGTCCCCAGTTTCCCAGTGTCACCACGTTCACAGGATGTATCTTCCTTGTTTAGTATGATTCAGACTCAGAACGTTACAAAGCTCACACAACTTATACATTCTTTTATACATAATATATACAAACTTGTTAATTGCACACTCTGTTGAAAAGACATGTTCTTGAAATATATAGAAAGAAAATACATTAGCATGATGAGGATATATTGACACATTTTCAATCAGTAATTAAGATATCAACAACGTTAAAGTTATAGAAGTTCCCTGACCTTCAAAAAATGCACTAACTCACTGTATCCAAGAATAATGACTTTGTAGCTTATATAGCAATCGGGTTGTAAATCTGAATTAATTCATATATGTGTCAAATTTAGCATGATTGTAAGTTAAGGTTTGAAAACAGTCAGAGAATTAATATATGTTTTCAATATATATTTCAGACTGACATAGACAATGCGCCTCAAGAAATCAGAGGTAATTGCTACTTGTTGATTACCTGACCTACCTTGCAGAGTAATGTATTATGCATTGTATTGGTAATATTGCCTGATATTTGTGTGTTGGAGGAGCTAATGTTTAACTATGATTTCATTGAGCAGTGTTGAGGACTTTTTTCATCTTGTCCTTGGTTACAGATGCTTCAGTCTACATCCCAATTTGTTGTGCAGTGTTGAAACCCTAATTATCTTGTTAGGATATGATGATAATGATTTTGAATCTCATATTTGTCAGGATAATGAGTCTTTGTTTGTTATCACCATGTGCTCCATTCCCGTTGGATGAAATCTAAAGCCAGCGTCACATTAAACACTCGTCCTACTCTAAGCTGACATGCCAGGATAATATTGGAATAATGTCCAAAATACCATTAAATTCAACTCATATCCTTCCTATTCTCAGACCTGTGTTTCAAGCTACTTAGCACTATGATAACAGTTCATCTATGTTTATACATTTCCATCATAAACAATTGTGTTATGATTTTAGGTTATTTATTGGTTTGATGACTGTAAAAAATATTATTTTAGATGCTTACAAGAATTATGCCAATTTGAGGAAGGAAAATTCCAGTTCAAGTGCCAGTAAGGTATGTCTATTTGGTTATGTTTCATGTATGTCTAGACAGAATGACTTTTATCTTTAGTATATCATAAGGCTAGTTTCTCAATGTTTTTTAAACAAGGCTACTACATATGATTAAAATAGATATGTGAACTCCTATAAATCATTTACAACTTTGAATGAAAAGCTTCAAACATTTTTTATGTTTGTCAGTCAGTGTTCACGAAAAGAAACTGGCTTGAAACAGGGTTCTTCTGAATAAAATGTATAAATTGGTTTATTTGAAGGTCCGGGTTAGAATATTGATCTTCAGTAACCCATGCTTGTCGAAAGAGGCGACTAACGGGATCGGGTGGTCAGGCTCGCTGACTTGGTTGATACATGTCATCGGTTCCCAATTGCGCAGATCGATGCTCATGCAGTTGATCACTGGATTGTCTGGTCCAGACTCGATTATTTACAGACTGCTGCCATATAGCTGGGATATTGCTGAGTGCGGCGTAAAACTAAACTCACTCACTCACTCACCTTATGTGATCAAGATGCTGATATCTTTGTTATCTGTAATCATGTTAGAACTTTATTATTTCAGTTTGATAGCTAGTTTATAGTATTGTATTTTTAAAGACTCAAATCAGAGTTATGAAAGTCAATGTGTCCACAGTGTTTTATCTTAACAGAGTTGAGAGGTGTTGTACAATTTTAGTGTGAATTTTGGAGGAATACAACATCACCAGGTGTTAAGAAAACAGAATTGATGAAAGTGTTCAAAGTAAGGACTGGCAATATGCTACAGTGAAGAATGTAAAATAATGACAATATGTTTGCTCACAGAAATCAGCTGATGGAAATACTGACATAAAACTCAACACATCAGGGGAGGCAACTCTTGACGAACAAAGACCCCAGATTTTGCCTGCATTTAAACATGTAACCAGTAACAACAGTGAATCTACACAGTCAGCTGATGTGACCAACAAGTCAGATGAAGAGAGAAATACAGTCAGTGATGTGGTCAAGTCGGATGAAGTTTGGGGGAGCAGTTTAAACAAAGGCGTCACTGATGGATGCGTGAAAGAGAAGAAAATCACAAAAGAGCATCAATCGAAAAACCTACTTGACAAACTGGGAAGCAAACTGTTCCAAAATTCACAAAAGTTTTCATCAGCTGGAAAGGTATGTATCTCAGTAACTCTGTGTTTAAGGCAAACAAAACTACTGTTTGAGTGTACAGTGCTCATCTGAATGAGGTGTTTAATAGTGCCTGTTGACTAGTTGGTGGCTTAAGTGAAAAATGCATTGTGTGAAAAGATTTCACCATTGCAAAAGCGTAATGTTTGATGTGCAAAGGGAGACAACCAGTGTAAAATCCTATACTACGGAATGCTTAATATATTTGTGTTTGATTTTTGGAAGCTGTAGTGGCTGAGTGGGTTAGATGGCTGATTTTGTGTGCAGATGATTAGATGCCTGACTCTGAGAGTGTGGATTCGAATTCCAGATGGGAATAAAAAAAAATGACTAGAATCTGTACTTTTACTAAGAAAGTGTAATCCCAAATATAATAATGAATGTTGATTTTAATACTTCTGTAAGTGACCATAGAAGTGTTTAATTATGTCTATATCGAAATATTGAGTTCTAAGATTATGTTGTACTCTTTTATGATGTTATATGAGAAACTGAATACTCGAATAGATAAAAATACAATGATTAAAGGAAAAGTGTGAACAAGAATTTAGATGTTTTCTCAACTTAAACATTGTAAACAATGATCTGTCTTTTAAGGTGAATAGATGAGGATAACTTGGCTGATTGTGTCCTGTTGGTTTGAGTGAGGGTTGGCGTCCTCTGGAGGTTACACAATACCAAATGTTTTCCCATAGACTTCTATAGTAACGTTAAAATCATTCAGGCTGCCAATAGCCATTCCATGTACACATGGGTACAGTCCATCCTTTCAACTACAATAAAAACTGATTTAGTGTGGTAGAACCTGGAGTTGATTATTCAATGGCCGAGATGATACATTTGGCTATACTACTGTCTTTTCCTCCGAATTATATGTTCAGGATATGGATGCTTTTGTAAGTCAGTTAAATATTTGTTCGAATTGTTTCAGAAAGTGGATCGTCAGAAGTCATCATGGCGATGGACACAAAGTGGGTCAGAGAACACAGTGAACAAAGTTGTCGCAAGTACTGTAGTTCCGGAGGTTGAGCCAAGCACACCTTTTGAGGATGTTGGGGGTGACCTTGACCTTGACAGTGTCAGTCACAGACCTGGGAGTGACTTTAAACATGACAAACAGTCAGAACAAGCCATTGATGAGGTTGATGGTGACCTTGTGCCGCCGTTTGCAAATAAAGTAAAACATTCCATGTTTTCACCAACACCTAAATTATCAAAAGGTAGAATTTCCACAAAATCTCTCTCAGATAATGTTGATGTACCAGGACATTTAACTCTCACAGCTAGGAAAAAATTCTCTGTATCTGCTTTCAAACCTAAAGAACTAAAAAACCCATTTCCCAAAGATGAAACAGATTCATGTTCAAATGAAGACACAATAAAGGGAGATAACTCTATTCTCCCATCGCAAACCAGAACAGTAATGGAGGTGGATGAGAGTATGTTTGAACAAGAGTTTGCAGAAAACTTTGAGATGCCTTCTTTTGTGTCAAGTAAAACAAGTACAAGAAATACATCAACTGGTGTATCTAGAGAGAAATATACTTCCTTTATGGGAGGTTTTGGGGAAGATGATGTTTCAGCGTCGACGTCGGTTGTGACGACGGATGGCGTCACAGATGTGTATGACCCTGGTGATGTCAGTGATGATGAGGATCCCACGGAGAAGAAAAGTAACAAGCGGAAACAAAAGTCAGGGTCGACCTCAAGGAAGAGAGTGAAGGCTAATGATGGAAGTTCTTGTCCAGTAAGCATTGTTTATTGTGTTCAGAAATCCCTTAACAAATAATTGACGTTGATTTACAAGCTTGAAATGTTTTGCACAAATATATTTGTTGTTCATGTATGTCATAAAGAGTGCATAATATTTCAGTAAATCTGTAGAGTCAGTATGAAAACAGTTGAATAAATATAGGAACATGTAGAAATTATCATATAAGAAAAATTCCGACTACGGTAGTCGAAAGAGAACAAGGTTATAACACTTTTGGATATGGGTAACACCATCCAGTACATCCTTTTTCTCTGGAGTTTTGTCACTCAATTGTGCCAGAATGTTATGATCATGGGTTTGAATCCATCCTTGGTTCTTGCTGTGTCAGCACTATTCCATGGGGTTTCACGACAGTGGTATTAAAAGTCCAAGACATGCATTTTGACTGTACTGACACATTGTGCTGATACACTGAAAACAGAAATACTTTAATAGTAACATTAAACTCTGTCAACTCACTCACTCACTCACTCCAGGCAGGTGATGTTCCTGAAGACCAGGAAGAAGATGGGGCTGTGGTCAAGAAGTCCAAGCCAAAAGCTGCTCCAAGGTATGAACAGATCAAGCCTACTCCTGGTATTGGATAGCCAAACAGACAATGTGTTTGCTTGTCATATTGATAACCTGGGTTCAGTCCCAATTCCTGGTGTCCCCTGTCTTAATATGGTTGGAATATTGTTAAAAGCAACTTAAAAACATATTCGCTCACTACAACTGATATTCAGAATAGATCACATGACTACATTGTGACTGCAATGATTATATTTGATTGGTGTGGTCCAGATATTACAAGTGGTTATCATGTTTACTATTAGCTGTGTACCTATGGGGGGCAGTGGGGTAGCCTAGTGGTTAAAGCGTTGGCTCGTCACGCCGAGGACCCGGGTTCGAATCCCCACATGGGTACAATGTGTGAAGCCCATTTCTGGTGTCCCCAGCCGTGATGTTGCTGGAATATTGCTAAAAGCGGCGTAAAACCAAAACTCAGTCAGTCAGTCAGGCAGTGTACCTATGGAATAACTGTTGATATTAAAAAGGTGGTCTTTTTGCTTGCATCACTAATTTGGCCTATTTACTGTTTTCACTGTACTTACAGTTTTTACCATACATACTGATTGTACTATCTTACCAGAATAACCGTTTTTACCATGCATATGTTTTTGCCATTCTCTGTACGTGTTTGTAATGTTTATACATGTTTTACATGTACAGTGAAACCTGCCAACACCAACACCTGTCTAATCTGGCACACTGTCAAAACCGGATTAATATTTTGGCCTCGCCATTTTACAACGATATTATGATCAATAAAACATTGTCAAATGTGGCATGACTTTCCGGTCCCAATTTTAACTGTAATTAACACTGTCTAAACCGGCATAAATATGAGCAGTCCAATCAAGGACCCATAATCCAATATACTCCTCTCGGTAAGCTAGATTGAGAGATTGACGAGTGAAAATGGCAGCAATGTTGGAAAATGATCGTCACTGTCTAATCTGGCACCCTGTCTAAACCGGCATTGTTTTCGGTCCCGTGGGGAGCTGGTTTAGGCAGGTTTCACTGTATATGAAAGACTTCTGACAGTTGTCAGCATGGTGTGTTGTAATTTTAAATGTGCTTTGATAAGCTATGGTCACCCTTATCAGTAACAGTGCCCTTGAAAACTGAAATGTAATTGTTTCTAGAAAAGCGATGGCATCAAGGGCTTCCTCTGAGAACTTTGTTCGCTTGAACATGAAGGTGAAAAAATACAGACGTAAAGATGGCCGCCATATGACAGGTGGACAATATAAGAGGAATCAATGGAAGCAGAAGATGCAGGCTCGCAGCAAGAGTTATGGTGATAAATGCTTCATTTGTAACGAGACTGGTCATTGGTCAAGAGACTGTCCACGTAAGTTAAATGTGGTTTTGGTGCATAGTTATTGTAGCTCTTCCATGACATTTTAAGGAACTCTGCCTCCTGATTAGTTTACCAGAATGGTTGATTCTACATTCTACCATAACAAGTTTTAATTCTACATTCTGGTTGGACTGCCAGAGGTATCAAATCTATGTTATACTATTATCTGCTGATTGGCATATTACTTCAATTTGATTTCTCTTGTGAAAATTGAAAACACTAGGTTAGGTCATGACCTTGAAGCAAAAAAGTCAAACATGAAATTGGTTTGTCTGAATGGATAGCCAGGTACTTTCTTGTTTGTAAGACTTATATTGTGAAGGTCATGGGTCAAGGTCACTCTATGTGACTCAGTTGTTGCATGTAATTGTGTCCCAGTTTCATAGATCATTGCTAATGATATGAATCACTGAATTATCTGGTCCTGAACTGATTATCTACAACATTCTAAGTGTAGCAATAAACAACGAATAGGGCAAGACTATGAGTTAAAGTCACTGAATATGAGATTTATGTAGCAAATGCCATGCAGAACCACACAGGGAAGGCAGCCGGTTCTGTGAAGAGTTACCTTACTTCACAGAGACCAGGATTTAAATTCCATATTGACACTGTTATGGTTATTGTGAGTCTGTCAGCACCAGTGCCATGGTTGAACGGGAGGATGTCTCCAGCCTTCTTCTGTTTATGCTTGCCCCACTTCAGGCTGCTGAATGTGATGCACCTGAAATACCTTAATTTCAGCTCACTGAAAGTGATGGGATATGATGTGACTTTTGTTTAGTGTGAACCTTACAACTAGTCTACTTGTATGCAGGATATGAACAAAAGCATTCAATATATCTCATGTTTCCAGAGAAGAATAGTGGATCAAAGAAGGTGGTGGAAGAGATTGACGAGAGTGACTTCCCCTCAATCCAGGAGGCAGCACTGTTGGCCCAAGGAGTCCGGACACCTGCAGGTGAGGCCAAAGTTTTAAGCTGATATTCTGTTTTGTTTCATGAGGAGGGGTGCGTGACAGCGAATTGTAGCAATGTCAGAAATGGCAAGAATGGCCTTCACACTATGTGAATACCAGAAAATCAAACCGGGTCACCAGCCAAATGGGCAAACGCTTCCACCACAAAGCCACTGGTTTCAGTGTGCAAATATGACGATGGTCACAGGAGGCATCCAATTTGTGACACAAAAGATTTTCACTGAAATAATTCTTAACATGTTAAAATCTTTATGCTTATCTTTTCCTTCAAAGTACAGAATTGATGTTGTTGACAGTGTATTTTTGTTTATCCGAACGTCACACAAAATGAAAGCCGATTCTTGATCTTTGGTTCTTTTATCTTGGTCCTGACAGCCTCGACATCAGTGGTGAGAACATCGCATGTAGAAGGCCTTGAAGACACACAGACAGGTGGCATGCAGGACACACAGACAGACACCCAACCAATCAATGAAGACCCCATGATGGATGTGGAGATGTCGATTGTCAGATCACGGCGGGAGGTTGTGGTGCCGCCCAAATCTTTGGAACCTTTTGTAGCATTACAGCCCAATGGAGAACTTCCTGGTACGGTGTGCTTCAGGATATTACTGTCTACATTTGGGTATTATTCCTGTTCATGTCAGGATGGGAAAAAGTGACATCAGTGTAAACTTTGGTTCTTTGGTAATCTCAAGCTTGATAAGTGTGCGAAATGTCAGCTCTGTGAAGTGCATTTTGGCAACGTCTGAGAAGATAAAATAGGATGAGACTCAGGACCAGCTATGACAGATCATGTTCGTGAAATATGAATGTCATATTAAGGATAATTTTTGCTGATTCAGACCTTGTACATGCTAAGAAAATATTTATGACTGATTTATATCATAAAATATATATGCATATCTGTTCAAGTAGACCAATGAAGATCCAGGTTAGAATTTGTCTTCAGGAACCCATGTTTGTCACAAGAGGCGACTAACAGGATTGGGTGGTCAGGCTCACTGACTTGATTGACGCATGTCATCACATCCCCATTGCATTGATCAATGCTCAAGCTGTTGATCCCTGGATTGTCTGGTCCAGACTTGATTATTTACAGCCCGCTGGCCTAGAGCTGGAATATTGCTGAGTGCGGCGTTAAACAACAAACCAAACAAGCTACCAACCATTCAAGTAATTGTTCAAGGCAAATTTACATGTGATGTGCATTAAAGGAAGCACCACATCTAGACATGAAAATCACTAGGGTAATTGAGGGTGTTGAGATGAATTGTTTCAAGCAGTGTTTCCTTACAGAATGTTTGACGTGCAAGCTCATCACATGCCTTAGTGCAGACCTTAAATGTATTGCTGAAATGTAAACTTTGATTTGTCTTCATCTTGTTACAGAAACGTCAGACATACCTGATCTGAAAACTGGTTTGAAGAAGTTTGGTTTCAAGCAGTTCCGTCCAGGTCAAGAGGAGACAATAAAGAGAATTCTGTCAGGGTTATCTACCCTTGTTGTGCTCTCTACTGGTGGAGGCAAGAGTCTGTGCTATCAACTCCCTGCATACATCTATGGCCAACGTTCTCGATGTCTAACCCTAGTTGTCTCCCCTTTGGTGTCCCTCATGGAAGATCAGGTGAGATGGCCCAGAAATAAATATTTATGAATTTGAAATATTTGTTGATATGACAATGTTACCATCATCAGGTGTTGTTAAATATCAAGGTAGTTTAAAATGACAGCTAACAGTAAGTCAACAATGCATCCTTGTTAGCTGGTTAGCACAGGGGACCCATTTGACTTGCGTGTTGTCTAATTTGTTATGTGGAGTCTGTGTCTCTGTAGTCTAGGGTAGCAGTGTTTTGCCAAGCAATAGATTCAGCACAATGGAAATATTTGTTCTTATAGCATCATGATTCTTCCTGCACATATTTGACCCTTTACATCTGTTTCATCAGGTGACTGGCCTTCCCGCTGGTGTCCGAGGAGCATGTCTGCACGCCAACATGACCCAAGCCCAGCGTGATGGCATTATTGCAGCAGTGAATGATGGGAGTGTCCACTTCCTGTTGATGTCCCCCGAGGCCATTGTGGGTGGTGGTGGAACAACGAAGGGGGCTTTCCCCCCTTCAGATAAACTGCCGTCAATACCGTTTGTGTGCATCGATGAGGCTCATTGTCTGTCAGAATGGTCACACAACTTTAGACCATCATATCTGAGATTGTGCAAGGTATGAATTGTTTATTGTAAACTGATCAGTAAAAGATGTGCACCAGTTATATTAAGTGTATCAAATTTCTGTTCTGTAAGATGTTTCAGCATCCGCTAATCACACTGAAGACCCGGGTTTGATTCCCCACATGGGTACAATGTGTGAAGCCCATTTCTGGTGTCCCCCGCCGTGATATTGCTGGAATATTGCTAAAAGCGGCGTAAAACCCAACTTACTCACGACTCACTACGTTAAGATGTTTCCATCACCATCATGTTTGTGTTACCTCAAACTAAACCACTAAACATAGACCGATCAAAGTGCACTTTTTTCTCATCCCATCATATCATTATCCTCTTTTTGTTTTTTCAGACACGTAAGAAAATCTGTTGTTTTCTCAATTATCACATGAACAATTGTAGAACATGTCACTGACTTACAAAACACAAGCATTCATTCAAAATTTACAAGGTCTGTGTGATGCAACCTGCCGTGTTTTAGTGAGAGTAAACACTGCCGTTGTTTGACGTTCAAATGCCTATGATCTGATGGGTGTTTTCTTAACTTCTTTGAGTGGCATATTGAAGCTGTGTGATGAAGCGTAGATTATGGATAATTGCAGTGCAATATCCATAATTGTTTGTCTATCCATAATTTGTTAATCTGGACAGTTTCACTGAGAAAGATCCACCTGGACTGACAGGTTTCACTATATTGGACTGAGGTTTCACTATCCTGTTGAAATTTGTTAATCTGGACAAGTAGACTTTTCACTGAGAAAGATGGGCTGACAGGTTTCACTATCAATGACGTACTGTTGACAGCTAAGTAGACTCACATGACCATCTAACCTGTGTACTAGACAAAGTAGACTCACATGAGTGACAGCTAACCTGTGTACTAGACAAAGTAGACTCACATGACCAGCTAACCTGTGTACTAGACAAAGTAGACTCACATGACCAGCGATTCTGTTTGTAACTAGGTGCTGCGAGAAAGATACGGAGTAAAGTGCTTCTTGGGCCTCACTGCCACAGCAACAAAGTCAACAGCACAGGATGTCGCAAAGCATCTTGGGATAGAAGATGTAGAGAAGGCAACCGTCCGAGGACTTCCTATTCCCAAGAATTTGGTCCTGTCTGTATCTCAGGATGACAACAGGGATGAGGTGAGGAACTTCGGTCAACCACGTTACTTTTAGAACCGTTGTCATGAATGTAAAGTTTATTTCTCATAAAGGCTTCTTATTGATGGATTCTCTCAAATGTGAGTGTTTGAAGTGAAAATGGCAACTAAAATAGACATTCAACCTCTGAACTTTGAGTCAAGTAATTTGGTGGAAAATTGGAAGAAATGGAAACAGACAATTCAACTATTGTTTGATGGCCCTCTTGCAAACAAGCAAGACAGTGAAAAATTTAGCTACTTTCTGCTATACATTGGCCAGGATGGTCAGTGATATTTACAATACATGGACAATTGGGGAAGGTGAAAAAGGAAATTTGAAAACCTTGATGGAAAGGTTTGGAGCACACTGTGTACCTAGACAAAATGTCACCATCAACAGATACAGATTCTATACAAGAAATCAGGCCCCAAATGAATCAGTTGATCAGTATCTCACAGATTTAAGAACAATGGCTAAAGACTGTGCTTTTGGTCTAATTTCTGAGGATATGATCAGAGACACTACGTTCACATTTTCAGACATCCCACTTCTGACACCATGTTCCATCTTCATTAAACTAAGATGGCTTGTGAACGCAAAGATCACTAATGGATTGGCTTCATCAATTTATTTGATGGGTAGCCATATTGTATACATCAATGATGGGTTTTACAAAAGTGGTACAGGCACTCTTAGAAGGAATCAGATTAGGGATGTATATAAAAGTTGGAATGGTTATGACTAAAACGGAATATGATTGTTAAACACTCAGCAGTGTATGAAATAAGCCAAAAACCCAGCCAGACATTTGTTACCAGCCCAAAATGGATTTAACCAGACCAGACACCAAGCAAGATATAGTGAATTTACTCAGATGCATAGAACATCTAAAAAAATTACCACACCATCGGACTGGCTAGCTATAAATCTACACCGTCTGTCAGAAATCTAGCCCGTCTCGGGTGGTCGGACGGGCCTTATTTCATACACTGTACTCAGTCAAAATGTCTCTCCAGTAGATAAAGCCTAATGCACAGCTTTAGGCTTAGTGAACTGTACAAATTCCTTCATGATACAATGTCCAAAACAGATTCTTACTGTCCAGGAGTTGCTTACCTTGGTACCTGTGCTCCTTCCTGTAATGGTAAAGTGAAACATTGTAGTGTCCACAGCTACACTGTTGACAGGAGTATCATTCCAGATTGTGACTGAGTAATATTATCTATTCTATGACTTGTATTTTGGTGGGGGGGGAATCCCATCCCAGATTTGAACCTTCACTTCCCAGAGTAGGAAATGTGGGTTTGAAGCCAAGCTGGTAGGCCAGCTGAGCACTAGAATTTGTACTTTGCTAAGATAGTGTAATTCAAAATATGACATATTTTATTTGACCTATTTCTGGAAGGCAAATTTGAAAAGATGTAAAAAAAATACAATTTATGCAAATTGAAAGTGATGATTCCAAACAGCTATTGCTGAAATGAAAGTTGTAATGTATTTGAATAGCAATTGTTAACTTCTGAAGTCAATAGCATCGGTTTTTCATGATTGATAACCTGGTCACATTAGCTGCTGGGTAACAGCTTGCTGATTGCTTGCAGGGGGCTGTTTCAAAAGATTATATGGGAATTTTAAGACAGGATTAGTTTTGGGATCTATGTCAATGAAATTTCAAATATGCTCAGAATATCATAATTTCAGAGGAGCAAGTGACAGTTTTGAATATGACTGATGAATTTTAGCACATGTAAACATACCTCTGAAACTGTCTTCGTGGGAAGCTTTGGGGTGTTTTGTCAAGCCAATTCTGAATTATCATTTTGACATTTTATATGCAGCAGGTATGTGAGACATATTGTATGTCATAATTTAAAAGTCCATGGCCATCATATAGTCATTTCTTTTCCAAAATGTGTTAAAATTTAGAATGTGTTGAAATGCCTTTGTACAAAAGAGCATATTCAAATACCTACATGGATATTATGTGAGATTACCATGTGAAGTCATTCCAGGTGGTTGTGAATATTGCTTAATACTTGCAGTCAGCATGGAACTGTAGTATTGCAAACATTGAACTGTAGCCTTGACCTGTAAGCTCCTCACCTCTGTGTCCAGGCTCTGGTGCAGCTCCTGCAGGGTGACAGGTTCCGGGACTGTCACTCCATCATCATCTACTGCACACGACGGGAACTGACCAATCGTGTTGCTACATTACTACGCACATGTCTCAAGGAACAGGAAGTGGATCTCAATGAAGCAGGTACCGTTAAAGTATTGAAATACATCTCAGGCACATACTATTCAATCTTCACAAAGCGATCCTAGTGCTATGACTTTTTGATATTAGTTTTTTAGTATGTTGGGTTAGTCATGTTCTGCTGTCAAAGAATCCTAGAATCCCTACTTAACATAGCAAGTGTCAACAAGTTGTGAGATGGTTACCGTGAGTGATGGGTGGCTCAGTGGTCCGAGGTGCTTTGCAGAGTTTTGTCCCTTGGGAACACAAGAACCCTGTCATCATGAGTTCCATTGGGTTCAAGGTTTGTAAACTCTATACATTGACCATGGGTTTCACCAAAGTGTTGAACATGTGAGACTTGCGTCACTTTCAGCAATCCTCCTAAAGTAAATGCACATGCCGTGTCGATGGCAGGGTAGCCCAGTGGTTCAAGCGTTCGCTCGTCACACCGAAGACCCGGGTTCACATGGGTACATTGTGTGTAGCCCAGTTCTGGTGTCCTCTGCTATGATATTGCTGGAATATTGCTAAAAGTGGGCTCAAACTCACTCACACTCACAGGCTGTGATAAAACTTTACAAAATCCAAGTGGCACTCACTCTGGTAGAACTGAATGCAACAATCAATTCCAGATGATAAGCCTGGCTTTGTAGTTTGTCTTTAGATATTAACAGTTTTGTAGTATGTCAAATGGTATATGGTACGTGAAAGTGAGGTGTATGCAGCTGTAGTGATTCTGACCACACTCACTCACTCACTCACTCACTCCACCTAGCTTGCTCACTCACCTAACGGGCTCACTCACTCACTCCACCTAGCTTGCTCACTCACCTACAGGCTCACTCACTCACTCACTCACTCACCCACCTAGCTTGCTCACTCACCTACAGGCTCACTCACTCACTCACTCCACCTAGCTTGCTAGCTCACCTAATGGGCTCACTCACTCACTCCCTCCACCTAGCTTGCTCACTCACCACTCACTCCACCTAGCTTGCTCACTCACCTAATGGGCTCACTCATTCCACCTAGCTTGCTTACTCACCTAATGGGCTCACTCACTCACTCACTCACTCACTCCACCTTACTTGCTCACTCACCTAACGGGCTCACTCCACCTAGCTTGCTCACTCACCTAATGGGCTCACTCACTCCCCCTTACTTGCTCACTCACTCCACCTAGCTTGCTCACTCACCTAATGGGCTCACTCACTCACTCACTCCACCGAGCTTGCTCACTCACGTAATGGGCTCACTCACTACACCTAGCTTGCTTACTCACCTAATGGGCTCACTCACTCACTCCATCTAGCTTGCTCGCTCACCTAATGGGCTCACTCACTCACTCACTCCACCTAGCTTGCTCACTCACTCCACCTTACTTGCTCACTCACCTAACGGGCTCACTCACTCACTCACTCCACCTAGCTTGTTCATTCACCTAACGGGCTCAATCACTCACTCACTTACTCCACCTTACTTGCTCACTCACCTAACGGGCTCACTCACTCACTCCACCTAGCTTGCTCACTCACCTAATGGGCTCACTCACTCCACCTAGCTTGCTCACTCACCTAACAGACTCACTCACTCACTCACTCCACCTAGCTTGCTCACTCACCTAATGGGCTCACTCACTCCACCTAGCTTGCTCACTCACCTAACAAACTCACTCACTCACTCCACCTAGCTTGCTGATTCACCTAACGGCTCACTCACTCACTCACTCATCTCATAAGGCTTGCATTGAGTCGCTTGACAATAGATTGTATAGAAACTGACATGTCTTCCTTTTCCACAGTGGAACAGCCAAAGGGGAAAGGAAAGAAGAAAAAGTTTTCAGTTGCTGAAAGTTACCATGCTGGCCTTACACCTGCACAGAGAAAACGAGTGCAGAAGAACTTCATGGGCGGACAACTCCGTATCGTCGTGGCAACAGTTGCGTTTGGCATGGGACTTGACAAGTCTGATGTGAGGGCAGTAATCCACTACAACATGCCGAAGAGCTTCGAGGGTTACGTACAGGAAATAGGGAGAGCTGGACGTGATGGGAGGACTTCGCACTGCCACCTCTTCCTGGACCCACAGGTAAGGGAGACAATTTTGATTTGATGGCAATCTGTTTCTTTTGAATCAAACCACAATATCAACAAAATACCTGATAAGTTGTTTTCGTCAACTATTTACAATTGGCAATGTTTGGCCTCCCTGATCATTAATTATAATAATAATTAATTGAATTATAGTGACTGTTCAGTTCAAATTTCAGATATATATATATCTGTGGACTAAACTTTCACAAATTGTGGTTTGATTTGAATTTGATCAGGATATGTCAGGTCTGCCGTTCATCCAACCACCTTTCTTTCAGGCTTTCATTTTATTTTTATATTAATTTGTTTGATATATGCCTTCCATCATGTCAGGTCAAGTTTCTTTTGGCAAGCTAGATCTGCCAATATTAGGGTGAGCACTGTCCAGAAAGGACTGATGAAACACTTGTTTTCAGGGTTTGGTTTTCTATATACTATGGGTTTGGTATTAATGTGATTATTTGTTGAAAATGTGGAAAATCATGGAATAGCAGTTTCGAAGTGTCGATTGACAGATTACCTCCTGCCGACACTGATGTGAAATGAGGTAAGTGACAGCTCGTCAGTTTAGGATTTCATTTTTCTGACAGGCTGATGCACTGAATTTCTGTTTGTGAATCTTGTCACTCTTGTGAGTCAATATATAATTTGTCTGGGGCAGATTTTTGCAAAACAGCTATTGATGCAAAATCAATTAACTGAAGTTATGCGACGCTCAGTATTGGGAAGAGTTGACAGCCTCCAAGACCTGAAATCATAACCTGTCAATCTTTGATAAATTGAGTAGAATTTGAGAACACATCTGCCTGAAAACTGTATAATCAACCTAAACTAGGATGTAAAAAATTCAAATGAGTTATTCTTGGGTTAGAACTTGTGTTAGTTATGAAGGCATCATGTATGAAAAAAATAGAGGAAATGGTTCTCTCAGTTACCTCCCTTGGAACATACCGTAGATAAGCACTTGAGTGAACCTACTTTTTTCAAATCAAATTAAAGTGTATGTTGGATACTTCTGTGTTTTTCCTATATGGATGACTGTATGACATGTAAGAGATAAACACTGTGGTCATGTAGTACACAGATTTCAGAGAGCACTTGCAGAAACTCTCAAACAATGTCATATCTCAAGTTAGGATCAGTGGAATATACCGAAACAGTTACTGTTTAATGAACTTGACCTTCTTATACAAGTTATACACATGTGTTGCTACAATAACAGGCGTTTCTTGGGTTTGTTGAAAATCATTGCTGAGAAACATAGACAGAAACGTTCACAAGAAAGACAAGATAAGCTAATACCATGCAAATACTAGACCTGGGAACCAGACAACGATGAGGCCTGATGACTGTACTGGCAAGAGCAGACAATATGATGCCAAACTTTGCTTACAAATTACACGAACTGTCTCCTACTGTAGCAGTTATATTAACAAAGTGTCTAAATGATACGTCAAACTGACGACCGGTATTCAGAGGCAGATCAATGCTGATTTAAATGGACAGTGCATACATAGTGAATACATATCCATTGAAAGATTGCAATAAGTGAAGTCTGTAAAATAGGGGTTGTGCATGTGTGTGTGTGTGTGTGTGTGAGAGAGAGAGAGAGTGTGCGCGCGTGCGCGTGTGCATGTATGTGCATGTATGTGCATGTTTTTATACCAGTCCATGAGCAGGAATTTATGTAGGTATTTCCCCTGGACATGCTATATGAGTGTTGCGGGCATTAAAATGGGGGTCTCCTGTACCAGCATCATGTAAAGTACAGAGTTTTACCAGCCTGGGATGAGACTTTTCTGATTTAAAACAAAACATGGTGATTCAGTGAAGAAAATCTGATATTGACAGTATCGTTTATGTTCATGCTTCCATGGCTCAATTTCTTTGCTTTTTTAGCATAGACTTGAAGTGTTGTTATTTGTGCCTGTTCTGTTCCTTACTTTGAAATCTATGGATATACAGCTTCTTTATTACAGATTATGGGATGTAGATGCTATTACCGTTATCAACTCTCCTCTTTGTTCATCACAACAGCTTCTATATGCCACTTAAAGAAGTTAAAGGTCACATGTTGTAACTTTGAGAATGTCAAGGGCAATGCCCTCTGTGTCATTGTTCATTACATTGTTGTCAAATCATATATGCATAAAAAACTGTTTAGGTTATCCTTTTCTCACATGGGTACAATGTGTGGGGCCCATTTGTGGTGTCCCCTGACATGATATTGCTGAATTATTGCTAAAAGCGGCGTAAAACCAAACTGACCATCTCATTCACTTTCTTGGCTTAAATATATTTGATGGCTTGACAGGCAAAATGTCCAGTGTTTCTAAGGTGATTGCGACCAGACCACTGTCACTACCATGTTTCTATTCATGACAGGCAGAAAGACAATCCAGGGATTATAGTGGGTCTAAAGTTCACCAGTCAGTTAATAAGTGTGTCAGCAAAATAATGGGGCTATCAGCAGATCACTATTTGCCCCATCATCTTTGATCATGCTATTCTGTGATTATGTCAAGATGTCAGATTGGAAGTTGTATATCACTCGGAATCAATATTATCTTCTAGTCTGATTAACTGTGATGTGAAGGAAATGGACAGGAACTTTGATTAATTCTTCAGCCATGATGGAGGAAAACATTTGCCCTGAATTTTCCCATCCCTCGGGACGTACTGGCAGAATATGTCATCACTATCTCTGGACAGGAGACATCCCCAGTATCCACTACCAGCTTGTGAGGAGCCTGGTATCATGAAGTTCAACTGACTGACTGAGTTTGGTTTTACGCCGCTTTTAGCAATATTCCAGCAACATCACGGCGGGGGACACCAGAAATGGGCTTAACACATTGTACCCATGTGGGGATTCGAACCCGGGTCTTCGGCATGACGAGCCAACGCTTTAACCATTAGGCTACTCCACCGCCCCGATGTAGTTCAAGGTTGTGATAGGTGACCACAGCAATTATTGCTCATATTAATTACAATTTGATTAAACTTTGCAATTCCAGAATCGGCTTCTGTATGTTTCAAACAGTTTATGTCAATGTCAGAACTGATCCTTCGGACCTTGCGCTTGTCACAAGAGCAGATGAATGAGTTTTGGGTGGTTGCAAAGACTGCCCTAATTGGAATATTCCTCATTCAGGTCTGTTGTCAAGTTACCTGGCCCCCTTCAAAATCAGATATTTTACTCAGATTCAACACCTCTTTGAGTTACATCTGACAAAACCTCCACTCAAAACATCAGGTGAACTTCTAAAACTTCAAACTCTTAGGTACAAGTGAGTGGTACAAAGATTTGTAACAACAGATTCAGTTCTGTATCTTGAAAGATAATGTTATAGGGCAGATCTTAGCAGAGATTATAAGTCAGTATTTTCTGAGCAGCATGGCATTATGCCATTATCCATGCATGAAAAGAAACGTCATCAAGGGAAAAACGTGTTTTGTTCTCAGGGTCAAGGACTGCTGTTTAAATGGCTCTGATTGGCTCAGAAATCCCCGCATTTTTTATTGTGGTGCAGTCGGTGTTTCCTCCGTGTCAACCTGACCTGACCTCCAGTGGATGGATTTCAGATAATAATCATGGTAAAGATCTGTAATGAAATTGCTGACTTCTTCCTTGCAGGTGATAAAATATGTTCCAACTTTTCTGAAATGTTTCTGCAAGTAAGGTTGTGTTTCTGTATGCATGCCACTGTAACATCAGGATGTGTGTCTCCCTTGTTGTTGAGAATGTTTATTAGGTGGAATCAATATCAACATCTCGGTCTGATGGGAATTTTTTTAGGTGTTTTTGCGATACGTTTTCACATTCAATGTGCTTGTTGGGTCACGGTTGTCTGGGCATCAAGGTTGTTTAAGTGATATCGGATTTATTACTTCGGGTGCTGACATTTTCTCATTGATTTGGAACGTTTATGTCATTACACAGTCTGTGAATGGCGACCAGACGCATATCGGTACTAAAAATTGCTTCACATGCTGTTAAAGCAGCAAAGATGTCATCGGTTCAGACCAAATGCAGGCAATGGAATCAGAGACCCAATGTGTGGGGTGATGAATGGACTGCCAATGGCTAGTCATTAATGTCCTGTGTTCAGATTATAACAGTTACACTCTCTATTCTTGGTGTCCCTTGTCCTATCATCGCTAGAATATTCCTGACTTGAGCTAAAATGCAATTGGGTCATGGTGACCCGGTTATCTATGGTTGGATTTGTTTATTTTGGGGGGACATGGGGTTGGGGGGAGGTTTTACAGGTTGAAAAACAGGTTGAAAAGTGTGAAAATAAAAAATGGAAATTTCAAATATGTTGTTTTCTTTCCTCACATGTTATGGAGGTAAGAAGTCCAGAGGTGAGGTGCAAAGAATAGGGAAAGAAACAAGCTTTAGAGTTCCCTTCTCCTATAGATTCTTAATAGATTCTAATCAGTTTGCCAAACATTCTGGCCTAAAACACAGCAACTGCCAAACAGACATGCCACCATTAAAACACTGGCAACTGTTGTTAGGTTTGTCAGCTCTGGTCCTTACTTCTATGTATGACTGAAGGTTTGTCGGCTCTGGTCCTTACTTCTATGTATGCCTGAAGGTTTGTTCTGAGGTTCATTCAGATTCATGATTCAATGTTTGTCACCAACATAACCATGCTTGTGGATTTCACCAAAGTGGTACCCAGGGTGTTTCATGACGCACAAATATAGAGAATGGACGCGGAAAACACATACTGAGAGACACACAAAAATATCGAAAGCGTTCCTACATCAAGAGTAGTTATCTGTGTCTGTTATTTCTCCCCCAGGCATGACCACTGTCCACATGTTGACAGATTCATTTCTATCTCTGAAGTCGAACATACATTACATTACACTATTTGAATTCTTTACACTTTTCATGACCCTCATATTTTACCTGCAAAGACCCCTAAACTTTATTGATGGACCTGCACTTTTGTAAGAACCCTAGAAAGTCCGGGTTAGAAT